AGCTATCACGCGGTAAAAATCTCGAGCTCATCATCATCTATGATCATGATTAGCGAATACATGCATTTTTGACTTTTTATCTCACCTATTCCCTTTTGGGACCACTTCCTGTTTCCTTGTCAATGGTTTCATGGTCCCTCAATAGAGAGCTGATTTCACTTTGAAAGCTAATCAGAGCCCCTCTTTTTTTCAGAAGCACATGTTTCACTGAGATTGTCGTTTTACGCGACGAGAGAGTAAAGATTCAACTGTTGCCTATCGAAGTCTGAGAACATAATGATTGACTATTTTTATGTCAAAATTTTTGCGCTGGGCCGCAGCGTTTCTTTTTTTTTGTCAAGCAAATACGAAACTGACACCAAAACACTGGACTATAATTTTTATTGAAAATATCACCAATTCCCGTTCCCAGCCGGCAATCTGGATTTTGCCTCTACCTGGCAGTGAGAATGAGTTAATACATGCAGAATGTAGCACTCTACATCCGTGAATTCAAGATGGCAGCCAATGCCGTTGAAAATGATTGTCCAACTCCTATAGTATGATTTTTTAACTTTTTTTAAACCTTTACATCCTGAAATTGGTTTGTCCATTTTCTTCTCGGTTTACTTTACATTTCTCATGGTACTAATAAAGAGTTATTTTCTTTGAGACTTAAGAGCTTCTTGAATGGGTGATCATTTCCTGCATTCTCACTACCTTAACGTTTGATCAAGCCATGATACTGTAAGGGGAAATTAGATGCTAGTCGCTCTTGAGGTTTAAAGTGTCCATTGACCCTAAAGACGATTTCACTGAACTCGAGGCAGCAGTGATTTCCACTGGTAGGCGCGCGTCTCCTCTCTGACACGTGTGTCAGTCGCCTTCCTTGCGTGGTCCATTGCCTATTCACCCAATTCCTAAGCTTAGGATAAATCATGCAAACACTTGTTCCAATGCCATTTTTCTTTTGTTTTTATCATATCATGTATTTATTTATTTTTATACTGTGGCTCAGAAGGAATGTACGAGGAACAGGACTTGAAATAGTTGTTGATGTGCAGACGAAGGGAGGATCTCCCAAAATATTTGAAGCTTCGAGTAGCAGATCCTTGGACTACACAACATGGCACAAGATAACGCTTCGCATCTAGGAATCCGAATCCTTGCTGGGAGTGTACGTGGATGACAGGATGATCAATGTAATTTCTTTTAAATACATCCCTCAACCATACCCTAAAGATGTGCAGCTGCGTTTCAGAGAGGTTTTTGAGGTGTACTTAGAAAACATTGGTAATTAAAAATAACTTAACGATTTAGGGTAAGCTCTTATGAAAGCAGACCTTACAAGATTCAAAATTTTCTTACTCGCGTTTCAACTAACGTCCATTTAAGCTACAAAAAAGTTGGGCAAAAAATAGTCCAAATTTAACATGTAGAACACGTCTGAAATGTAAAGAGGTTTTAGCCTTGATATTTTTCTAGGATGGATTTTTGGGTTCACCTGCAAAAAATAACCTTTTGCAGAAGAAAAGTATCTCCTATTGCTTTGTGCTGTTCATATATTTCTAGTTTTTGAGTGTCTTTGGTTTTCAAACTCTGTTGTCGTAACATCTTTTTTCTGTAGGTGGATCTGCAAGATGTCAAATTTGTCTTTTGATTAACTGACGTTTTGGACTTGTTCAAAAGCGAAAGAGGTTATAAAAACTGTGCCTAAAATGATTTTTATTAGATATTCAGTTTCCCACTCCTATATCTATTTATTCTATCACTTAATACTTTATAATATTTTTAAATGTGTAGGAAAACATACGAAAATGTATGCTTCACGGATTTAGCTGCGTTATAATGTTCGAATTTCGCCATGCGCAGCCGTTATATACAGTGTACCTATCTCCATCTTGACTCAAACTTCCCTGACACTTAACAGTGTAGTCTAAGAACGACTGCCGTTTTGTCAATAGAAGTGACTGATGTTCGACAACTTGAGCAGAAGTCATCATCAGAGTCTCGTGAATCGTAGTTGTCAGTCGAATGTACTAAGCCCGGTTCGTGTAACTCGACTCTGATGATGACTTCCGCTTCTCCGACCACAGCCTTCTCAACATTACCTTCACCCGGGCGATCAGGCTGACTATGAAATGCTAACCCCGTGTGAAAAACATCAAGTGTATCCCCTGACCTTACACATAACAGCATTTTATGACCGCTTCACGCCTGGCGACAAGTCACGCTAGATTTCTTCGCGGGAACAAGTTGCAGTAGATTGGTCTCGTAACGTGGAGTAGTGATGTGAACGTCTTTCTACCAATGTACCAAGTTGCCCACTATCATTTGAATATGTGCCATGATCGCAGCAACAGCATCAGTTGTAAGACTCTTTTTAGAGGCAGTCCACACATAATTTTTTTTGGGCAAAGACCTGTCGCAAGTCTTTAAAGTTTAGGTACCTCTCAGCTTTTTAGCGCGACCAAAAGAACGTGAAATGGATGATTACCGGGAAAAGTCATAACTGCCCTTCTCTTTGACCCCCTATCTTTGGAGAGTTTTCCTAATCTCTTAGAACAGGTTAAAAATAAATCCTAGCCAGTTGTATTAAGAAAGTTGTGGTCGGAATGGTCGCTCTATAACAATGGGTAATTTTCGTAGATCAATTAATTACTGGTGTTTCTGTAAAAACTGACCTATCGTGATTCAGTATTTCTGGGAAAATAAAAAGGTGATTATTAAAACCACCTTGTTTCACTCAATTGGAATCAACTGCTATTGGGCAATTCATTTCCCGAATTTGACAGGTCGATCACTGAAATCGTGTTGGAAATTGGAAAATATCAGATTTCTCGGGAATGATAGAAAAAACTACTTATTTACTACGATTCCCCGGAAATCTCATGTATACAGAAGAAATAATATGAGAATCATGCCAGTCGGAGAACAAGTAATTTCAAGTTCAGTTTTCATGATATGTTAGGTATTGGTTTTTATGAATAAATTGTGTCATCCAAAGTTATGAAAATCCACTTCTTATTGTTTAATAAATCGGCCAGCACTGATTTTATAAAGAATTACTCTGATGCGATGTGATGAGGGCTTACAGTCGAAATGGGTGGAATCAACCTCAATGTAACTAAGTATTCAAACATTGCAATATTTATACATACGTATTGATGATCGAGTATTAAAAGATAGCTCATTTCATAGTTTGCATAACGAAACGTCTTCAATAATTATGCACTTGGTCTATATGTCATGACCTTGAGCCTACAAAGAAAGCTATACCAGCAAAGAAACAAGCACCCTTTATTAAGTGCCATGCATATTTTATTTAAGTATACAAGCTAACTGAACATCCCCTATTGTATCCACATGAAAGGAATGGCGAAGTTCATCACAGATTGTTGCCTCAACGTTTATTTTTACCATCACCTACCAATTTACAAACTTGTGAATAAAAAACAAAAGTGGTGTAAAAAAACCTAGGTAAGAGACAGCAAATTCCATCTGGTGGCAAACTGCCCTTCCATAGAAGGAGCATGGTAATAAATTTAAGCAATAATAATAATAATAATAATAATATTTCAGTGACGATGAAACGACAAAGTAGGGCAAAGGTGTTAACAAGACTGAGCACTACATTTTTGATACTGTCATATTAGCTTCCTGCATTATCGAAAATAAAGACACAACAGATAGTAACGACTGATGGTATAACGGTGATGGAGACTATAATGCCGACGCAAACACTTAGGAAGGAGTGAAGAGAAACATTTGACGACGTCTTGTGTTTCTCCCTACACTTCTTTCGTGCCCGAGCCGCTTCCTGCGTGCATTATAACAGAACAAAATCTTAGCGAAGGCTTCTCCACATGTTAATAAGCCGTTATATCACTCAAATTATCATTGATGAAAGTATATCAAACCTGAACTTGACAGAATCATTTACAGGGCTGGAATGTCTCCCCAGTCGTTTCCCTAACATGCTCCAAGGTCAAAACAGTGTAAGGCAATGCAACATACAACTTCATTTTCATATTAAAGAAAAGAAAATAGATGTTGGCAATTTATTAATATTTGTAAATGACCAGAGACTCACTCTTCTTTCTTATTCCTAAACTGCGCTATATAGCGAGGTAAGAGCCAATGTGCGAAAAATTGAATTATTCAATAAAATTTTGTCAAATCATAATGCGACTGCACAAAGTCCAATCTGCTCAAACGCCGCTCATGGTACAAAGTTAAAAGGGAAAATGTTTAACATCAGCCGAAAAATAGCATCACAATGGACAATATCATATCATGTACATGAAAACTTCACAGGAAACGCTTACAAAATATCTTGAGTAAATAATATACTCCGATGCAAAGTTCTAATCATTATGATGGGCTATATTTGGTGTACGAATGACAAATCGAGTCTTATTGGTTCCCAACGGCCTTTTGTTCCTACTTTAAGGCTTAAATTAAACTGTGACAGATTTCCCATAAAATAAGTTGCAACGTACATAGAGATATTCAAAATCTTATGAAGAAGTCGGGGATAGAATGGGGAGAGGGGTCATCTTGCTCGGTTTTGGTAGGACACATGAAAATGTGCGTTTCTTCCCCGTTTGACTACATCCAAACAATTCAAGCCTGTTAAAAGAAGGCTTTGTTTTTGATCGAACCTTTGATATCACAACATCCATTGAACTAAGGGAACAGTTTGTTTGGAAGAAAAAATGCAATTTTGCGATATTAAAACGATTTCCTGATCTCTTTAGTACGCTAGTTCCTGCAAGGGCAGTCCAAGCAGGTGTGGCTAACGCAATGGCGAAGAAAGTCTACGTATACTATTCTGTTTTCCCCTTTCAATTTGGAACACAGAGAATCCTCCATCTATCGCGGCTACAACATGAATTTTGAGTCAGCTCCGACCCCTGACCTATTTGAATAAAGGAATGGAATTCTTTCACCGAGAAAACAAAACACAACAAATAAAAAACTAAAGCACGCCCACACACGCCAAAAATTCCACTCCTATATAAAACAAGATCAAAACGTCAAAACATGCCGTTAATTCTTTATTATCAGTTTTACAGGTTTCACCTGTCTCCTTTAACGAATTATATTTGTAAGGAGTAAGTGAACTGTTTAAGTTTCAAAATGTTATCAATTCTATATCACTGATTATACTTGAAGGCGTTCATAGATGAACCTGGATCCATGAAAAAATTGAAAAACTTTACTGGATTCTCAACTAAATTATCGCTTAAAATGTAATAAAGTTCACTGCAGTCAAAGAATAGACTGGTTTATATTTGAACACAAATTAAGGAGCCATTGAATTAAGACTAATATGAAGCCGGATAACGTAAAAATTTAACTAAAACCACACATAAGGAAAAATTCGTTTACTGAGCTGGAAAGACTAGCTTCATACCAATGATATTCTAAAATCACCTATAATTCCATCCTTCCCAAACAACTAATAAAACCAAGAATTAACCGGATTTTGATATTACGCTGAGAAAACTGATGCTGAAACTACTACACTGAAACTACGATGAAATATACCAATAATAATATGTCTTTTCAGTTCGTTTCCTCACTCATTTAAGCGCAGTTATATATCCTGTAAGCCTAGTTTTGTAGGGCATCGATGGAATATAGCACCTATTGTAATACAAGCATGACTAATAACTATCGTTTTAATCTAAGCCAAAGCATCTAAGCACACTCTAAAGTCTCTTTATGCAAAACATTTTTGTAATTGGTGCCACATCAGGATGAAAGAGTAGCTCCTCCTGCAATGAAATACAATAGTTAAAAAAAAACTTAAAAGACGGAGCAAAGGTGTGCACCAATTTATGAAATTTTGGTACATTTTTTTAACGATTAGAAATCAGTTAAAATTCGTAACTTACCGAGAATTAATTGATGCTTATATGATCGTATCGTCTAACTTTTCTGATCATCGGAAATATCATTACGACCCAACATTACCGACAGATTGACTGACCATACGGCACCTGAGTCTCACAGCCTACAACATCGCGGTAAAACAGACCAACCAGTACACGTGAACCCACTTTATAACCCCCCCTCCCTTTCCTCCCCTCCCCCTCCCCCCTTAACAACAACTCTTCACTCCAGTGATAATGACTTTCGCTCAGGTTGTTGAAACATCAGTCACTGCTACCGACAACAGTCCCTCTAAGGACTACTCTCACCCGGACGATTTGACTACATTATAAAATACATGATACATAACTTCTGGGTTCAATCTGTTGAGTGTAATGTATACATTGTCTATCCTTGGGGCATAATGCTCAATGCGTTCGCAGAACGTGGTATATCTGAAAGTTGGACAAATCAGTAAGACATAACTTTTCTGTGACTGTGAGTTTCACGCCTACGCGATCATCAGACATATTAAAAATCTGTCTGATGATCGCGTAAGCGTGAAACTCAGAGTCACAGAAAAGTTATATCTTATTGATTTGTCCATCTTCTAGATATATGTATATACATATATATATATATTTATATTTTTTCTTTTTTTGCGCTCTAACAGCAGAAACCACCTAAAGAAATCATCAACTCTGCCACATCAGTGCACGCACCTTACTGGACTTTGTCCCTCACATTATCAAGTATCCTGGTGGCTAATTGCACTGCCTGACGGGCCATTTCGCGATTGTAAATGTCGCTTGGTATACGAGGACAGCAAACTTGGTCCGGGTAGCGCATGCGTGTTGAGTCACCCAATAGAGACTCAAGATTACTGGACAGCGAAGTCAGATTTGAATCTTTCAGCGTGAGGGAATTTTGCACCAGGTTGTGAACATTGGTTTTATTAGAATCTACAGAATATTGGGCAGCTTTTAATGCTTTCTCTGCAGCCTGAAAAAAATAAAATAACTGCTACAACCACATTTCTTATTATATTATTATAAATACATATTAAAAACTTACCTGTCGTATTTCTAAAACCATTTTAAAAGCAAAAACAACAACAGGAAAACCTGGGGGAAATTTCAAACTATTAATTGCTTTTCTTTGATTTAAAGAGTCAAGGAACAATACTGAAAACACTTTGAGTAAAAATTTATAGCAGAAATTTGGATAACTAACTTATAACTTCAGTCAATACAGTTATTGCTTCTACCTATAATTCCCCAAATACGGGTCGCTCCAGCCAGGCGTGACAAAATTGTTGACCATTCAAAGAACGTGCATTTCCCTAATAATCTGGATTTTTATGTAGATATTTTCAAACCTCACATCTCAATATTTTTCTTCATGTTCATGAGACGGAGAGGAATGAACTTCAGTTTGTGGTAATATCTTGCCTATGTCACATCATGTACACTGTCTGTGATTAATCTCGTTGTGTTTTGTGTTTCTGTTCCTCCCTCCTTCCCAAACTCATTACGTATGCAATCGCTGCGAAAAATAAATTAAGAGGAAAACCAAAGCACGCCCGAAAGCAGCCTCGCAGGAACCTTTTCCATCCCTCCAACATCAGCACAAAATCAATAGAAGTATCCATTAAGGAACTTCTCTTTACAGTATTCAACTAGTTGTTAAACAATTGAACATTAGAACTCTTGCTTGTATTGAACAGTTGATCGTGTTTTATGGATTACGATTAACGTCATCCATTTTTGCTAGAACACTAGATGAAGTCATGGCTATTAATTTAACCTCAGTGAGCGGCCTTTTTGCGTCACTCAAGTGCCAAACGTCCAATCTAATGAAAACAGTAGGTAATTTAGTGTTAACAACTGAGTTGAAAACGTAAATTAGCCACCGTAAAGGGTAAAAAAGCTGACGTTTCGAGCGTTAGCCCTTCGCCATCGCTCTGACGAAGGGCTAACGCTCGAAACGTCAGCTTTTTTACCCTTTACGGTGGCTAATTTACGTTTTCAACCCAGTTCTTAACACTAAATTACCTGATATACTCTCCCACCGACGCAGCACCACAGTTTCTTTAGAAACTTACCCCTTTATATAATGAAAACAGTACCTTGTTTTTAAATTGATCGACCCTTTTCGTGGCAATGCATACATTTATACCTAGGTTTGATTAGTGAATTTGGTCGAAAAACGTTGTTATCAGTTTTAAGAAGGCTGACGTTTCTTTTGTTTTGTATTTTTTACTGTCATCGCTTCTCTTTTGGTTGTCGTTTTTAGGAAGCGACTTCTATTATACTTTCTACATTAAGAGCTTATCACTTTTGCATTTACATGTGCTACATTTGGTTTAAAATCAGGGACTGCTTGTGCTCTTTTTTCCCACTTTCAAATTTCATTAACCAAAACAGTTATGTGAATGCTATATTCAAGTGGTCCGGAGAGTTTGTATTTTCAACTCGTCAATAAGATTCTTATGAGCAAAATTCTCACCTGGTGGCATTTGAAGCAAGCCCACACGTACGACGGTTTTGCAGTATCAATGTCGTTATCGGCAGCGGCTAAGTCAGCCTCAGCCTGTCTGAACCAGCGCCGTGCCTCTGCTGGCTGGGGATTTGTATCACAGAAGCTGGGAGGAACATACCATGAATTACGAGTCCAAGACCCACGGTGCCTGGCAAAGCTCTCACTGTACTCTTGACGATCTGAATTATATCGCCTTGCGCGCCTTCCCCAGACGTTGAAGAAGGCACCATAGGACCCCTGGTAAGTCCAGCCAGGTGGGGTGCATCCCTCACGTCTCCGAGACTCTCCCCTCTCTAGTCTTTCAATTTCACTCATTATATGTTGAAAAACCTCTGTGCACAGCGCTTCGTTTCCTGGATTCTTGTCTGGATGCCACTGTAGGATTAAGCGCTTGAAAACCTGTTTCTTCATATCCTCCGATAGTCTCCAAGCTTCCTCAATCATATCCGAGATGACCTTCAGAATCGTCCCCTTATCCATTGTTGACGGGGGGCTTTCTTGTTGGTCAGACTGAACAATGGAAGAGGATGCTATTTCTTGAAAACGATAAAATTGGTATAATTCTGAAGCCTGGGCAATTACAGGTTCCTTCTCGCACCCAATATTGATTTTGTAGCGTTTTTTCAGGAGGCTGTGAGTATCAGTCGTCACCTCTTCAATAATGACAGCGTAGATGTAAGTAACATCCTCTTCTTGAAGTTGAAGACTGGGATCATCCAATTCGTATCCAACATACTCCCTGGGTTCAAAGGATTTGAAAGCAGGATTTAGGAGATTGTGAAGTTTAAGAGGAATAAAGCTGCCTGGCTCTGGGAGTAGATTTCCTTTTTCAGCATCATAGGAGTCGTCTGAGCGAATCTTAAACCTATCTAAAATGGAGCCGATCATGGTTGGGTCGCAACGAAGCATCTCAGGAATGAAGAGAATGGTATTTCCCAGCAGTCCTTTGCACGCTTGAGCAATCACCTCTGATAGCTTTACTGATATTGCAGACATGACTACTTCAACGTTCTCCGCAGCACTGACGTATACTTTCCACATCTCTTGACCGCATTCTGAAATTTTCTTCATGTAGAAGGGAACTTCCTGCTGACTCCCCTGGATGACCTCACCATTATGAACTAGGTGAGTAACAACTTGACCCATTCCAAAGAATTCGATGTTTTGCAGACCGCTCCTCGCAGCTGCGACTTCATTTTGATCAAGACCTCCATCTTGATTGGCGTGACGAATAAGCCTAACAATTCCACGATAGAACAGCTCAGAGCTGAATTGTTTCTTCAGTGAGTCTGCAGCCCCAAATTCGAAAACTGAATTATTATCATCTTCCACGATTTTCTCTTCGATAACTTCGGACATCATCTGAGGTTGGACAGCAGCAGGAAGAAGCTTCACTAGGTCTTTGTAATTTGTACTGGACTTGATGCATACCCCAGCTTTCTTGAGGTCAACAACAAAAGGAAAGTCAAATTCTCCAATTCGATCATGGTAATATGGAGCGTCATCGAAAATTAATTCTGTCGACCTAGCCAACACGACAGGTGGTACTTCCTCAACCAAACCGCTACTGAACAGACATGTAGAAGGTAGGTACAGATTATTTATACCATACATTCCACTCGGAATGTCTTGAAGCGTTTCAAAAAGGCCTTTCACTGCTCTTGAAGCAAAACCAACTTCGTTTGGTTCCAGCATGTTTTCCATCGATCGCCTGTGTAAAATATCTAGAACCATGACGTAGTGAGAAGGTTTGACAGATGGCGAACATCCCAAATATTGGAAGAGCCTTTTAAACGCGCTTAGCTCTGCCGGCATTCCATAAAGAAAGGGTCGAATCTCATCTTTCCTATACAATTCAAGAACTACTTGCTTCGAGTGAACGAAACGACCTCCCTCCTCCACCAAAACACAAGGAGTATCCTTCAGCCTCTCTTTTACAATGGTGCTTGAGACGGCCTTTTCTTGAAGGAACGCGTATATGCCACTCATTACTAAAATTCTGTTGTATTTCTGGCTCTCTAGCACATCACTGTAGTTGTCTTTTTCCAGCTTAAAGCATAAATTTTGGCAGTGGGAAATAACCAGGTCAAGGGTGGGCTCTGTCAGAACCTGAAGACAGGAACAAATAGCGTTGTAGTAAGTACTGGCACTTGTTCTGACTGGCAATGTCATCAGGTACCGGTAATTGCAAGGATGTGCCCATTGTGGAAGCAGAGGTGCCGCCGTCCAAACTATCTCAGCGTGCTTTGCAATCACAGATCCTTTGAACGAAATGTAGGGGGTTTGACCACCTACTTCACCAAACTGCCGATGGAGCTGACGAAACTTTTCCTCGACAGGTTCAGTGGCCACAAAACTTATGTCGCACACGGTTTGTAGAAGCCCTTCTGCTATTACATTATCTCGACTAAAAAGGTTCTTTACCAATACTTTCGATTTTTTATCAGTATCCTCTGAGGGTCGTATAGCTCCTTCAATGGCGACCTCTCTGGCAAACATCGTGAACAGATCTCTTGAGACGACACATATTAGCCCGATTTCTTCCAAAAACAACAGCCATTCTTGTTGGTTAAATGGACCTGGAGGGAACATGTCCTTTGCAAGCATAACTATGAAGACTTCATTACGGGGATCGTAGAAAGAGGATACCTTTCTTAAACTTCCGTCTTCGCAAGTAATGACCGCCGTGTTTTTCAAAGAAGCCATGAGCCTACTCTTGTCATTGTCATCGATTGACTTGTTCGGAAGAATATAATGACGGATGTAATCCAGGTGAGCAAACCTTGCCTCTTTACTGAAAATCTCGAAGGTTTGCAAAATGAAGTTGCAATACACATCAACTGAGGAAATGCATTGGAATTCAAGAAATCGAAAAAGAGGAGCGAGTGAAAAAGATTCTTCTAGAAAAATCACATTTCTTCGACGTCCAAGAGCGTCCATTTCCTTTCGTGGAACGTCATTAGGTAGGACACAAACCGCTGTACTGCCCACACTTGTAAGTCTGCCGTGTGTTGCTTGGTAGAAAGGAAGCCTTTTCAACGTAGGTTTGTCACGTTCTTCCAGTCTATTCACGCTGTCACTGAAACACTTCAAAACGTTGTGACATTTTAATAGCTTCAATTTGTCTTCAAATGCGTTGGGGTGTTTTTTCAATTTCTGCTCAAAGCATTTGAGAAGAGATTCTGGTCTTTTAAGTGACGCTACCAGGTTGCTTGCCAGAGAACAAGAATCTGACATCAATACGGTGTAATTCACTTCAGCTAAATTAAGCTGCCTCAGAGCTTCAACAAGAGGTTTGCTATTCTCATCATAAGATGTAAAATCAAATACAGACTGTGCGAGGCTCAAGGGTACTAGATAGTGCTCTGGTCTCCCAGCAATTCTTCCATCTCTTTGTGTCATTGTTTCGGTACACGGAAGGATACTCCACCTAAAAAGGGGTAGGAGTATCTCTTGAATCCTGTTGAGTCTCCCTTGGAGGTTTGTATAAATACCTTTCTCTCTATCAGCTTGCTCCATTTCACTCAAAACGAACTTCGTTTCTTCGTTGAGGAAATTCCAAACTCCCTGTATCCAATGCTCATTGGGCACTGATTCTTGCGTTGGGCACCAGCTGACATAGTCGTCTTCAGCGAAAAAGTCCGATGGTAGGCATCGATTCAAGTTAGTGGCAAAGTCTTGTACACCAAAACGCTTAAACACCGATGATTCATGACTCTTTACATCGCCAAAGATGTGTATCCTTAGACGTTCATGGACAAACAATTCTCTGCATTGCGGTAGGATGCTGTGATGACGCGACAGAAACCTAGGATCAGTGGTGCTGAATGCACGTAGCTGGTTTTCCTGTGTTACTAATAAAGGGAGGCCTGGCAGGTTTTCAAGGAAGTTCGTATCCTCCTTGCAATACTTCAACACGAGTGAGACGTTATCAGCACTCTTGAATGGACTCTTTTCAACATTAACAGAGATCGGTCCGATCTTGCAAATGGGTTCGACATCATTGAAGGTCTTGTAGAACCTTATTACTGCAGAAGGTGATACGCAATCACAAATTACAAACGATTTTTTGAATGCTTCGCACAGAGTTAACGAGAACTTAACAAGATTAAAGCCCGTTTCCAGTAATATTTCTTCCAATCTCTTTCGGTACTCAAGCATCCGTTTGACTTCTTTTTCAGTGTCACATTTACCGAGGAAACCTCTTGAGTGACTAGAGAAACAACCACTTTCTGCAAGGTTATTGAAGAACGCTTTTTCTCTCCCCTCACCTGTCGGAGGGAGCCATGTCAGTCGCTGCTCCGAAACAGTACCTTCTGCTTCACCACCTCTCACCACCGGTAGAAGTCTCAATCTTCTCTCGTCCATTTTCTGATACACGGCTCTTCCCAAGGTTGCCCAGTACGTTTCACCCGAAACTACCAAAGGAAAAAGCTTTTCGTATTGGTTGATCTTCCTGAACAAAGCCTCTTCAGTGCAGTGAAGGGTAAACTGTTCCTTATCAGGCGATGATGGCAAGTGAAGAAACTCCCTAACTTCATCCAGAAGTGTCAGATAACACGGTGCAATCACATCTCCTAGCAAAGCGTTGTTCCAGTCACTACGATAACCACCAGTTTCATCCCTCCACAGATTTCGTCTGGCCTCATGATCTAATGCAAAGTGACCATTAATGTGGACTGGAAGGTTAGTCTCTAAAGGAAGAGGAAGAAAACAGTAAGCCCTTCTCTTTCTATTCTCTGACCAGTTCTTTGTTGGCTTCTTTTCTAAGAGACAAGCAACTCCCCCTCGTGGTAGCATTCCCAGATCTTGCTTTTGGTAAGCATTTGTAATACTTGCTTGCACTTTGTTATCAAAGCCAATCTGTTGTACAATAAGCCACTTTTCCTCGTTGCCATTACTGTCTTGCAGCTTCATAACATACGAACACTTTTTCCCTTCAATGTTGTTAGGAAACATGTTGTCTCTTTGGCCAGCTGACTTTCCGATCTGTCGGACATGACTCGCAAACTCTTGCCTTTTCGCTGCATCCTCTTCCGTCATTTTCGACTCGACAAAATAGTGATTATTAGTTTTCCCTGTTTTCGGATCAATTTCACACAAAGTGATCTTCGTAACGTTGTTGACAAAAAGCATAACTTCGAAAAGTTCCTTTTTTAGTGCGTTCATCATTTCATCTAATGCCTGAAGCGTCACCGGTGATTTCGATATCTTGGAATCCTTCGCCATTTCCAGAGTTCGTAATGGAAAGCGGAACATTGTTGAATTTCGTAAGGGAAACTCTTTATCATTATAGCAGGAAAAAACATCTGGGAATACTTTTCTCAACTTTGGGACGTTTCTGTACATCCTACCTGGTTCAAAACTGGTTGCACCTGGCACGTACTTACAGTGCGGATCAAATATGCACAAAACATCTCCAATCTCTTCACCACTAGAGGCAAACGACGGTACGTCAGTCAGATGGTACACAGCATTGAAACCAACCCCATACTGACCGGTTTTGTTTGGATCATCTCCTTTACTGCCCTCCCCGAGATTTTGAATTCCCGCGATGTCGGCTTCAGTGAAAGGTTTGTTGTTAAACACGCATAGTGCAGGACCCTGCAGGGGTTTCCAGGAGTCTTCAAATACTCTTTCGTTTGGGTGATGTCGAGGGTCTTTAATGAAGCAAATCTCAGTAGCTTGTGCATCGTCAGCATTCTGGAGAAGTTCTTTTAAGATTTCTTTCTCACACGGGTAAGCTAAAAGAATACGCTGTAGACGATTTGTAAGTTTTTCCCTTTGTCCAAAAGGAATGCCACTGGAGAAATGCTTTAATGCTTCCTCGCGTCGTGTCTTCACACCCAGTCTGGAACTTACTACGTGGGGAATCATGTCATTGACGAAATAAACGTCGATTTCGTCAAGCATCCAAGGGCAGTCTCTCATGCAAAGTTCATCGGCAGGACGCATTACACCTTTAGAATCAGGAAGGAAGAGCTCTTCTTGAGGGTGTTTCGAGCTGTTTCCGAGTTGAAGAGCCAGGTTAACCGCCAATCGAAGACCCTCCTGGTCAAGCTTTTCTTCCCCAAACGTTTCCTTCAGTTGCGTCAAACCGGTGACGTAATCTTCGGCATCAAAAACAGCCTTCACACCTGCAATTTTCATTAACTCTTTAAATGACCTTGCTAAGTGATGCGGAAGCTGATGTAGGTACGGAGAACAATCAGTCTCCAACCAGAAAGCTAGCTGTTTCGTGTGAAAAAAATTCCTTCCACAGAGAATGAACTTTTTTCCTTCAAATATCTCTCTTACTTCCTTCTCATGGATTGTTTTGTTGTTGAGTGACCGCTGAAAATACCTGTAAGCTTCTAAACACAGCTCTTCAACACGATCAAGTTCTGGAGAATCCAGTACATCTATGTTCACAATTGAGGCAGCCTCGAGTTGCCTTTGAACATGAACAGCTGTGGCTTGCCTTTTTTCGAAATCCAAGAACGTTTTCACGCTTGGTGTGATGAACATGTCGACTATCGGTTCACTGCAACAAACCAAATACTTCTCGCTCTCAAGATAGGACTCTACGGGTGAAACAAATTTCCCTGCTGTAACACTACGTAGCTCATCTCCTTTCCAAGGAAGAGGGAATTTTTCTGGTTTTTGAAGCACGGGAAGAAACCTGGCCATTTTAAATTTGTTGCGAATGTCAACCGGTACAGGGTTTCCCTTTTCAGAGGTCAATTTTCTTTTAAGATAAGCCGTCAAGGCTTTAGCGCGCTTCAATGCAGATGTATAAGAGAGTCCATTTAAAATGGTAATGCTCTGTGCCCTCTCTAAAACTTCCTCCCATGTAAGGCTGTCTGTCAACATCCCGAGCTGTTCAAGCTTGGCAAGTCGTACGCCATTCAAAAAAGTATCCTCTTTGCCAAACGGAAATCTTTTATCGTCAGGACTAAACAGCAAGGCGGCCCCCTTATGGGGGTTGATTAGCTGAGCTGGACACTTCAGCGTTTGGCCATCCGGTGAGACGGGAATGCAAGCGTATTTCTTAATGAGACTGTCGAACTCTCCATTTTTGTCATCAAGAGTGTACAAAATTAACTTTTCCCTAAGTTCTGGTGCTATAGAAGCTATGTTTGGGAAGAACAATTCACGAAAAAACCTTGACTTATCGTAGCCTTTATCCTGGATTTCTTCTGCGAGGCCATACTTCAGAAAAGACTGGTGGACTTCAGCTGGAAGATCAATGACGACCTCATTCTCTTTTCTCAATCTCCTTAAAACTTCTAGGGACAATCCCCCAATTATTGGAATTTTGCGAAAATTTGGATCAAGGAAGACCAGATGGCTAAGGTCAACCCACTGACTCCCATCGGAAAAGAGATCATAGTTTCCACAAGTCAAACGTTGGTAAAATGAACGTGCAAGAGGCTCACAATTCGGATTTACTTCACAAGCTTTAGGCCACAGGACGTGATAATGGTACGAATCAGCAGCCATCTTCTTTACGTCTTGGAGAAGGTCTAGATATGCCTCACAAATTGAATCTTGCATAAGATGATTGTTCCACTCAACTCCCATTGAATTCTTGTCGTCAAATGTCTTCTCTTTCAAACCTCGTCTGTTAGAAGCCACAGCGAATGCCCCATTTACATGTACTGGAAAACCACTGACTATCGGAAGCGGAAGGTAACAAAACAATCTTCCCTTAAATTGTTGCACATTCTCTGTGATCGGATGGCCAACAGGCACGGGCGAGAGCTTTCCACTCTTGTCGGGGATTAACTTGGCTGCTACCCCCGCCGATGGGAGTAGGCTCTTGTCAACCTTTGCAAATTGCATTGCTTGTCCTTTGCCCATGGAAGAGGCAACACACCAAATCTCCAAATCATCTCGTAAAGAGTCCTTGCCTTCGACAAATGCTATTCCAACCTCAGTGGTGGTACTCCGGATGGTAATTGTGAGCCCAGAACTGAGAGAAACCGAATTGGAGCAAGTGGAATGTTTCAAACGCTTCATGACTTCGGAGGAAGCTCGTAGAAAATTGCACTGTTGCAAAAGGTGTTGCTCCTCACTACTGAGATTCTTAGCAGCTGGTGTAAGTGTGACTGGAACAGACAGTTCCCTTGTGATTCCGTCACGATAAAAAGATTTGTTTACTTCAAACAGCAGCATAGGCGAGTTGGAGGAGTTTGAATCTTCCTGCAGGTGAAAAATGCTGACACGGCGTACATTTTGCGTGAAGAGAAGAAGGGTCTTAGCACCAGAGGCGAAGAGCTTCAGGAGTTCTTTCATTTGTTTGTTGTCGTAATGAAGTTGCTTGATTTCACTTTTAATTGCTTGCTCTCTGGTACGTAATGGAAAACGAAAGAGAGTTCCAGGGTAAGAGTTGTCGTCTTTGCTCAGGTGAAGATCGCAATCAAATATTCCATTGAATGGTTTAAACTGATTGCCGAGATTCCGAAGTCTCTTTGTGTTTTTGTTAATATCTATCTTTATTCCAGGTTTGTTCTTGTTTCTTATTGCCTTTCCGAGATAGAATGTGTTCGGGTCGAAAATCACAAAGAAATTTCTGCTCAAAAACATCGGAACATCTGTCAGATTGTAGACCGCGTTGAAACCAAGTCCAAACTTGCCAATTTTCTCAGTTTCTTGTTCTTTTGTAGCACCGTTTAATTTTGTGATGTTTGTAAAATCTTCGTCTCTGAATTCGGCATCGTTGTAGACCCACAGAGCAGGACCCTGGCAGTGTTTCATTTCTTCGTCTATCAGACAGGTCATGGCATCCTGGTTCGTTCGTTCGTCATATAGAAATCTCACTTCAGTGGCACCTGCATCGTCTGCGTTTTGAACAAGCTCTTTGGGTACTGCAAAACCATCAGTGTAATCCTCTAAAAGTCTGCTGAGTCTACGGGTAAGTTTTTCTTCTTGTCCGAATTCCTCTCCAATATCCAGCTCGTCTGGCTCCAACATTCGATTCATCAACGTTGGAACGTGCAAAAGTTCAGCTGTGCTGTTTGGAATGTTTGGATGTACATAAAAATATTCCATCTCTTCATCTTCTTCTCCATCATGGTTACTTCTTTCTAGCCACTCATGTTCGCAGTACATGCATCTCTCAACTGGTGCAAGCTTAACATACGCATCGTCTTCCACGTGTGTCGGAATGAGCACCTTTTCTTGAAGTTCGGGCGGCAACTGATCTCCAACGTTTGGCTTAATTTCATTTAAAATGTCCACGGACAACTGCAAGTCCTTCCGTACCTCTGCCGTGGGAGGCGGAGGGTGATCGTCGTACTTCTCTTTTATTAGGTGAAGAACCTCGAGTAAGAATGCTTCATTGCACTTCTCTTGTAAGCCAAACTTTGCAAACAGGCCATAGAATCTTCCCATCTCAGATGGAAGGGAAAATATATATGGCGATAGATCAATCGGAGGTTTCTGAGATATCAGGAATCTAGGGGAAGAAAATCCATCTCCATTCCAAATCCACGGAAGGTTCTTGACATTCTCCAAAGCAGCAAGTACTTCGTCATGATGTGCACAACTGAGAAAGGCGTAAATTTCCTGGGCGATGATAATATAACGCGGCTTTTCTTGTGGACTGTAGGCTCTGATTACATTCTGCAAGTGCTGCACGACGTCCGAAGCAGCCGGGTCTGCGTTCCATGAAAAGAAGCGAGTTAATTGGCTAGACGGCTCAGCTTTGACAAGTGCTTTTGTCGATCCAATGATGTTTGCTGCTTGTTTGTGCTTGACATCTGAAGGCTTTAGGAAATAAGGTTCTGTGTGCGTTTCTCCCCAGAACGGAAGATTTTCGGGGTAGTCATCGGGTTTTCGTCTGATCACAGAGACCCATGGCATATTTTTAAGATGTATCCCGAGCTCTCCTAATCCTGAAGTTCCAGAGACGATCTCTTCAAGTTTTGTTGGATTGCTAGTTAAGAATGACATGATCGTTAATGACTTCGTTTCTGCTGCAGAAACGTCAAGGATATTATTCACAGCTTTTGCACTTTCGTACACTTTTTGCCCGGTGATTTCTCCCTTGCCCTTCATGCCGAGGTACTCTAAAACTACTAGAGCTGTAGGTTGAGCGTACTTTCCAACAGGGAACACATCTTCTTCCACGAAAATTCTTTTTAGGAAGTCATCTCTGGGATCAAATACCTCCCTAGGTCTCATTCTATCATTTTTAGTTGAGACAAAGGGCAGGTCTTTTAACCGATTCTGAAATCTTCCATCCTCCGCGGTGAAAATGTGATATCTATCCATCACGAATCCCATGAGTCTGTCAATTTCTTCAGTGGAGTAACGCTGATGTATTACATCCGGAAATATCACCTCAAGCAAAACCTCAGAACGTGTCAAGACTTTGATGTCTAACAAACCAACCAATCTCTTTGCATCGTTCTCTCTAATGTCGATGAGATCTCTTAGGGTTTTCACCGGAAATGCTTCTTCAGATGCAGCGCAGAGGCCATCATTTTTTGAAACAAAGGCTCCGGACATAGTCTCAAACAACGGTATGCAGCTTAAGACTTTCTTCTCATCTGGACTGAGCCATGAGGCTTTGGCAAAAAACCTTCTCAAACATCGTTTACCATCGTCTGTTATGGTTTGCCCCGTGGTGGGCTTTGAGGAGAGAAAAGCTGCCACAGCTTTTAAGACCCCTTGAACCGATGGTGGATGAACAAATGTTTCCGAAACGGCAGGGAGCAGACCAAGGAACCATGGATACCCTTGCATTACTGTAACACCAAGCTCTTTCAAAGCTCCGACAAGAGCGTCGTCTAAAGAATCGCCATGAAGGCTTCTCACGACAACATCAGATAGCTTTTTAAGTCTCACGAGGGTAATGGGAGCTTTCGACATATCTAGTGGAAGTAAAGGAAGGCCTTCAAGTCTGCACAGCTCGTCTTCAGAGGGGAAGTTCTTTCCCAGGTATGCCCACAAGTTTCCTAACCAGTCATTGGACGGATGGCCTCCGACTCCAGGATTCCACAAAATGTGTTGTCCCTCTAACCATCCAGGTGGTAGTGACGCCGGGAGAAGTTTAGCAACGTCATCTTTGGTGAAATGCTGTAATTGAGTGCATCCTGTTCGAAAAGTAACGCGACTCTTCAGCAAATCTTAGTTTGCTCTTATAAGTTAAAAACTTCAGACATACTGCATCTAAATACGGCACTATTTTAAAAACATGTCTCGCATAAATGGAGCAGGTTACCATATAAAATCAAGATGTTTGGAAAATAAGATGGTAAAATAATTGTGAATTTCTTACATGATAGCAAAAAAGTAACTCAGAGATCTCAATTGTCTCGATTTCTTCCGTGGAATAATATATAATGATTTTTAAAATTTGGCACTGTGCAATTCAAGGTGCTAGACCTAGAAAACTAAAGATGCAAAGCACAAGCTTCATTCTTCGCATGGCTCTGTTCGTTGTTGTAACTACTTCCAAATTGCATACCTTGAATTGCGACTGCATCCAGATTTTGTGACAAATCTTTGTCGATGTTCTCATCAAGGAATTTTTGTTGTGGACACGGTAAGAGTTCACGGGGATGTGCTGGTGACGAAATGTAAACAGCCTCGCCCGTACTGGAAAACGACATGAACTGCTCGTTCAAAATCGGTAACAGCTCCAATCCAAGTAGGTCAGAAAAGCAACCGTCTTTAAGGACAAATTTCAGCAGCAAAAGTTTTTCTAACCCTGTTAAGTTAGAGTAGCTAGCGGATACATTCTTAAGGACTCTTCGCGTCAACGAAGGTGTTATTTCTGCACTCAACGTTGAGTACAAGCAAATGGCTTTTAGGGCGTGTTCGGGTAAACGGGCGACGTTTTCATTCGCTGCAAGAAGAACTTTTACCAGCAGTTCCCTAGGATCGCTTTCTGCAAGTCTTTCAACGATCACGTCTTGCAATTTTAGCCATTTTCCCCCTTGAGCCGGAGTGTAGATGATACTTTTGTCAAGAAGCAACTCAAATAGGGGCTCCTCCACTCTTTTCCATTTCTGGTCGATATTAGCTGTATCAGGCCATGCTCTATTCAAAGGAGAAATAGATGATGAAAAAATCTTAAAACTAAAGAAGAACTTTTACGTTCATAAAATGTCTACGCATCAGATTAGCAGATCTTCTATCAAAAATAGAGACGCAAACAGTCTTATAAGAGACCGCCTGCATGTCTCAATCTATTTTAGCTGTTTTCGTCAACTCATGTTCTTGAGCTTTTTGCATCATATAGTCTCAGGGGAAAGAGGTAATTATATTATAGGGGCACACAGTTAAGTCAGTAGTTGATTCTTACCTGTATACGGCTTCGCTTTGCACGTTGTAGTTCTGCTCGTTCATAGCATCCAGCAGCAGAGAAGCATACGCTTTAGGGATGGCCTCTTGCAGAAGACACTGGTTCCACAACAATGACTTGTCAGTCAGGGGCTGACCTTCCTTCTCAGTTAGATCTTCTTGTTCTGCCGTAGGCGTCTTAATGTATCGCCTGTTCTGACTCAAAGAAAAGAATCCATTGACGTGCACTGGCAACCCTGTCAAACTTGTCTTCTGTACTGGTAGGGGTAAAAAACAAAACACATGGCCTTTCATGTTTGGCTTCTCTTTCTCAGGGCGTTCTGGCAACTCCATGGCGACACCTACCAGAGGCAGATAGCTGAGATCTTGATCTGAAGCCAAGGTTTTAAATTCTGACGATATTTCTCCTCCACAAAAGTAGTTAGTAACTAGAAACGAATGTCGCTCTGACGCACTTTGCGTGCCTTTGGAGTAAGTAATTGCCTCGATTGTAACAGGATAAGTTACCCAAACAGCTTCTGGCAATAGTTCACCTGATGAGATCTTGCTTCGAAACTCACTCTTCTTTTCTCGCACTAATTGGAGGGTATCATTTGTGATTCGGACTTGAAACGTTTTTCTGGCGTCACTGTCCGTTTCCTCTCGAACAAAAAGCTCTATAGATTCCAGATACTGAAGAAAGAGAAGGATCAAATGAGCATCTGCCTCAAAACTTTCAAACAACGTGTGCACCTTTTGGGTCGTGTATAAAGTCTGCGATAGCTTGGATGGTTCTGTCCTTAAAGGGAAACGAAACAGTGTCCCATTATAGGATCCCTGTTTGAAGATGTCCTCTGTACAATCGAATATTCCTTTATACGGCTGAAACTGGTCTGGGATGCTGTTTATGATGTTTCCGTCTTCTTTCAATCGCCACCTGTGCCCGGTTCGTATGCCATTTTCGTCGCTAAAGTACTTTTCGTGCGGATCAATCACTCCGATCCGCGAACCACTTACGATACTTGGTAGATCTGAAAACGAGCACAGATAACTTTGTCGCCTTCCAACAATATGTCTGAAAACATCTTTGCAATGTCGGAGAAAAATTATGGCAACCATGGCAGAGATAAAAATGCACAAAGGTTAAAAATGTATATGAAAGGATAGAACATGCACGATTTTACCTTCAAGTATGGAAATTTTCCAGGTATTCACTCCGGTTAATTTTTCGATTTGCCATTCAACAGCTAAGAAAAAGCACTCGCCCTAAATATCTCACGTTTAAAGCGCCGCTAACATTGCTGCCTCCCGTAGAATGATAGGCTTCTCTACTGAATCTGTTGTCATTTTGTATTCTTAGTATTCCACATGAAAATTATGAATTGGTAACTTTTGTTAACTTTTGTCAAAACGTAAGGAGTGATCGCATAAAATATGTAAACAAATACTACATGATAAGAAAATAATCTAAATTAAAACCAGTTTAAATGATTCGTTCAGAGTATTCATCTATGGATATCTACGACTATTCTTCCGCGTAGTTTCCCTACATGTAACTCTAAAAGAAAGAGGATTACACGATTTCAAGAATTATTCCTTGTTTTGTTATACTGCTGTGACAGAAAATGAGAAATAAGTAATAATTTCAGTGATCTCTAACCGGAAAAGTTTGTTCCTGGAAAACATACAAAGTCGCCTATCAACCAAATAGAAAACGCTCCTAAACCTTTTTTTCCGAACGGTCAATATAATGGAAAAAACGCCTTGGAAACATTCACGTTAGGGTCTGAGGACATAGCAATTCAAGAGACTCACCTGTCATATGAAAAACAGACTTGAAGCCAAGACCAAAACGGCCAACTTTCATTGGGTCTTTGACTTTAATACTATCACACAACATCCGTATGCCCTTCCAGTCATCTTTTGTAAACTGAGCGTCATTATATGCATAAAGTGCTGGGCCCTGTCACATAAAAACGATCAGATTCCCCTTATAAAACGAACAATTAATGAGTGGGTGCGTTATTCAAAATAAAGGGACCAGTTTGTATTTACCACGCTAATCCATATGGGTCTAATCCATATGGAGCTTTTAACAACAAATAAATCGTGGCTTTATGCTGAAATAAGTAAATATGAAGTCGATTGATTCAAGTTAACAACTGCATCGCTCATTGGAGTTTGGGTGCCTGAAACATCAAGGAGCTTCCACTTTTGGCAGCCAGCTCCTTGATGGAGATTTCTCCCATGGCTGGAAAATTCTGGCAACCCATCCATGAGCCCCAACACGGGAATTGGAAACAGGCGCCCGTCAAACTGAATAAACAGTGGAAGAAGGAAGGGAATGGGTGGGGAATGCTGCCAGGACGAAGAGCTGCCACTCCTCACAACGCTGCAAGTACACGCTCAAAGTACACGCAAGAACGCCTCAAACGAAGAGCACATGGAATTCCAATGCATGTGATGTGCAAAAAACCGCTGACTACTAGAGAACACTGACTTTCTTTAATGTTAACTCCGTTAAATTTAATTTAATTGCATTTAATTGCATTTAACTGCATTTAACAACTGTATCGCTAATTGCAGGTTGGGTGCCTGAAACATCCAGGAGCTTCCACTATTGGCAGTAGGCTACTAGATGGAGACTTCTCTCATGGCTGGCAAATCCTGGCAACCCAGCCATGAGCCCCCACGCCAAGCCGGAGGACCTCCAAACTGAGCGCAATCAGCTCGGAGAAATGGGGCTCATGGCAACGGCAGGTCATGGCCCCAAGAAAAACTGCTCAATCCGACGGCACCTGCTGCGTGATGGAAGTGAGAGATTATGGGCATCATACCTGCTATGAAATTCGTTCCGCTACTGAGAGGATGCTATCCACGGATGTGCGCACATACAATAAATACGTTTCACTCGACCAGCGTCCCACGGTCTTTACGAGATGGTCGAGAATGCCCCGCTGGGCAGCTGTAGTTGCAGCTCCAATTCTAAAGCTTTGACCAGTGAACTTTCCGGGAATGCCTGCTGCCTGTAACGGCAGCTGAGAGGCAGACAATTTCCCCACAAACCACTCAGGGTAAAAGATTGCGCAGTAACCCAGGGCTCGGGCTGCATCTGAGGAAACAGAAAAATGAGGTAGTGGTGCCCACTTGGAGAAGAGCAGAAAACTGAGGCCATACCATGAATGGAAGAATTCACGCCACCGAGAAAGGTCTAAACGGAATTCCTGATTAAGCCCTATGGGGTGGTCATCCCGCTGGAACGCTGATAATAAGTTAATCATACGCCGTAAAAAGGTACGCCCCGGAAGAATGACCTTACAAGTGTGTTGGAGATTGCCAATGGGAGATTCCAGCTGTTTTCTCATACAGTACTGTTTGGAAAACCAAGTATCCAACAAGGCAATGAAGCGCTCAAAACTGTCCCGTGGAAGACAAGCCTAAAGTGAAGTGAATCCAGCTCAATACCGAGCACTGTTAAGCAAGTGAATGGTCCCTCTAGTTTATCTGGATGAAGGGGGATACCCTAGTCCTCAAAAAGCCGAATACACAAATCCAGGTTGTTCAGATGAGTTGGGGGACCCAATGTGTGGAAGTCATCCAGGTAGTGTAAGAGAAACTTCACGCCATAATTGTGTTTGAGAATCCACTCTAACAGGTTCGCAATAGAAGAGAAGATGAACGGGGCAGAGCGTAATCCGAAGGGAAGAGACAAATCGATGAAATAATTGCCTCGCCACTTCATGCCAAGCAAATAACGATCATCGGAATGGACATCGCGGTACGCACTTTTCACATCAAACTTTGCCATCAGTGTTTCTTTGCCCTAAGACATGATCCTTGATGACATCGTCTACTTTCATGTATTGTAAAGAGAAAGGCTCTCTAATAATGCCGTCGTTGACGCCATGGCCCAATGGGCTAGATAAATCTAAGATAACCCGCCACTTTCCAGGTTGATATTTCTTTAGGATTACCCCAAAGCGACTGAAGGCTTGGAATTCGAGATATAGAGCAGGGGCCAGCTACGCGACCTTTCTCAAGTTCTGTGAGGATACACTGATCAATCACAGAAGGGTAAAGTGACGCTGATGGCATATTCTGGGTCGCAAACCACAATACCGCCGAAGGATCAAAGCTAAGAAGAAAACCAATAGTAATACCAGAAATCACAAAATCCACTTATCTGTGATCAGGGTGAAAACAAAGTTTCCGCGACAGTTTATCTGCAATAAAGGGGGGGGGTAACTCTAAAAGGAGGGACCAAATCTTGCTGAACAGCACCAATAATGGAATTCCCTGTGGTGGAGTAAAAAATATAAAAAATAAAATGTATCCGATGCCAAAGAATCAACAACATTAACTAGAACCGAATAGGAACTGCGTAAGACTGAAACTAAACGAAAGAACTGTACACTATTTACATCATTCTTAAGGTAAGGGGCCTTGGGCGATCTAGAGACCGCCTCAACGCCGCTAGCATTTGTACCGAGATGGAGTAGTTGCTCGGGAGCGCTGTTCATACGATTTGGAAGCACGAAAGGGGCAGTTGACGCGAGGGTAGTCCCGTTCACGTCTATCACAGCAGTGGCGGTACCGGCATTGACCAAAGAGCCAGGGACAGGTGCCGTCATTCCATGATCTGCTAAAGTTGGATTACAAGCCGCCTGAGTTAAGGAATGGAGAAGATACGGCTGATGACTGGGACTGTGGCACCAAACGAGTACGGAAATTGTACAGGTCGAGGTTCATACGAGACCAGTCTGCCAGGCCTGATGCAGCTGCGTCCTTCCGAAAGGCAGTGTTGTAGTGAAGCCAAGGCCTTGCCGGGAAACTGGCGTGAGGTCTTCAGAATCGGGAGTTTGTGCTGCGTTATTTCCTGCCATCTAGAAGGATGCGCGCAGCAGAAAATCCACATGTAGACTGTGAATGCCTCCGCCCATGTGATAATGTCGGTGATCTCTTGTTTTCGTTTCTTTGATGAACTCACCAAAAGTTTGCTGATCTTAGTGACCAGCTTCTCTGGAAAGGGAGAATAACCTGCGCCAACCACAAAAGGCCTGTTCAGAGAAGACAGGATCCCCGGCAAAATGGTAGATGCGTGAACAGAACCGATAGAGAACGGCGGTGCAGAAGAGTGGCCGATGGCGGGAAGCGCTCCGTTCGCGACATGCCGAGGGCCAAACAAAGATGGCGAGCTTAAAGGCGAATTGCCTAACGTGCAAAATGTGGAAATGAATGAAGGCACATCAAAATTACCTGACGATAATCCTGCAGAGGGTGGGGGAAAGTTGATGGCAGAGAAGCCCGAAAAATTTGAGTTCGAGAGTATGTTTCCCGCCGATGTGAAACGCGACACCGAAGAACATGTATTCTTCGAGTGGCTTTGTATCGTCGCCAAAATGTGAGGTACCGACTCACCTAACGCTCTAGAAAAAGCTTGACTGAGATCCTGGGCGGAGAGCACAAAAGAAGGAGGGGTGGCTGCAGGTTTCTGTTAAGGAAGGAGAAGAATCCGCAGAGAAAAGGAGCCGAAGAAATTAATTCCGATAAATCCAGCATGGCGACAGCACTGTTATTTGTTGGACGCCCCGAAAGCTGATCTATACGAACGAAAGCAGTTGACCACCAGAAAAAAACAAACGAGATATAACAGCGCTCAAGCCTTTCGAGATGAAAAAACAACGAGGAAGACGAAAACGGCCTGGACGAAGAGCTGTCACTCCTCACAACGCTGCAAGTACACGCTCAAAGTACACGCAAGAACGCCTTAGGCAAAGAGCACATGCAATCCCAATGCATGCGCATATGCAGAAACCGCTGACTACTAGAGAACGCTGACATTTTTTGTTGTTAACTCCGTTATATTGCATTGAACTGCATTTAACAAGTTATTTTTTACCGTAACAGTGAGAAGAAGTTAAAAGGAGTGCACATCAGAAAAACAATTTACCTGAAATTGAGCAAGATCCTGGTGATGAAGTTTGGCTGTGCCATGGCTGTGTTTGTCGTGAAGAAATTTTACATGACATGCATGTGCATCCTCTGCATTTTGGATGAGCTCCTGATACAATAAAACACATTTCAAGATGTAAAGTACACCAGAAAAAAATATCTGCAGCAAGCACACCTAAATGAAAAGACCTGGTGACACTTGCATGAATGCTTAACCCTCACGCAACACTAATCGTGAGGATTGATGTCTAAAAGTAACACTAACCCACCCCCCCTACTTTTCAGAGGACTGGTTGTGGTGGCCCTCTTTTCTTCATACCTTCAATATCTGTCCATCATCTGGATACTGATCTAGGATGGTTCTTAACTGCTGGATCAAAGATGGCTTAATCAAATCAAATCCATCGTCGTCATTGTTTGCTAATAAGAAAAAAGATATCATCAGCGACTATAAAGAAAATCCCCCATGATTTTCAACAGTTTAATACTTAAGAAAAAAAAATATAGATGTCTAACACCTAGGGTCTAAGTATCTAACTACTAGCATCTCCTACGTAGCATCACCATCATTTCTCGCATTTAGTTACTGATGTATTACTGTGTACCAAGACCACTCAGTGTTAATTCTTAACCCCGAAGCTGCTTTGTTGCAGTATCTCTTGCCAGAACAGAACATTGTGGTTATGTATTGCGTGTATGCATGTATACATGCAATGATTTGTATTAAATCCTATTGAGCTGCAGGTTCATATTCGTTACTCACAATCGAACTGTCTGCTGTCAAACAGTCTCTCTCCTCTGTAAATGACTGTGGCTATACTCTATATTAAGTAACATTACCAACTGTTTTATGTACTAACGTTCTGCTTGTCTGCTTTCTATTTGCTTGTGTCCCTGTCTGCCCTGCATATCTAATCTAAGCATAGCTTCCCCTCAGAGCATAAGTTCTGTTACATGGTTTGCCTGATGCTTAACACAACCTGTCAGTGTTGCTTGTCCATTTACACTACCTACCAGTGTTTGAATTGTCTCCTCTTATGCTTGGGTAGCTCTACATATTCTCTATCTGAATTCACCTGACGTTTTTAACACCTGGTTAGCGCATAGTGGGGTCCTTACAATTCTTACTGGCTTCTTTGTAGTTGGAGAAGTGATAGCGGAGCTCGCAGGGGAGCTAGTAACCCATCAAGCCGAAAACATTTGGACTTGTGACCGTACGACCGACCATACAAGGTGCTACTTTTAGCATGCGCGGCCAACTGTACCACGGGTATTATTTTAGCCATTAAGTAAGGAAAGGGCGAGGGAGAAGGTAATGCGCATGCGCGATTGCGTGCATAACTTGAATACCCCATTAGTGTGCGCCAGGAGACACCAACAGATAACAATGAAGTGCGCACACTTGTATGACGAGTATCAGGGCAGCGTACCGCGGGCACAAGGTTAAGCATTGCACAAGAGTTTCACGTGGGGCTACTAGATGTGAAGCCGCGCAAGCAAATAATTCGCAACCCGCGTTTTGAGCGGGAAATTAAACTGTAATTCTCAGTATTTCGTAATTTCTAATAAACTCGCAAAGCAACAATACTGGCAGAGCTAAAGCTTTGTCAACGGGAGGAAATTGTTATAATTCAAGTTCGTGGAGAGAGAGGAAGAAAGTTAGAGGACACCAAAAGGGGGACACCAAAGTTAGGGGACACCAAAATAGGCAGAATACGGCGAGAGGAACGCGAAAGAGAACAAGAAAAGACTTAAGTCTAAAGGTGAATATCTAACGAAGAGCAACGCGAGAAGGAAATACAAAGACGCTCCTGAAAACAGACTGAAAAGAGGTCATCAACAAAGAGAAGCGAACCACAAAGGATCCGAGAAAGAAGAGGAGGTAAGTCGTGCCTTATCTGGGTTTCCCCTTACGCTAAGGTCCAGAAAAATGCAAACCTTTCTTACCAATCGTCGTTTGATACTAGCTTTAGGTCATAATTATAATCACGTTTCGGTAAACATTCATCGCCCGAAAACCCTCGTGCCGGCTCATCGCTCGAATAGCATTTCAAAGTGTTCGTATTCTTCAAGGTATTTCTTGTCCTGTCGTTTGGAATGTTTAATACAGTCGTGGTATTGAGGAAAGAGAAGTTATCTTACGGAATCTGTTATGCCTGGAAAGTTTTCAATGATAGCGAACGGCTAACACAAGTTTCTACCTCTTTCTCTCTTCAGTTAACTATCGCAAGATTTTACTCTATTTATTTGAAGAAATCGCACTTTGTCGAAGTGTTGTTTTACCCTAAGAACGATGTAGTAGCCTTTCCCAAAATTGAAATAAATGAGATTGAGTCAGCGATGTCCATGTGTAACCTCGAAAGGTTACCAAAGAGAATGAGCGGACAATTCGAACGCACACAGTGATCTTTATTGTTTTCAGATGATAGCGTTAAGACGAAATTTGCTGAATGAGAATAGCGGTAGGGGTTGCGTGCGTGTGTGTGGTTCGAACTAAAAGAAAATGCAACAGAAACTAATCTAAGAAAAATGCGTTGCGAAACGTAACATTTACCTAACTTAAATTGAATTGATCGCACGGAAAACTGAATACGTGAGCTATACCAATAAAACATACAAAAGGTAAACAACATAAATGTAAAAGAAATAAAAACTCACTTTGGTCTAGCTCCTAAAGGTAGGAAATAGCTTGTAGCGAACGGTAGCAAATAGCTTGTAGCAATTATCTAGCAGCGACGATTAGCAGTGATGGTTTAGCAGCGATGAAAAGTAGCGACGATTGAAATAGAATCTTTACACGTGCACTTAAGTGGGAATTTGATTCGAGATAATAAACTTACTGTAATAATCATTAACTCACGAAAGACTTCTAGATAAAAATGAACCAAAACAAAACTATAATAAAGTGTATATTAACTAAGCGTTCCGAAACTAACACCATGTTTACATCAAGTCTGACGCAGTAATGTGATTTTGACAATATTGTCATGTGAGAACCTGTCAAACATCTGAGAATTAAATTACGGACCGCAAATGTGTGGTGCCGACAAACTCACGGGTTAAATGGAGTTTGTCCTCCTGCGGGATGAGCGAATTTCATTGTTTAATCATGGTACTTTTCAGCGCTATGTTTTCATACTTTCTACTCGATTCGTTCGATTTTCAGGAAATAGTTTGTCTCACAAAACATGGAGCCACTTTCTCTTCGCTCAACATCTCGAGGCGTACTTACTGCTCGGGTCATGATGAAGAATCAATCTCTGAAATTGATAGTGATCACATTTTACAAGAAGCGTCCGAGTAGTCATCGTGTAATTAAACGGGGTCCTGGCAATTTGAGCTCACAAGCGGGTGTGGACAAAACGTGGGGTAGGCCATGGCCTACCATGTGGCCAACCTTATGGCTTATCCTATGGCCTACCGGTGGTCAGATTTTATATAATTAGTAAGAGTCGAATAATTAATTAATTAACTAACTTTAAGACGTTTATTCTGAGATATAAAAAGAAAATAAGAAATATTAAACAGATTGTTAAATGTGTCAATTACTCTGAGTGTTATATCTTTTTGGCACAATGTCATGCAATATTGTATTCCAAATGAACTTCCTGTTGCATAGAGAACAGCTTAATACATCACTTGTATTGTTATGCTACCACACTTCAGTAGGAAAAGCATGTAAAGTTTGTGAAATGTTTATGACAGCGATGCCTGCGTGTCCCGGGGTGCTTGTTGCAAATTCAGTTCTCTACAGCACCAAAGAGGCACTTAAAAAATTGGCCAGGTACGTACTGTTTGCGTTTTCTTACCTGGATATGTTGTCCGATATAACGCCATTCATTACGCTTTTACACTAACACTCCACTATATGTTATCAGCTAGCAGCCTGTATGGATCGTGAAGCCGCCATTGTAGAGGGAGTTACTACATCACGGGCGACGATTGGGGATAGAAGAAAAGACCAAAATACGAGTGGTCAGTGGGAAAACAAATTTATTAATTCATATAGACATATCAGTTATAGTTGCGGAAAACAATAGTGTTGTAATGCCGAAATATCAACAATATACTTCGCTAAATAAAATGGTAAGCAATTCTTCAAAAGTGTTTATGGCACATATATCTTTTACTGCTGTAATAAATAATGGAGGCATCGGAAAAGGTATCGGTGGCATCCGGAAAGGCACCAAGAAGAATTATATTTACGTTTTGTAACTTGCTGCGTGACGAAAAAAACCGTGGTCCCCAAATGAATTCTCCCACCTTGCCCCAACAATTTTCAAATTTTTCGCAACTTCAACTGTTCCTATTCGTAGATCCGGCCAAGCCTGTATGGTCATTGGCCCCCGTAGCCGCTAACTATGGCTTATAAATACAGGTGTTGTAAAACTCCCCGAAGAAGTCTACGACAGTTAGACGAAAAGCGTCGGAGAATAAAGAAATTTTACAACTGCTGTTCGCAGAGTGCTGCTCACCAGTTTAGTTGTAAATATTTTGTTTAAAAATTTGGTGCGATAGCTGTGGTCAGTTTTTACATGCAGGTTGTCTGGATATACCTTTTGCAGAGACGTGGGGGGCGGGGACAGAGACACCAACTGGTATGGACAAAACGTGGGGCAGGCCATGGTCTACCCTGTGGCCTACCCTATGGCCTACCATATGCATATGGCCTACCGGTGGTCAGATTTTTAAAAACATAAAAATAAAATCAGTAAGAGTCGAACAAGTACGCTGACGTACAATTCTATGCCTCTAAAAAGGGTATACTTAAAAGTCACTGACACGATTTTCAACGTCTGAGGGAACGACTCAATGCAAATATTACAGCACTCAGCCTTGAAACATCCTAACTCTGTCTTCCCCACCCAAGCACTCAACCATAACGGTAGGTTAAGGGGGAGGGGAGAGGAGGGGCCAATATTGCGTGGTCGCTGAGGATATCCACAATGGCGGCTTAACTATCCATACAGGCTGCCACCTTGTAACGTCTAGTGGAGTGCCGGTGTAAAAATGTAATGAATGGCGTTATATCGGACAACATAACCAGGTAAGAAAACGCAAACAGTACGTGCCAGGCCAATTTTTTAAGTGCCTCTTAAGTGCCTCTTAAGTGCTGTAGAGTATTGAATTTGCAACAAGCACCCCGGGACACGCAGGTATCGCCGTCATAAACATTTCACAAACTTTACTTGCTTTTCCTACTGAAGTGTGGTAGCATAACAATACAAGTAGTGTATTAAGCTGTTCTCTATGCAACAGGAAGTTCATTTGGAATACAATATTGCATGACACTGTGTCAGTTTACAATTCGTAAATCATTTCTGTAACCTGCTTGGATATTTTCTTTTGAATTATTGGGTCACACTCTCGGAATCTCACCAGTAGTTAAGAATGATAAATCTGTATATGTAGCACAAGTGAAGCACATTTTAAACTTCCCATACGATTCAAGGAAACTATACTTAATTGACTCTCGATAAATTGGCTTGTAATAACTCGTTGATTATTTTATTATTTTGTAGCTCCAAAAGCCCGGCTTATGACTCTGGTGGTACTGAACTTGATATATTTGATACGCAAGTCACCCTTCAAGGAGGAAGGTTAGAATAAAATTGCTTTTACGACCGTATATTGCACTCGGTTTACATATGTAGATAATTGCTTAAAAATACCTATTATATTCAGAAGCATAGACATGTAGGTAATATGCTTCTGCTTTATTTTTATTGTGAGGGGTTTCCTTTTATGTAACATATATCCATTCCTTTAATTTCCTCCTTAACCTGCCTGCAAATAATTAAACTTTATGTTTTAATTCAAGTGTGAGAAGATAAAACAGAAGGGTTGCAAAGTTCTCTTCCTGGCAGATTGAATTCAGATGAGAACATCAGTAAACTAGTTGATGTCCATATGCTTCTCCTAAATCTTTAATTTTATTGCCTTGTTTTTTTTTTTTCACAAAGCCTCTTTTATATCTCTGTGTGCCAGCTATTGATTAAAACCTCAGTGAATAGATATGCCATATTTTATTATTTTTTTTTAATTCAATCTTTAAAATTCATAATTGGCATTCTCTTTTCATCCTTTTAACTAAAATCAGAATTACTAAGTCAACTTAATTTAAATGACTTTGAAAATTCCTTATACATAAGAACGCTTTACTGGAGTTTGAACTTACATTTATTTGCTGTCTAGTACATATGATTACCATATGTGTCTTAACCCTTTCACTCTCAAGATTTCATCCATAATTCTCCTTGCTGTCAGCCATACACTTCAATGTGATATTTGGTTGGAGAATTTGGAATGGGATCAATCAATAATTCCCTAATTGATGTGTTTCTTTATTCTCATTACTAGTGTCTACTTGATATCATATTGATAGTGTAAAGAGAAATTCTGTCTAGGTCATTAGTGGGACTAAAAGGTTTAAAATGGGGAATTTCATTATTGTGTAATGATCAAAATTTTCGGATGCTTTCAAATATAACGAAGAAATGTGATGAGAATCTGATGTTATGAAAAAATGGAAAAATCTGTAGATCTGTAGATCTGTTAAATGTTCATGGGAAATGCTTTTCCTCAAAAGCAAGGATACAGAAGTTTTCAAAGCTGATAGAAATAAGCTGTTTGCAAGTAATGAAAAGCAAATTGACAATCATACCTTAATGCTTAACATGCTTCACTCAAACATGTCAGTTATGTGTACCTGTTATTGTAGATGTGTCTTTAAAAAGATTTTCTGGTGGGGCTGTTGTTCTGTGTTGATCGTTGTAGCCGAAAAAGCTACTAAAGGCACAGAACTCCAATTTTTATGTGCACAAGGCATCCTCCAAGGTGAAAGAGTAGAAGACCATAAAATGATGTTTACTAGGCACTTGCACTTACCACAATCATATATTCAAGCAATTCTCTACATATATATAAAACTGATTACATGATGTCTTTAACCCTTTCCACCCTAACATCAGTATGCATATTCTCCATACTGTTCTCTATAAATTTCCTAATGAGCTGGCAAGGAGAATTTGTTTAACAATCAAGAGGTTCTTTAGTTGATTATCATTTCCTTTATTCTCATGACCTTAATGCTTGATTCAGGGATGATATTGAAAAGAGGAATTAGATGCCAGTCACTCTCAGGGATTAAAGTGTTAACTGTATGCATTTTATAACAACTAATAATACCCTAATTAGTATTTTTCTTTATTCTCATCACTTGTCTGTGTGATATTGTATTGATATTGTGAGGAGAAATTCTGTCTTGGTCACACATAAGAGTTAAAGGGTTTAAGGATGTGGGTTATTAAAAATATTATAACTTTTAATTCTGGTAATTATCTGAATGTGAGTAACATTTGATGTTTTCACATCTAACAGGATGATCAAGCTGAAGATAGACTCAAGAAGGATTAAACTTGGCTGTAACAATTAGGTGACTAAATTGGAAACTTGAGCACTTGGTAAATACACCTTGGCTTGCAATTCTGATGATTAAAGTTTGCTGGAGGTAATTGAAATTTGTCGTTCCCCATGCAGGAATATTCCACATGACCTGTAAAGTCCTATGCTCTGAGACAACTTTAGAAAAATGCATTTGTGTTGGTAGAAGTATTGTAAGTACAGTACAACCTAGTAACAAAAATTAATAATTTCTTGTAAGCATGGATGTTTGAGAGAAATTATGGTGGTAATTGACCCTTTTTTGCTAGAATGCATAGGGTCTGATGATTGTAATGTAATATATCTTTTAGCCTTCAAACTTTGAACTTTGTATTAATTGTAACTGTTTACCATATCTATTTTTCTGTAACTTAAGCCCTCAAAAGTTGAAGTAGGTGAGTCAATAACCTGTCTTCCTTTGTTTGGAATTGTGTGATTATATAACTTTGCTGTGTAAGTTACCACATTGTAACATGCGATATTATTACTTACATTGCATTAAATACTCTTGCTCAAGCTTTCATTAATGCATGGTGTTTCTTACCAATGCTCATAGCCAAACTAAACATTGATATAAGGAATTGGTCACAAGATATGTGAGTTTTAAATGGTGGGAATCTAGAAAATCAAGCATCCTCCTTTAATTAGGACTGAAATTAATGGGGACCCTCCTATTTTGATTTGTGTTTTTACTTAAACCTGCCTCCTCCCATGTAATGTTTAGGGCACATAGATGAAGAGAGCATTTTTGTATTTTGATGCATGAAAGTTAGATTAATTGGTGTCCACATAATGTACAAAGCAAGAATATGAATGCCTTAGCTGTAAAGGTTAAAAAATTAAAATAAGAGAGTTGCGTAGACCATATCTTAATTTTTATTCTTCTTTGGATATTTATCCAAGTAACATAATCACTATCAGTTTCATTCACTCTCACTTTCCACTGAGCTTGTGGAAAGATAAGAAGTTCATTATTTCTCTAAATGAAGAAAGGAAAGCCTACCCTCTTACCACAGATAATTCTTTTGGGAATAATCTGTACATACGTGGTCTAATTTGTACATGATGGTGATTGTTAGGCTAACCTTGAAAATTAGTTGTGAAAATTTCTTGAACCTGTCATCATATGAATGTTTGACTCAATTTTACCTCACTAACCAACATGATTTAAATTGAATAAGTAGAAACTTGAAATTTATTTGTTCTCCTTTTGAGGTGTGCATCAAAATTTAGAAGTCATTGAGGCTTGAACTACAGGTTTAGAGGAAATCTGCATGTGTTTTCAACGCATAAAACAGGGGTTATGATACTTCAAATGACTTTACTACATGCTGCACATGTACAGGCAAGTGTTGAAAAAAGTTTGCCAAGCTTTTTCATTTGTACACATTTCTTTTTCTAAGAATCATGTTCATCTAGCCTGTGCTGAATTCTAAGTTTTCAACCAATTTTCTTTTCTATTAAATATTCTTAGATCTCCTAGTATTAGTTAATATTCATGTAATTAAAATAATTACATGAGATCTTACAGATGTATGGCACATTTTTTCCTCTGATCCTCCTAACATTTTATTATGTGTAGGGTGTGGTATTGGCTATAAAATTAAAGTCAAATTAAAGTTTTGTGCACAGCGTATGCATCAAATTTATGTAATAAAGTATTGCATCCTTCTCAAAACTAGTTCATCAAAATAAGAATGAGTTACCAGGCACAAGTATGGCTTTCACGATGATAGTTTCTAGGTTTGAAAAAAGTCACTGCCTACTAAAATCCTCAGTTCCTTTGCCCTGACAGTCCAACCTCATCAAAACATTGCCAACAGGAGCAATTAGCAAATTAATGATACAGACAGGAGAGCCTATTCCCACATACACCTTCCTCAATCCTGTCAGCTTATTATGGACATGGCATTTCAGACATGGTGTATATGCCACAAATTTTCCATTTCCCTGACTAATTATTTTGTAATGGTGTTTACAAGTTGTGGAAAATGGTTGGGTTGAAATATAATATGAAGACTGCCGGTAGATAGTCAAATGAAAACTTTTTACATATCAAGAAATTTATTGTTACGTTTCATGTTCACATGTTGCAACAACTCCAACTTCCAGTAAATTCAATTAATGGCAAACATGAGAAAATACCATCTAAAACTTTTCAACCTATTTAATACAGCCGATAACAACATCAACTCAGCTTTTAAACTAAAGAGAAAACTTGATTGATGTTTGGAATTGATTTCTGTGATGTGGAAATGAAATCCAGGTATTATCTCAAGTTTTCTTGAGAACATCCACATTATATGCAGTTACAGCAGAGGTTACCAAATTAAATAACAGAAAAATCAGAAAACGACTTCGTATATTTCCAACCAGGGGATAATCATGAAACAAGAATAGCCAAAAGCGAAATTACAGGTTCAAGCACGAGTTGAAAATTACTTTTCTTTTTAATTTTCTATGCTAAACAGAGGAGGTTGAAACGTTAGGGAAAAACGGTGGGGCAAGCGGTCATCCCCTGCACCTTCAAGAGAAGATATAAAAGAAGCCCATACGATTCTGGCGTATAGTTTTTCTGACTCACTGTACTCGCGTGTATACACTTCAACCGGTCAGTGATGTCTGAAAGCGAAGTAGTTTACCATCGTTTCCCTCAATTTTGGCTCGTTTTCCCAAACCGAAATTATACGTCACATTCAATAGAATATAATTTCAACTGATGCTGACATCATACGCTTCATCGTAAGAAGAGAACATTCCCTATCTTCGAAAATTTGCTCAGAACACCAGGAACAACAACGAAAGTCCTAAATTTTTTTAAGATACCACTGCCTAGCAAGCTTGTTGATCACTTTGAAAGTTGTGAGAACATCGTCCCCAGGTTTCAGACCTCGTCTAGTCTTTTAATCCACTTGAAAAAACTCTTCAACAGCGAGTGCTGAAGAGTTTTATTGCAGTATTTGGTCAGTATAATGAAGGGCTGGAAAATAAACTAACGAGAGCTCTGCTTTTAGGCTTGGCTAAATCTATATATTATTCATGGAGCCAACTTCGCACGGAGGTTATATCAGTTTTGAAGTGTTTATATCTAATAGTAGGTAAAATTTCCAAGCGTTTTAACACAGATAAACAAGTAAAAAACATAAAATTAAACTTGGTACTCACCCATTGTTAATGATCTGATGGAATCCTAGGCTTTGTAAGAATGGCTTATCTAAAAAGTGTTTCAATCATTAATAGTAGAAATTTATGACAGTTAATTTCGGCTAAACTTCGTTGCTGTATACTTTAAACTGATCAATATGACAAATGCCGGTGAATAAGCTTTTTATGCGAACTTCAACTGCTGGTAGAGAAGAATATTTCAAATATTTCCTTAAGTTAAAAATTGCAACATACTTCACGTATTTTGCCCGTTTCTTGGTCAAATTCCTTGCGAATACTTTAAACTGATCAATACGACAAATGCCGGTGAATAAGCTTTTTATGCGAACTTCTACTGCTGATAGAGAAGAATATTTCAAATATTTCCTTAAGTTAAAAATTGCAACATACTTCACGTATTTTGCCCATTTCTTGGTCAAATTCCTTGCGAATACTGCTGCTACATAACTGCATCGAGATTCAATATTGAAAGCATTTGGATGGTGTTGATGCTTCTACTAGCGATAACTAAAATTACGAGTTGCAGCGTAATAATTGACGTTTATTTCGCAAACAGATGACTCAAACAAAAGACTTCTGTTATGTTAACTGACTTCACACCTTCGCGATTTAGCCGGCATTTTACTTGTGTATAAATTCAGATAATTTAGTAAACTGTCGGGCTAGTTTTTACAAACCTCATCGTCTTTTCCATGAATTACATCTCTCGCCAACAAACTCTTCGGCGAAATGAAAGAAAATTGTGTTAGGTACGATTTCTAAGAACAGAAAAATGTGTTTCTTAGAAATTCCGGAAGTTGGTCAAAAATGATATGTCACGTGGTTAGTCTTGTTTTCTCGGAAAACCATAGCACAACTTTTGCATACGTCCTTGCTTACCTTTGCTGAATATAAGCTAGCCCTCTGAAACAAAAGAAAAATGCACAAATGATACTTCGAGGAAATTTCTAGATATGCTATAATCTTTGTTTGATGGTTTTGTGTGTTTTGTTTTTTGAAGGGGTTAGATTTGATTTTCAGGACGAATTTTTAGCGTTATTAAATAATTATATATCTTTTGGTCTCTAATGGCGGACGCGTCACTCAACTGGAGCACATATCAATAACTTTCAAGATGGAAAGTGCCGAGTTTTGTTGAAGGAAGTTTTTTCATTTTTCTTTAATTTTTCCATCTGTAGATATATTTTCTGGGTGCGCCAATATTTTGGAGACAGTTTGTACGCGAGTCAATATTAATAAAAGCAACCACATTTCTTTCGGGATGGTTCGCTCTGCGGGTAGCGGCTCGTCTGATCTCGTTCGACATAGACATGACACCTTTCACTTCACTGTGATTTATATCATTCTGCGATGGAGAGTTAAACGAACGCGAAAAAGGATAACAAGAGTAGGAGATATGTACACCGACGGATTCCAAATAACTAGAACATGAAAAATTGAAAAACTGTTTCCGAAATACACCGATAGTGACCAAGAGGAAGTGAACTGTTTGTAATCTCTTGTTAGGACCTAACAGACTTCTTTTAAATATTCAAAGCCGATGAATTGTAATCAGCGGCCGGAAGTCGATGAGTACATGAGAAAACCTCTAAGAGAGTACTAATTCATTCATTTCAACCACAATTAACAGTGCTGTTCAACTTTTACGGAAATTTTCCTTGTAAAGCTAATTTCTGTTAACCTTGTCAACTTTGCGATGAAAGGATGGATCGCAAATCATGTGGAGCATCCGTTTTTCTTTCCGGTTCATTCTCGACTTTCTTTGTTTAGATCGAAAAAAAATATATCATTTCCCACGGTTGGCGCGATCAAAAACTTGAAAGGTTTTTAAAACTAAAGTTTCTTACGTTAACTGAAAGGTTTACTATTTTGGGTTCGGATAACACTGATTACACCTAAAAGTACTACCTCAGATAATTAATCCGATCTCCGGATGTTCATAACATTTCTCTCTTTATGATCTACTTTCGTCTGAAGTATTTGATGATAATAATATACATGGAAAAATTACTCAGTTTTGATTGGTTAAGGTAAATGCAGTTTTCAGGTAATTCAGTGCAGAAGAGGGTTTATTCGGTGCAAAGAAAGTAACAAATCAGAGATTCTGATTGGTCAATAATCAAAGAAACTCACAGGTAGTCAATCAAATGTGAGCCTTGGATGTCGCAGCAAAATTTGAAAATTTCCGAGCGAAATAATGGCCGGCGTGTTAAGAAGGTTTTCTTTCGCCACCGCAGCTGAAAAACAGCTCAATCAACCGAAACACTGTAAAAAGCACTGCTTTTTGGTAGTCGGTTTGGAAAAAGTGGTGTTTAGAGAAGGAAATTGCCAAGGAAATCGAAAGTTACGATTACCCAGCTTAACACTTTGCTCGAACGATCCAACGCCGAAATTAAAAACAAACATGGTTAAATTTCGGAAACGACGACCCCATTTCATCGAAAGTGATTCGGACACAGACTGAACAATTCCTTGAACTGTTTAGCCGGACTCTGAACCTTGTTTGCGCCTTCAAGATGGGGAGATATCATCGCATATTATTGTTTTGATTGTACGCAGTTGTTTTGACCGAACGCACGGTTTGAATAAATTATTTTTTGCACTTGATGCGCGCGATTTGCTTATGCTTAATTATGATAAGCCATCTAGTATTTTTCCATGTATATTACTAACACGTAATCACATGATTTTTCTCGTGCAATCTGGAATAAATAAGCACTTGTTACTTTTTTTCAAAGATCACAAATTGCACTCGCCCTACGGGCTCGTGCAATTTTGTTAGCCTTTACAAAAATTCACTCGCGCTTATTTATTCCAAATTGCACTCGAAATCATGTGATTACCTTTACCAATTCAACTCATGCCCCATACTTATTCTCTTTGGTGATCATCAAGTTGTCTGAATATTTTGACTTTTTTAGGAAAAATATGACGAACTCATGATTTTGAATGGATATTTACCTGATAAAGTCCTATCGCAGAGCCACTAAATAATTTTCTAGGGAACTTATAAAAACAAACAAAGCAGTTCCAATCCAGTTCCAAAATTTGTGAATAATGTCAAACACAAAACAATGTAATGACGTCATACCCTTCCCAGAGTTCACAAGACATTGTATAAAACAATATCGAGGATCGAAAAAATCCTGATCATTGCCATTCCAGTGGCGGGGTTTGTGGTACTGGTCGCCTTAGGATGTTGTATCTTCTGTTGCTTTTGCCGTATAAATAAACATCCGTATGCTTTTTATGCAAAAAAATAATCAATATTATTTGGTTTTATCAATTTGATATATTTGGCAAAAATCTCAAGGTAGCAATGACCATCATTGCACGGTCATGATAAAACTGCAGACCGTGCGGGCCGTGCAGATTGTGCGGAGCTTGCAGACGGTGCAAATTCATTTATCAAATAAAACTACACAAGAATACCCACTTGAAAAATCCAGCTATTTCGTCGAAGCATTGTATCTCAGTTTTTTTTGGTAAATTCTGACGGTAATCTCATTTGTGCCGCCATTTTGGATTTAAAAACTGAGTAAGGGTTGGGCGAATTTTCAAGTGGGTCAGGAACAAAAAGCGAAGTAACAAAACTATGACTAAAATTTGATAGTGTCTCATTTCAATCACTATGCAATGTATATTAGTTCAACGTTAATGCTGCTGTTTGTCAAGCAGCAACAGTGGGACCGGCCCACAGATGAGAATAAAATCTTTCTGGAAAAATTTCCTTAAAGAAAGGTGGATTTTTCATCCCATTCCTGTTTAGAAGTAGGTATCCATACAGTTGTCTCTGTTTTATTTTTCATTGTGTATTTGTGAGCTGACAGCGACGAAGTGTGTTCTTGAAAACGCAAGCAATATGTGATTGCAGAAAACAAGGTGCTCGGATGGAAAGAACCCTGCGAGTCAACTCAGCCGAGACTCTATGAAGCGCATGAAGGGTGTTACGTGAGAGGTGCAGAATCTTAGTTCGGACTTATTGACCCGATAACGGCCCAAAAACAAATAGAGCAGTAATAAAAAGTAAGATGTGGATCGTAAAAAAATTATTGGGAATTGAGATGGATTTCTGTTCGGGTCAGACTTCTGTTTTAGATTTAACCCAGTTTTTTTTTCAGAGCCATTATGTTTGTTCATCATGGGACTGTGAAGTTTTGTTAAAATCGTTCCAGTCAATAAAAGAAAAAAGTGCCATATTGCAATGATGTGGTATGGCCCCTTTTCTTTGTCTCTGTATCTTACTCAGTAAGACATTGTTGAGAATAAGGACTAAGGGCTAAGGGGGCTGTGGGGTAGTGGGGTAAAAGTTAAGGGGGTTGTCATAGGTAAATTTTTGCTGGGTAGGTGCCGCTGACTTTTTAGAACCCCTAACCCATTATAGTTTCCTCTGTGGCCAATTATAAACCCCATATTAGTTTTGAATTCCTACCAGAATTTTCTTACCCACACAATCCCAAAAATGTGCGACTCCATACTGGTAAATCTACTAGGAATGCAACTCCATTATAGTAAATCCAGTCGTGAAAATGCGACCTCGTCTAGCAGCACATTCGCATTAGCCCATCGCCAAGAAGAACCCCTTAGGGGAAAAAGCCCTCTAATTTTGATACAATGTAAGAGACCGACCAAAAATGAATACAATGAAAGCTTTTAATTAACCTCAATTCTGCTTGGCAATTTTCGCTGGTAATGATGGCTAATCTACTTTAGGGATAAGAGTAAAAAAACAGCTTGGTTCTCAACTTTATTCGATATAATTCTCTCTAAAGATCTTTAATGAACACGTCTTATCTTTAAACTGTTAGAAGGGTTTCGAGGATAGTTTTACTGGTTGCTACTTGTAACATTCTTTTCCCTAGTTCTATCCAGGGGTACCTTTTAACTCTTCAATAAGAACACAAAGTTACAATAAGAAACGAAAAAATTTCATGGATAATGTAGAAACATGACGACAAACGTTTTTTCATACTTCAATATTCTTCCTGGCTGTGAGAGCGCAGGGTATTATGGCGTAAAATTAATCCACTAATCTATAAGAGAACCCTAGAAGAATAACAAAGGTAAACCACGAGCTTAATTCTTTTAGATTTGCTTGCATTATTCTAGTCGTGCATAACACTGCTCAGTAATGCATTATTTCTCTCTGGCTATTCATGTGCGAATGAATCTTACAGAATTTTCTACTAGCTATTTGTCACTCAATATAATAAAATTTATGAATAAATTCACTCGCTTTGATATCAACTAAGCTTGAAAAGAGTCCTAACAAGGACAACCGTTCATCTTGTCTTTTCTTTCTTTATTTTTCTACTACTTACTTATGCACGCCATCTTGCATAAATGTTTTCTGGCCGAGCAAGTCATGAAAGATACTAGGAATTATGACGGTTGTCACATTAACCAAGTCAAACTGTCTTGAAGAGTGCCTCCTACGTAAAGAATGAAAGAGTGCAGTCATAATCATTGACACAATTCAAGTTAGTAGAAAAACCTGTTAAGCAAAAATCTTATTGACACTTATCCTTTGAGGTCGAAGTGACTACTTGTATTTGGTATACATATTCCACCACTGCTCACCGAAATTAAAAACAATCCTTACGAACTAATTTCAACACGAAGTCCTGCACGACGTCAAAGGCCATCGGCGCACGAAACACCAAACAATCGTTTAAGATTCAAATTCTTACCTTGTGAAAGGTGAAATATGGTAATTTCTGTTATCTTTCGAGACAAAAGTTTTTAGAGTGGTACAGGCTGGCACACACAGTACCAGGTGTCTCTCTGTTGTTGTTAGGCGAGATACAGAGTCGAGCTTTCTTTAAATTTCGGGATATTTGCAGTCATCGTCACATTCTCACACAGAGAGATAATCTCGGCCCATAATTGTAACAAAACAAGTAAACCAAAACTACAGATTCAACAAAATTTGTAAAAGCGTTTTTTTTTTCATTTTTTTTACCCTCACAACAACAAAGATAAAAAGTGCACAAAAATGTGCTGCCTATAGGACTTGGTTATAGGTGGACCAATCCCAGCGGATCTTTAGACGCCAGTATTAGAATCAGTAAAAATCGATGCTTTGTACTGGCAGTGACGATTTCCTTTTTGCACAAGCGATTTCTATGTATTGTTCAAACGATTAGTGGCAAAATGGCGATTGACGTGGTTTGATCTCACAAGAAACGATTGCTGTATTACATAACACAAGCAATGAAGGTTTAACATCATCGATGGATAATGAAAACTACGATTGATATTTAGTACTAACGTTCTGTCTCTGAACACAGGTAATTCATAATCTTCGATTGGAATTTGAGTCTCACAACGGTGTTTGGTGCAACAAGACATTAGATTGGTGCTTAGCATTAACGATTGACCATTTTAAAACGGCAATCAAATTGAGTTTCACTTACAAGTTCTTGCCAATACTTAAGAGAGAGTTTTAATGCTCGTGGTTAATATTTGTGTTCCAAATGACTCCCCTCAGACACACGTACCTTATCTTATTCTGCTTCTAACGTTCTCTAATACCCTTGAGGCTAGATCCACAGCATCTCTCGCCGTTTCTTCCGAATAAACGTCGCTTGGAATCTCAGGAAAATTGACCTGGTCGGGGTAACGCATGCGCGTCGAGTCGCCCACGCGACTTTCAAGCTGGCCCGATAATGTTGTCAGTTGAGAGTCATCAAGCGACAAGGAATTTTGCACTAAGTTGTGAACATTGGTCTTGTTTGAATCTAAAGAATATTGGGCGGCTTTCAGCGCTTTCTCGGCAGCCTGAAAAACAATGAACGTTAGCGTCATGACGCCCGAAGGATTTGAAAAGCACCGCTGCATTTAGCAAGCCAAGTCCTGTTTCGAAACTCTCTAAGGAAGGCGCAAATGAACTACAATTATTGTATCCTAAAAGCAAAATAAATCAGATCTTCCATTGCAAGCTATATGGCTCTTTACTAGTAACGTTATTGTATGAGTTCCCTTGGATTTCTTTTTACAAGCAACACATTCGAAATGATTACTGTGCACTCGGTCTCTTACCTGATGACATTTGAAACAAGCCCACACGAATGACGGCTTAGCAGAGGAAATGTCGTTATCAGCAGCTGCCAGATCAGCCTCAGCTTGTCTGAACCAGCGTCGTGCCTGTGCAGGTTGGGGATTTGTGGTACAGAAGCTAGGAGGAACTTCCCACGATCGTGATCTGTGGCTCCAAGACCCATAATGTCTAATGAAGTTCTCTGTGTATTCTTGACGCTGTGAGTTATATTGCCTTACACGAGCTCCCCAGAAGGGAAAATACACACCGTAAGATCCATGAGGGCTCCCAGACTCCGTGCATCTACGTAGTTGTTCTCTTTCTAGTCGTTCAATTTCATTTTTTATATGCTGGAAAATCTCCGTGCAGAAGACTTCGTTTCCTGGATTCTTATCTGGATGCCACTGCAAAATAAGTCTCTTGATAATTTGTCTTCTGATGTCCTCTGATAGCTTCCATGCGTCTTCAAGGATTCTTGAGATGTCGTCAAATATCTCCTGGTTATAAAAGGGGGAGCTTCCTTGCTGACCAGACAGGACAGTGGCAGAGGATGCTATCTCTTGAAGACGGTGAAATTTATAAAGCTTAGTGGCGCGGGCAACTTTCGGTTCCTTTTCATGTCCAATGTCTATCTGGTAGGACTTCTCACAAAAGCTGACGTTTTCACCAGAGACGTCTTTGAGTATCACAGCATAAATGAAAACTGCATCCCCTTCTTCAAGATGAAGACTTGGATCATCTAGTTCGTATCCAACGTATTCCCCAGGCTCGAAGAATTTGAAAGCTGGATTTAAAAGGTTGTGTTCTGCTATTGGTATGAAGCTTCCTGGTTGTGGAAAAACATCTCCCCTTTCTTTGACGTTCGAATCGTCTTGTCGAATCCCCATGCTATCCAGTAAAGACCAAATCTTACCAGGTTGAGATCCCAGCATCACTGGGATATACATGGTGGCTTCTCGCAGAAGCCCGTTACACACTTCTGCAATCACCTCCGACAACGTTAGAGATATCCTTGACATGGTTTCGTCGACGTCATCGACTGCGTTAACATATACTTTCCAAAACTGGTGACCGGAGTCTAACACCTTTTCTAAAAAGTATGGAACTTCGCGTTCACTCTCTTTGATAGGCACCCCGTTATGAACCAGATGAGTAACGATTCTTTTCATTCCAAGGAATTCAATTCTTTCCAAACCGCTTTTAACAGTTATGAGCATATTTTGATCTAGACTACGACCTCGGCTGACGTGGCGAAGAAGTCTCACAATTCCTCGATAGAACTGTTCTGAGTGGAGCTGTTTCCTTAATGAACTAGCAGCACCTATGTCAAAACCTTTGGCGTTATCACTGGAATTCAAGAACTTTTCTTCAATTACGCATGACATCATGTGTGGCCGGACTTTACTGGGAAGAAGCATGATCAAATCTTCGTAGTTTGCATTATTTTTGCAGCTAACTTTAGCTCTGTCGAGGTCGACCACAAAAGGTGCGTTGAAGTTTTTGATACGATCACGATAGAGGGGAGTATTCTCGAAGATCAGCTCGGTGGCCTTCATCAGTGCGACCTTAAGTCTCCCGTTGTTGTCATCCAAACAAGCGCTGTAAGAACAGGTAGCGGGGAGGTACAACGACGAAATAACCTGAGCTGCATCAGGTGAGTCTTGCATTGTTTCCATGAGGCCTTTGACCGCTCTCAAAGCACAGTTAACCTCATTTACATGTAGGCTTTCTTCTTTACAACGTTCGTGCAACATATCCAGTACAATGACATAGTTGGAAGGTGTGACAGATGGAGAACATCCCAGGTATTCAAAGAGTTTCGAAAAGCTACTTAATTCGTTTGGCATTCTGTATAGAAATGGCTTAATTTCAAGGCTCTCATACAACTCGATAACCACTTGTTTAGCAAAAACGAAACGTTGACCCTCTTGCACCAAAATACAGGGAGTAAGATCAAGTCGTTCTTTCGCAAAATTACTTGAAGGGGCGTTTTTCTGCAAAAAACTGTAGATACTCCTCATCACTGACGTTCTGGTCACCTTCTGATCCAGAGTAGTTTCCATATCGTTCTCTTCTGCTAGTTGAAAGCATACATTTTGGCAGTGAAAGACAACTTGATTTATGGTCGGCTCAGTTAGAATCTGAAGATAGGAGATGACAGCATTACAGAAGGCACGCTCATTTTTCCAACCCTTGAATTTCATCAAGTATACATATTCTCTTGGATTTGCCCATCGTGGAAGGATTGATGCCGTTGTCCACGCTGCCTTACCGTGCTCTGGTAACACAGAACCCTTAAATGCAATGTAGGGAAGCTGGCCATTCCTTCCTTCACCGAACTGAGGATGAATTGCTCGTAATTCGGCACCCACTGGATCTGTGGCTATAAACCGGATGTGACAAACAGAATGCAAAAACCCTTCTTCCACAAGATTCTCTCGACAGAACAGGTGTTTCACTAGTACCTTGGACTTTGTGTAAGTTACGTCGTTTTTCTGTGTTGCACCTTCGCGTTCAATTTCAATTGCAAACTTCAGAAAAAGATCTTTAGAAACATCACACGTCAGCCCGATTTTCCTCAAAAACTGCAGCCAATCGGGCTTGTTGAATGGTTCTGGGGGAAGCATGTTTTTAGGAAGCAGTGCTCTGAAAACTTCATGTCCAGGTTCGTAATAGAAGGACGCCCTCTTCAAACTTCCATCTGTAAAGGGAATAAAAGCTGTTTCACTCAAACAGCCGAGCAGCCTCTGCTTGAGCACCCTCTGCTTTTCGTTTGTGTCTCCTTGAGATAGTCCTGGCAAAACGACGTCACGAATGTGCTTAAGATGAGTAAGTCTTGCCGTGCTGCTAAAAATTGCCATGTTCTGCAATATGAATTTACAATAGAAGTCAACAGTGGAGACACATTTGAATTCAAGAAATTTGTACAGTGGAAGCAGACGTGTCCACTCTTCTAAAAAAACCACGTTTAATCGACTCCCCAGCTCCTCCACTTCTTCGCGTGGGATATCATGTGGAAGGACGCAAATTGATTTACCCCAAATACTTGTGAGTATTCCATGCGTTGTTTGATAAAACGGAAGTTTCATAAGTGGCAGCTTGTCGCGTTCTTGCAGCCTTTCCACATTACGACTGAAGTAATCCAAAATGTTGTCACATTCTATTCTCGTCAATTTGTCCTCAATAGCTTTGGGGTTCGTTGCCATTTTAATCCCCAGTGATTTCAGAAGGTATTCTGGTGTCTTAAGTGATGCTACCAACTTCCGTGCAAGGTACTTTGAGTCGCCAGGCAAGAAACTGCAGTTCACCTCAGCTAGGCTCAGCTTCCTCAAAGACTCAACAAGTTTGCTAATAACGGCATCGATATCGGAGTATGAAAAATCAAGTACAGCCTGAGCGAGATTAAGGGGAACAAGGAAGTGTTCTGTTCTGCCCGATGGTGCCATCTGGATTGTTTCAGTACATGGAAGAATACTCCAATTTGACAGTGGTTGAAGAATTTTTTTAATTCTTTCAATCTCTTCTCCTTGTGATGGAGTTTTCCCCTCTTCCTTAAATTTTGTTTCTTCATCCAAAAACTTCCAAACTGCTTCCACCCATTGCTTATTAGGCACTGATTCCTGTGTCGGGCACCATGCAACGAAGCCACTGCTGGTAGAATACTCATATGGTAGGGTTCGATCTAAAAATGTGGCAAAATCTTCAACTCCAAAACGTTTAAACACAGGCGAATCCTGACTCTTCGCGGCGTTAAAGATGTGAATTCTCATATTATTGTGGACAAACATCTCACTGCACTGTGGTAAGATACCATGATGACGCGATATATACTTAGGATCATGTGGACTGAAAATGTGTAGGTGATTGTTCTGTGTTGCGAGCAAAGGCAGTCCTGACAGATTTTCCAGGAAGTTTTCGTCATCTTTGCAGTAGTTTAGAACAAGCAAAACGTTCTCAATCTCCTTAAATAGCGTATTCTTGATATGAACACACATAGGTCCAACACAGCAGAGCGGATTGTCATCATTAAAAGTCTTGTAGAACGCCATTACTGCAGAAGGTGAGACACAATGCGATTCCACGCCAGATTTTTTCAGTGCATCATACACTAAAATCGAGAACTTCACAAGGTTAAAGCCTGTTTGTAGTAGAATGTCTTCGAACCTCCTTATCTTTCCCGTTCTTTGTTTCTCCTCTTTTTCCAGGTCGCTTTCAAGAAGGGGACGTCTCGGTTTTCTAGCGAAACAATCACTTGCTCCAAGATTATTGAAAAATGCCTTTTCTTTACCCTCGCCTGTTGGAGGAAGCCACGTAAGTTGAGTCTCCTCGTCATTCCTTTCTGATCCGCCACCTCTCACCACTGGGAGGAGTCTTAATCCCTTTTCGTCCATACCTCGATAAACGGATCGTATCAAGGTCGCCCAGTAGGTTTCTTCTGAAATATATAGAGGGAAAAGCTTTTCGTACTCATCAATCTTGGTAAACAAAGCATCCTTGTTACATTGAAGTTTACTTTGTGCCGAATTGAGGGAGATTTGAAGGTGAAAAAAACCCCTGACTTCATCCAGAAGTGTCAGGTAACATGATGAAATCACGTCTCCAAGCAGGGCATTGTTCCAGTCGGTGCGATAACCACCAGCTTCGTCTCTCCACAAATTTCTTCTTGACTCATGATCCAATGCAAAGTGTCCATTGATGTGTAATGGGAGACTAGTCTCGAGAGGAAGTGGAAGGAAACAGTAAGCTTTTTTCGCTTTACTTGCAGGCTCATTAAGCGTGGAACTTTTTTCCAGAAGGCAGGCAACTCCACCACGGGGCAGCATTCCCAGATCTCCCCTTCTGTAAGCATCTCTTATGCTTTGTTGCAGCTGTTTCTCAAAGCCAACTTGCTGAACAACTAACCATTTTTCTTGGTTGCCACAGTTGTCTTAAAGATTCAGAACATATGAACACTTTTTAACCTCGATGTCAGATGGGTAAAGGTCGCTCGGTTGTTCAGCTGATTTTCTAATGTTCTTCATAAATGTGGCAAACTCTTGCCTTTTCGTTTCGTCCTCCTCCGACATTACTGCTGCGACTGAGTAAACATTTATTCTTTCTCCAGTTGTAGGGTCTATGTCACACAAGGTGATCTTCCTTACGTTGTTCACAAAGATCAGAACCTCGAAGAGTTCTTCTTTTAGTGATTTCATCATGTCTTTCAACGCGTCGGGTGTTACTGAGGTCTTGGATATCTTAGAGCTATTCGCCATCTCTTCGGTTCGTAATGGAAAACGAAACATTGTCGAATCCTGCACGGGACACTCTTTCTGTTCGTAGCAAAAGAAAACGTCTGGAAATAATTTTTTGACCTTTTCCATTTCTCTGAACATCCTTCCTGGTTTCCATTCAGTTGCACCTGGTACGTATTTGTGATGGGGATCAAATACACACAAAACGTTCCCTATCTCCTCACCACTAGAGACGAACGACGGTACGTCCGTTAGATGGTACACAGCATTGAAACCAACACCATACTGGCCAGTTTTGTTGGGATCGTCTCCTTTACTGCCTTCGCCGAGATTTTGTATTCCAATAACATCAGCCTCCGTGAATGGTCGATTGTTGTACACACACAACGCAGGGCCCTGGAGCAATTTCCAGGAGTCTCCAAATACCTTTGCGTCAGAATGCTGTCGAGGGTCGCTGATAAAGCATATCTCTGTTGCTTGTGCATCGTCAGCATTCTGAAGAAGTTCTTTCAGTATTTCTTTCTCACATGGATAGGCTGTAAGAATCCGCCTTAGACGATTTTCAAGCTTTTCGCTTTGTCCGAAAGGAATCCCAGTAGAGAAACGATTTAGAGTTTCCTCGCGACGGGTCTTGACACCAAGTCGGGTACTCACTGGAAAAGGAATCATTTCATTTACAAGGTGTACACCACTGTCGTCTGGTATCCAATCGCAATCTCCCATACAGAGATCACCAACAGGTCTCATCACACCCAAGGAATCAGGAAGAAAGACTGTATCTTGTTCTCCTTCATCTCCGACAATTTGTGTACCACGCCTCTTTAAAATATTTCCCAGTTGGACAGCCATATTAACTGCTACTTGAATACTCTCCTCATCGAGATTTTCCTCCCCAAATGTGTGTTTCATTTGCTTCAAAGAAGCTTTGAAATCATCGACATCGAAGGCAGCTTTCACTCCAGCAGTTTTCATGAAGCTTTCAAAACTTTTTGCTAAATCTTGTGGAAGCTGGCGAAGATATGGAGAACAATCGTAATGCAGCTCGAAAGCCACTTTCTCCGTTAAGACAAATTCCCCCTCACAGAAAATAAACTTTTTCCCGCCAAACAACCCTCTTACTTCCTCCTCTGCGATGCACTTGTTACAAAGAGCTTCCTCGAGATACCTGTACGCTGCCAAGCAAACTTCTTTCAAGCTTTTGATCTCCAAGGGGTCCAGATTCTGTGTGCTAACAGACGCGGCAATGTTAAGTTGCATTTTAACATGGTTTAATGTAGCATGTTTCGTGTCCAACTGCAGGAACGCTTGGACGATGGTTGGCAAGTGTAACTCAAGTACTGGCTCAGTGCAGCAGACTAGATCCTTTACTCTCTTAGGAAAGGACTCTGTAGGAGACATGAATACTCGACCATTCTTAAATCGAAATTCATCAGCTTTCCAAGGAAGTGGGAAGCTTTTAGGCCTCTGAAGCACCGGCAAAAATTTGGCGTGTAAAAATGTCTCCCGAGATTCAGAGGAAGCACGATTTTCATTACCATACATCAAATTTCTTTCTAGATGATCGATTAGATCTTTTGTACGCTTCAACGCTGATTCACTACAATGATCACTTAATAAACTGATACTCTGCGCCCTTTCTGCAAGCTGTGGCCACGGGAGATCATCTGCCAACATTCCAAGTTGCTCAAGTTTGGCAAGTCGTAAACCGTTCAGGAAGGTGTCTCTTGTTCCAGATGGAAACATTTCATCCTCCGGGCTAAACAGAGAGGCAGCTAATTTGGTCGGGTTGATGAGTTGGGCAGGACACTTAAGTTTTCGACCATTTGGTGTGGTTGGAATACACGCGTATGACTTGATTAGATCGTCAAACTCTCCATCTTTGTCATCAAGTGCGTACAATACCAGATGGTCTCGCAGGTGTGGTGGAACCGAAGCAATGTTTGGAAAGAATAACTCACGGAAGAATTTACTCTTGTCGTAGTTTTTCTCTTGGATTTTTGTCACGAGATCGTAGCTGACAAATGACTGGTATACCTCAGCTGGAATATCAATTATGACTGTATCCTCTTTCTTAAAAAACTTCAAAACTTCAAAAGACAGCTCTCCGATTTTAGGATCATACCGAAAGTTGGGCTCCAGAAAAACCACATGATCGATGTTCACCCATTGGCTTCCATTGGAAAAGAGAGAGTAGCCTCCACTCGCCAAACTTTGGTAGAACGAACGCGCAAGGGGCTCACAGTTCTGCTCTACCTCACGTGCTCGAGGCCATAGTGAATAAAACTGGTACTTGTCAGAAGCTAAAGTCTTGACGTCCTCCAGAAGGTCTAGGTAAGCTTCACATACGGAGTCTTGCATGAGACTCTTGTTCCACTCCACTCCCATGGAATCTTTATCGTCTGCTGTCTTCTCCTTCAAGCTTCGCCTACTGGAAGCCACTGCAAACGCCCCATTCACATGAACCGGGAAGCCACTTTTAATTGGAAGTGGAAGGTAGCAGAATAATTTTCCTATAGGACGTTGTACATTCGCAGCGACTTGATCAACAACAGGTACTGGTAAGATTTTTCCACAATCATCGAAAAAAAATCTGGCAGCTACTCCCGCTGATGGAAGTAGACTTTTGTCATCCTTTTTAAACTTCACTGTGAGTCCTTTGCCCATAGAATTTGCAACCAGCCAAGTCTGAGACTCATCTGACATGTAGGCCTGGGCTTCAACAAACGGTTTTCCGCTCTCCGTAGTGGTGCTCTTAATGTTAATTGTAAGCGCAGAACTAAGACCAGCAGGCATGGAGCTATCCGCATCTCCACCATTCTTCGCAACTACAGATGATGCTTGCAAAAAATTACACTGCTGCAAAAGGTACTGCTCTTCCTTACTAAGCTTCTTAGCAGCATGGGAAAGAGAAACTGGAAAAGACAATTCCCTTTGGATCCCTTCTCTACACAATGACTTGCTAACTTCAAACAGAAGCGAAGGTGGACAGGAAAGGCTCGAGTCTTTCGGTAGGTGGTAAATGCTAACCCGGACCACATTTTGCGTGAAGAGAAGAAGAGTCTTGGCACCAGAGGCGAAAAGCTTTAAGAGTTCTTTCATTTGTTCGTTGTCGTAATGAAGTTGCTTGATTTCACTTTTAATGGCTTGCTCTCTGGTACGTAATGGAAAACGGAACAGAGTGCCAGGGTACGAGTAGTCGTCTTTATTCAGGTGAAGATCGCAATCAAATATTCCATTGAACGGTTTAAACTGATTGCTGAGACTCCGAAGTCTCTTTGTGTTTTTGTTGAGATTTATCTTTATTCCAGGCTTGCTCTTATTTCTTATTGCCTTTCCAAGATAGAATTTGTTCGGGTCGAAAATCACAAAGAAATTTCTACTCAAAAACATCGGAACGTCTGTCAGATTGTAGACTGCGTTGAAACCAAGTCCAAACTTGCCAATTTTCTCAGTTTCTTGTTCTTTTGTAGCACCGTTTAATTTTGCGATGTTTGTAAAATCCTCGTCTCTGAATTCGGCGTCGTTGTAGACCCACAGAGCAGGACCCTGACAGTGTTTCATTTCTTCGTCTATCAGACAAGTCATGGCATCCTGGTTCGTTCGTTCATCATATAGAAACCTCACTTCAGTGGCACCTGCATCGTCTGCGTTTTGAACAAGCTCTTTGGGTACTGCAAAGCCATCAGAGTAGTCCTCCAGAAGTCTGCTAAGTCTACGGGTAAGTTTTTCTTCTTGTCCAAATTCCTCTCCAAAATCGAGCTCGTCTGGCTCCAACATTCGATTCATCAACGTTGGAACGTGCAAAAGTTCAGCTGTGCTGTTTGGAATGTTTGGATGTACATAAAAATATCCCATGCCTTCATCTTCTTCTCCACCGTGGTTACTTCTTTCTAGCCAATCATGCTCGCAGTACATACATTTCTCAACTGGTGCAAGCTTAACATACGCGTCGTCTTCCACATGTGTCGGAATGAGAACCTTTTCTTGAAGTTCAGGCGGCAACTGATCTCCAATCTTTGGCTTAATTTCATTCAAAATGTCCACAGACAATTGCAAGTCCTTCCGTACCTCTGCCGGAGGAGGCGGAGGGTGATTATCGTACTTCTCCTTTATTAGGTGAAGAACCTCCACCAAGAATGCGTCATCGCACTTCTCTTGTAAGCCAAACTTTGCAAACAGCTTGTAGAATCTTGCCACCTCTGAGGGAAGGGAACAGATATATGGTGACAGATCAATCGGAGGTTTCTGAGATATCAGGAATCTAGGGGAAGAAAATCCATCTCCGTTCCAAATCCATGGAAGGTTCTTGACATTTTCCAAAGCAGTAAGTACATCGTTATCATCTGCACGACTGAGAAAGGCGTACACTTCCTGAGCGATGATAATATAACGCGGCTTCTCTCGAGTACTGAAGCATTTTATTACATTCTGCAAGTGCTGCACGACGTGCAAAACAGTCGGGTCTGTGTCCCATGAAAAGAAGCGGGTTAACTGACCACATGGCTCAGATTTGACAAGTGGTTTTACTGATCCAATGATGTTTGCTGCTTGTTTGCACCTTACATCTGAGGGCTTTAAGAAATAAGGTTCTTTGTGCGTTTCTCCCCAGAACGGAAGACTTTCGGGGAAGTCGTCAGGTTTTCGTCTGATCACAGAGACCCATGGAATACCCTTAAGATGCATCCCGAGCTCTCCTAAACCTGACGTTCCAGAGATGATCTCTTCAAGTTTTGCCGGATTGCTTGTTAGGAATGACATGATCGCTGATGACTTCATTTCCGCTGCAGAAAAGTCAAAAATGTTGTTCACTGCTTTTGCGCTTTCGTACACATTTTGCCCCGTGATTTCTCCTTCGCTTTTCATGCCAAGGCACTCTAAGATTACTAGAGCTGAAGGGTGATCGTACTTTCCAACAGGGAACACATCTTCCTCCACGAAAATTCTTTTTATGAAGTCTTTTCTGGGATCAAACACCTCCTTAGGTCTCACTCTGTCATTTTTAGTTGAGACAAAGGGCAGGTCTTTTAACTGATTCTGAAATCGCCCATCCTCTGCGGCGTAAACGTGATATCTATCCATCACGAACCCCATGAGTCTGTCAATTTCTTCAGTAGAGTAACGCTGACGTATTACATCCGGAAATATCACCTCAAGCAAAACCTCAGAACGTGTCAAGACTTGGATGTCTAACAAGCTTGCTAGTCTCTTTGTATCGTTCTCTCGAATGTCGATGAGATCTCTGAGGGTTTTCACTGGAAACGCTTCGTCAGGTGCAGCGCAAAGGCCATCACTTTTAGAAACAAAGGCTCCGGACATAGTCTCAAACAGCGGTATGCAGTTCAAGACTTTCTTCTCATCTGGACTTAACGAAGAGGCTTTGGCAACAAACTTCCTAAAACATTGTTTACCATCGTCTGTTGTGGTTTGCACGGCGGTGGGTTTTAAGGTAAGGAAAGCTGCCAAAGCTTTTAAGACCCCTTGAACTGATGGCGGATGAACAAACGTTTTCGAAACGGAAGGGTGCAGGCCAAGGAAACTTGGATATCCTTGCATTACTGTAACTCCAAGCTCTTTCAAAGTTCCGACAATAGCGTCGTCTAAAGAATCGCCATGAAGGCTTCTCACCACAACATCAGATATCTGCTTAAGTCTCACGAGGGTAATCGGAGCTTCAGATATATCGAGTGGAAGTAGTGGCAGGCCTTCAAGTCTGCAAAGCTCGTCTACAGAGGGGAAGTTCTTTCCTAGGTATGCCCACAAATTTCCTAGCCAGTCATTGGACGGATGGCCTCCGACTCCAGGATTCCACAAAATGTGTTGTCCCTCTAACCATCCAGGTGGGAGTGACGACGGGAGAAGTCTGGCAACGTCATCTTTGGTGAAATGCCGTAATTGAGTGCATCCTGTTCGAAAAGTAACGTGACTCTTCAGCAAATCTTAATTGGCTTTTATAAGTGAAAAACTTCAGACATACTGCCTCTAAATACGGCACTATTGTGAAAACAGGTCTCGCATAAATGGAACAGGTTACCATACAAAATCATAAAAGTTGAGAAAATAATAGGTAAAATAATTGTGAATTGTGAATGATAGCAAAAAGGTAACTCAGAGATCTCAATTGTCTCGATTTCTTCCGTGGGATAAAATACGATGATCTTTTAAATTGGCACTTTGCAATTCGAGGTTCTAGACCTGGTAGACTAGAAGGATTAAGTATAATATTTTTTCAGATGCAAAGCACCAGCTTAGTTCTTCGTATGGCTCTTTTCGTTGTTGTAACAACTACTGCCAATTTGAATACCTTGTTTTGCCACTGCATCCAGTTTTCGTGACAAATCTTTGTCGATGTTCTCATCAAGGAACTTTTGTCGTGGACACGGTAAAAGTTCACGGGGATGTGCTGGTGATGAAATATAAACAGCCTCTCCCGTATTTGAAAACGAAATGAAGTGCTCGTTGGAAATTGGTAATAGCACCAATCCAAGTAGGTCAGAAAGGCAACCGTCTTTGAGAACAAATTTCAGCAGCAAAAGTTTTTCTGACCGTGTTAAGTTTGAGTAGCTATAGGGGACATTCTTTAGGACTCTTCGCGTCAACGAAGGTGTTACTTCTGCACTCAACGTTGAGTACAAGCAAATGGCTTTTAGGGCGTGTTCGGGTAAACAGGCGACGTTTTCATTCGCTGCAAGAAAAACGTTCACCAGCAATTCCTTAGGATCACTTCCTGCAAGTCTTTCAACGATCGCGTCTGCCAATTTTATCCATTTTCCTCCTTGAGCCGGAGTGTAGATGATGCTTTTGTCAAGAAGCAACTCAAATAGGGGTTTCTCCACTCTTTTCCATTTCTGATCGATGTTAGTTGTATCAGGCCATGCTCTATTCAAAGGAGAAATTATGGGAAACTGTTTAAACTAAAGAAGGACTTTTAGATCCATAAACTGTTTAAGCATGAGTTAGTAGACTTTTATCAACAATAGAGACACAATCAGTCTAAAAGGAGACCGACATGCATTTTAGCTGTTTCCATCAACTCATCTTCTTGAGCTCTTTGCTACATATAGTTTTAGCAAAAAGAGGTAATTATGTTATAGGGGCACACACGCTTACTTGTACACGGCTTCGCTTTGCACGTTGTAGTTCTGCTCGTCCGTAGCATCCAGCAGCAGAGAAGCATACGCTTTAGGGATTGCCTCTTGCAGAAGACACTGATTCCATAACAATGACTTGTCAGTCAGGGGCTGGCCTTCCTTCTCAGCCAGATCTTCTTGTTCAGCTGTAGGCGTCTTTATGTATCGCCTGTTCTGACTCAAAGCAAAGAAGCCGTTGATGTGCACTGGCAATCCTGTCAAACTTGTCTTCTGTACTGGTAGTGGTAAAAAACAAAATACGTGGCCTTTCATGTCTGGCGTTTCTTGTCCAGGGCGTTCTGGCAACTCCATGGCGATGCCTACCAAAGGCAGATAGCTGAGATCTTGATCTGAAGCCAAGGTTCTAAATCCTGACGATATTTCTCCTCCACAAAAGTAGTTAGTAACCAGAAACGAATGTCGCTCTGACATACTTGGGAAGCCTTTAGGGTAGGTAATTGCCTCGATTGTAATAGGATAAGTTACCCAAGCAGCTTCTGGCAATAGTTCACCTGATGAGATCTTGCTTCGAAACTCACTCCTCTTTTCTCCCACTAACTTTAGGGTATTATTGGTGATTCGGACTTGAAACGTTTTTCTGGCGTCACTGTCTGTTTCCTCTCGAACAAAAAGCTCTATGGATTCCAGATACTGAAGAAAGAGAAGGATCAAATGAGCATCTGCCTCAAAACTTTCAAACAACGTGTGCACCTTTTGGGTAGTGTATAACGTCGGCGATAACTTGGATGGTTCTGTCCTTAAAGGGAAACGAAACAATGTCCCATTATAGGATCCCTGTTTGAAATTTTCCTCTGTACAATCGAGTATCCCTTTGTATGGCTGAAACTGGTCTGGGATGCTGTTTATGATGTCTCGGTCCTCTTTCAATCGCCACCTGTGACCGGTTCGTTTGCCATTTTCGTCGCTAAAGTACTCTTCGTGCGGATCAATCACTCCGATCTGCGAACCACTTACGATACTTGGTAAATCTGAAAACGAACACATATGACTTTGTCGCATTTTAACAATCGAATATATGTACACATCTTTGCAAAATCGGAGAAAAATTGTTGCTTTTCACAGCACCAAGCAAGCATAGCAGAGATAAATACGATTACACGAAGGTAATAACTGTATCTGCAAGGATAGCACAAGCATGATTTTACCTTTAAGTACAAACATTTTCCGGGTTTCCACCTCGGCCAATTTTTCGATTTTCTATTAATCAGCGACAAAAAAAATCCCCTGAAAAATCCCACAATTTAAAGCGCAGCCAAAATTTACAACCTTCCGTCAAATGGTAAGCTTCTCTGGTGAATTTGATGTCTATTTGTATTCTTAGTATTACAATTTAAAATCATGAAGCAGTAACTTTTGTTAACTTTTGTCTAAATGTAAGGAGTGATAACACAGACTCCCAAGCCAGAGGCTCACATAAAATAAGAATAAAATATGTAAAAAAATACTAAATGACAAGAAAATAATCTAAACTAAAACTCATTTAAAGGATTCTTTCAGAGAATTTAGCTATAACTATCAATCCAAACAGTCAATATAATGGAAAATTCCTAGGAAACATTCACGTTAGGTTCTGAGAACATAGCGATTCAGGAGACTCACCTGTCATATGGAAAACAGACTTAAAGCCAAGACCAAAACGGCCAACTTTCATCGGGTCTTTGACTTTGATACTATCACACAACATCCGTATGCCCTTCCAGTCATCTTTTGTAAATTGGGCGTTATTATATGCATAAAGTGCTGGGCCCTGATACATGAAAACAATCAGGAGTCACTTTACAAAACGAACAATTAATGAGTCAGGATGTGTTATTCCTAATTAAGAGACCAGTTTGTATTGGCCACGCAGATTTAGTTGAGTCTAATCTATATGGAGCTTTTAACAACAAATTAATTGTTGCTTAATACTGAAATAAGTAAATTCAAAGTTGATCGATTCAAGCCAACAAGCTATTTCTGACTGTAACTGTGAAAAGTAAAGGGAATGTAAAGCTTGCACATTGATAAACAAATTTACCTGAAATTGAGCAATACCCTGGTGATGAAGTTTGGCTGTGCCATAGCTGTGTTTGTCGTGGAGGAATTTTACATGACTTGCGTGTGCATCCTCTGCATTTTGGATGAGCTCCTGATACAACCAAACACATTTCAAGATGTAAATTACAGAAGACCAGAAAAGATATTAAGCACACAAATGAAAAGAATTGAAAACTCTTGTATGCATCATTGTTCCATATAAACACAGCATACAAAATTTTAAAATCAAAGTGTTAATATAAACAGTTATCTTCTTTACCCAATTGTGATATTTGACTCGAGGTCTGGCACTCCCCACTCGCTTAACCCTCACACAATACCAATTGAAAGGATGGATGTCTAAAAGTAACAATAACCCACCCCCCCACCCCCCCCCTCTACCTTTCAGCGGACTGGTTGTGGTGGCCCTTTTTAACTCGTGAATTACGCGCATGCGCAAGAGTGAGTTGTAGATACGATGTGGGGAATGGCATTCGTTCGCTTGCTCGCTTGCTCGATTGGTAGATTCCTGTAAACTTTTTTGCGATTTTAGGCTTTTGAGTGCATTTGATAGTTTTTTGGCGAGCAAAAAGCAAACGAAATGGTGACCTTTGTTGCTAAGAATAGTGGTGGGGTGACAAAGAAGCCAACTATAATCTTAAAAGAGTTTTTTTTTTCGTTTTAGTTTCATCAAGCGGCGCCAGCGACTGGCAGGCATGCAAGGATTCACACTGAAATAACAGAACAACCTTCGTTTTTCATAAAACTGTAATTTACAATCCTTGAACTTGAAAACAATCCGAAGATTCATTGAAAATATCCTTTACTGCGAAGCGCTCGGAGTTTACAGATGTTCAAAAGATTTTTCTGCTACGGCGTGAGATTGAGGACAAAATCGATCATTACGCTTCGTATCGTGTGTTTTCCCTGTGTGAAGCAACAGAAGATGCCGGCGACTAACGAAATTACAAGTTAACACGAAAATCAAATAACACCTAAACAAACAATTTTAGCTACCGATTTTCAGTGAATTTTTAAAGAACAATTTTCTTTTAAGTTTCAAGACAATTTGAAGATTCAAAATTCATATTACGTACTAAAATGAGAAAGTTATACACCACAAAATTGATAAATAGGCCTGAAATGAAATTCTATCTTGTTATTGATTCAGTACGTTGCCCAGCACGTGACTAAAATCTACCCAGGCGGAGATCCAAAATGACGGTGGCAGTCTTGGCTTAGTTATATCACTCAAAACTCGTTCCCGTTTGTCTCATTTGATAAAGAGGGAATCACTGATGTTTTCATTAAGACAGCATTGCCTTGATTTTCTAATATTTACAACGAAAGGCAGTAAATTTCACTTTTTACCCACATTTACTTCCAACCTTTTTTTTTGAACCAGAAACAGAAATGATATACATTTAAAACACATGACATCATCCACCCTTGTCAAATGCAATAGCATGATCATTTTATTTGTAATGCCTTCTTATCCCAACGTTACTTTGTTTCTTTGCTACATTAGCGAACACTGAACTACTGCTCGTACTCTAGATATGACAATCAACCACAAAATTCCCTAAACCAGATAACATTAAACATAATCCAAAAAATCATGTGTCAATTCACGAGTTTGCTCACAGAGCACTTTGATTTCTTCATACCTTCAATATCTGTCCATCATCTGGGTACTGATCTAGGATGGTTCTTAATTGCTGGATCAAAGATGGCCTAATCAAATCAAATCCATCGTCATCATTGTTTGCTAATAAGAAAATGATATTGTCAGTGACTATCAAGAAAATTCCCTCATGATTTTCATTAATTCAATACTTAAAGAAAAAATTGCAGATGTCTAACCACTGAGATCTAAGCATCTAACTACAAGCATCTCCTTCATAGCATCACCATCATTTCTCGCATCTAGTCACTGATGTATTGCTGTGTACCTAGACCACTCAGCATTAATCTTAACCCTGAAGTTGCTTTGTTGCAGTATCCTTTGCCAAAATGGAACATTGTTGTTATGTAATGCATGTATGCATGTATACACGCAATGATTTGTATAACCATATTAAGTTGCAGGTTCATATTTGTTACTCACAGTCACAATCTGTCTCTGTCTTATGTCTAAGCATCTAACTTCTAGCATCTCCTACATAGCATCACCATGATGTCTCGCATCTAATCAACGATGAATTGCTACCTTCCTTGACCACTCAGCATTTAATTACTAACCCCGAAGTTGCTTTGTTTCAGTATCCTTTGTCAAAACAGAACATTGTGGTTATGTGTTGCATGTCTGCATGCATACATGCAATGATTTAAATGATCCTATTAAGCTGCAGGTTCATATTCGCTACTCACAGTCACAATCTGTCTTTGTCTGCAGTCAAACAGTTTCTCTCCTCTGTTAATGACTGTGGTTATACTCTATATCAAGTAAAAATTACCAACTCTTGAAAATTTCTGCCCTGCATATTTAATCTACAGATAGCTTCCCCCTGTGGCATAGGTTCTGCTACGTGGTTTGCCTGATGCTTAACACTACCGGTCAGTGTTACTTGTCTATTTACACTGCCTATCAACTGTATAGCGTACTGACGTTCTGCTTGTCTATTTCCTATTTGCTTGCATCTTTTCTGCCCTGCATATTTAATCTACACATAGCTTCCCCCTGTAGCATAAGTTCTGCTACGTTTGCTTGATGCTTAACACTACCTGTTAGTGTTGCTTGTCTATTTACACTGCCTACCAGTTTGAAATGCCGCCTCTTGTACTTGGGTAGCGTTAAATATTATCTATCTGCATTTATCTGACGTCTTCACCACCTGGTTAGCCAATGGTGGGGTATCCAATACGTGATGTTTAAAACTCTTACTGGCTTCTTTGTAGTTAGAGAAGTGACATTTCATGGAGCCAACTTCGCACGGAGGTTATTTCGTTTATGAAAGGTTTATATCTTACAGTACGTAACATTTCCTAGCGTTTTAACAAAGATAACATGTGGAAAACATGAAATCAAACTTGCTACTCACCCATTGTTAATGATACGATGGAATCCTTGGCTTTATAAGAATGGCTTATCTAAAAAGTGTTTCAATAATTAATAGTAGAAATTTATTAAAGTTAATTTCGGCTGAACTTTGCTGCTGTATATCATAAACTGATCTACATGGCAAATGCCGGTGAATGAGCTCCTTATGCGAAATTCAACCGCTGGTAAATAAGAATATTTCAAAAACCCCCCTTACGTTCAAAATTGCAACATAGTGTATTTTGCCCATTTCTTGGTGAAATTCCTTGCGAATACTGCTGCTACATAACTGCATCGAGATTCAATATTGAAAGCATTTCGATGGTGTTGATGCTTCTACTGACGATAACTAAAATTACGAGTTGCAGCTCCATAATTGATGCTTATTTCGCAAACGGATGACTCAAACAAAGGACTTTTGTTAGGTTAACTGACTTCACACCTTCGCAATTTCGCCTGAGCTTTTCTTATTATGTTATAAATTCAGATAATTTACTGAACTCTGGGGCTAGTTTTTACAAACCTCATCGTCTTTTCCATGAAATCCATCTTTTGCCACAAATTCTTCGGCGAAATGAAGGTAAATTGTGTTAGAAACGATTCCTAAGAACAGAAAATTTTGTTTCTTAGAAATTCAGGAAGTTGGTTAAAAACGATATGTCACGTGGTTAGTCTCATTTTCTCGGAAAACCATGACACATACGTCATTGCTTATCTTTTCTGAATAAAAGCTAGTCCTCTCAAACAAACAATGCACACGAGGAAATTTATAGAGATGCTTTCATCTTTGGTTGATGGTCTTCCTTTCTGTTGTTGTTGTTGTTTTTTTTTTTGAAGGATTAGATTTGACTTTTAGGACGAGTTTTTAGCATTATTTTATATTTAAGTATCTTTTGTCTCTAATAGCGGATGTATCACTCAATTGGAACACATCAATAACTCTCAAGATGGAAAGTGGCGACTTTCGTTTAAGGTGAGTTTTTTCACCTCTCTTTAATTTTTCCATTTGTAGGTATTTTTCGAGTGTGTGCCCATATTTTGGAGACAGTTTGTATGGGAGTCAATATTAATAAAAACATTTATATTTCTTTCGGGATGGTTCGCTGGTACCGGACCGTCTGATCTCGCTAGACATAGACATGACGCCGTCTACTTCATTGTGATCTATATCATTATGCGATGGAGAGTTGAACAAACATGAAAAAGTAAAACAAGAACGGGGGATATGTACACCGACGGATTGCAAGTAACTTGTACATGAAAAATTGATGCGACACTGTTTCAGAAAAGCACCGATAGTGACCAACAGATTGTGAACTGTTTATAATCTCTTGTTGTGACCAAACAGACTTCCTCTAAAATTCTAGGCCGATGAATTGTAATCCGCGGTCAATAGGTAAATCAGCATATCTTTAAGAGAATACCTATTCATTCATTTTTATCATGATTTATCAGTTCTATTCAACTTTTGCAGAAATTTTCCTTGCAAAGCTAATTTGAAAAGCGATCCTTCATCAGTTGTGTTAACGTTGTAAACTTAGCAATGAAAGGATGGATCACAAATTATGTGGAGCATCACTATCCGGTTTCTTTCTGGTTCATTTTCGACTTTCTTTGTCTAGATCGAAGTAAACATCATTTCCTATATGTTAAACCAAGGATGGCTTGATCAGAAACTTGAAAAGTTTATAAAACTAAAGTTTCTTGGCTTTACTGAAAGGTCCTTCTATTTTGGTTTCGGATAACACTGGTTCGACTTAAAACTACTACCCGGATAACCACAATTGATTAATCCGATCTCAGGCTCCGGCCAAGATAGTCATAACATTTCTGTCGCTAAGATCTACTTTCGTCTGAAGCATTTGATGTGTAAATCAACTGGTGCTTCATACTGCGATTTCAAATACAGGTGAGTCACCGAGTAAAATATTCATACTTTCTCTCTTTGACAGCGATTAATTTGTCAGAATATTTTGACTCTTTTTTTAAGAAAACATGACAAGCTCATAATTTTGAATGGCTATTTACCTAACTAAGTCCTATCGCAAGGCCAATAAATAATTTTTTTAGAACTTATAAAGGAAAAGTTAAAGCCAAAAAAGCGGTTCCAGTTATGGAGAAACGTTATAGTCTCTTTTTCATGTTCTTTAGTTAATTTTTTTCGGTGAAGTTCACCAGTGTGTTTACCTCAAAACTGGACCTTTATTCGGTTCTCCGACGGTCTCCGAGGGTTACGTTTAAGCATGTCGAATGTGGCAGGAATTCTTTCGTAGGCCACAGAGACTTTTTCCCGGAAACGAAACAAAAATCGGACAAACAACGACAAAACAGAAAGCGCATCGATGATAGAGCATTTTTGTATAAAATTTTTTAGCATTATTTATTTACTAATTATTTTTTGTCTCTAATAGCGGATGCATCACTCAACTGAAACACGTATCAAGAAGTTTCAAGCTGGAAAGTGTCGAGTTTCGTTGAAGGGAAGTTTTTACTTTTGTAGATATTTTTTCTGGGTGTGCCAATATTTTGGAGACAGTTTGTACGGGAGTCAATGTTAATAAAAACATGTATATCTCTTTCGGGATGGTTCGCTGTGCTGGTAGCGGCCCGTCTGATCTCGTTAGACATAGACATAACGCCTGCATTTCATTGTGATCTATACCATTTTGCGATGGAGAGTTAAACTAACATGCATAGGGTAACAGGAACAGGGAATATGTACACCAACGGATTGCAAGTAACTGGCACATGATAAATTGATGCGACACTGTTTCCGAAATGCGCCGAAAGTGACCGAGAGAATGTGAACTATTTCTAGTCTCTTGTTGTGACCTAACAGACTTCCTCTAAAATTCGAGGCCGATGTATTGTAATCAGCGGTCGATGAGTACATCAGAAAATCTTTAAGAAAATACCTATTCATTCATTTTAACCATGATTTATCAGTTCTCTTCAACTTTTACGGAAATTTTCCTTGCGAAGCTAATTTGAAAAGCGATCCTTCATCAGTTTTGTTAACCTTGTAAACTTAGCAATGAAAGGATGGATCACAAATCATGTGGAGCATTACTATCCGGTTTTCTTTCTAGTCCTTTCTGGACTTTTCTTTGTTTTGCTCGAAGTAAATATTATTTCCCATACGTTAAAACCAAGGTTGGCTTGATAAGAAACTTATAAAGTTTATCTGAAACTATAGTTTCTTACCTTTAATGAAAGGTCCTTCTATTTTGGTTTCGGATAACACTGGTTCGACCTAAAACTACTACCCGGATAACAACGGTTAATTAATCCGATCTCAGGCTAAGATATTCATAACATTTCTATCGCTAAGATCTACGTGCGTCTGAAACATTTGATGTTTGATAGGTAAATCAACTCGTGCCCCATATTGCGATTTCAAATGCAGGTGAGTCACCAAGTAAAATATTCATACTAACTCTTTTTGACAGCCATTAAGTTGTCTAAATATTTTGACTTTAAAAAAAAAAGACAAACTCATAATTTTGAATAGCTATTTACCTGACGAAGTCCAATCGCAAAGCCAATAAGTCATTTCTCGAGAACTTATGAAAAGAAAGAAAAACCCAAACAAAGCGGTTCCAGTTACGGAGAAAACTTTATAATCTCCTTTCCATTTTCTTAAGTAAATTTTATCCCGGAAACTCACCAGTGTATATATCTCGAAAAGATGTACTGGACCCTTATTGGTTCCCCGAAGGTCTCCCAGGGTTACATTTAAGCATGTCGAATGAGGCAGAGAGACTTTTTCTCGAAAGCAAAATAAAAAACGGACAAACAACGACAAAACACAAAGTGCATCGATGATAGAGCATTTTTTTACAAATTTTCCGAACCTAGCGAGTGATAAAGCGTCAATGATTCACCAAAGCGTAATTGTATTGTAATCATATTTCGGGAACATAATCCCCATCTCCACTACGCCACCCCCAGTGGAGGGCTCCACGTATCAGCTCGAGTCGAGTTCTCGAAGAATAAATGAATCATAACTGGTTGATATAACAAACATTTGGCAACCTTAACAGAAAGTGAAATGAATATTTTAATTTTTTTCAAGCGTAATAAATCGCAATTACAACTTTTAACAAGCCAATCAAATTTGTGGATGATGTCAATAACAACCGAACACAATGAAAGGTGATGACGTCATGCCCTTCCCAGAGTTCACATGACAGCATAGAAATCTATATTGAGGAAAGAACACTGAGGCCTCGAGTTATGATGCGTCCTTACAACCGTGTTTCGTGTGCTTTCGTGCTTTTATTGGTTTGTTTGATACAGCTTTCCCTTGTACAACTATGTCTGGGAACTAAAGAAGTAGAAGGTGGGTCAAATTGTAGATGAAGTGATCGTCTGTTTGAATGTAGATTGTTCAGAGCCATATATAGGAATTCAATATCTCACACGTCCGATCACGGACCTCCGATGTATCTGAAACACGTAAAGCGATGTTCTTTGACACGTTATGAATCAAAGTTACGTGCTGTAGCTCTGAATCAGACAGAAACGACTTTAACAGGGGAATCGTTATGTACAGAATGTGTGTACACAACGATAAATTTAAGCCTTGAGGGGCGAGTCGATTTTCACGTAATCTACAAAACTGAAATAAGTACGTACTCTGGCCTTCAATTCTTCTCTCATTTGATTTTTATCCCTGTGGGTATTTCTGATAGCTTGATAATAGACAGATATTAAAATTCAAGTGTTAAAAAGACGCGAATAAGTTGTATACCAGCATTATAGGTCTCCAAGACCTGCGAAAATGTTACAGTTCTTTTTAGTATTATGCTGTTTTTTTCGTTGTATTTGTTTACTTTACACGAGATGTCGATATCAGGATGACACATTAGATAAGCAAGTCTTACTGTTGCTCGAGGAGAAGTATGCTCGTCGCAAACTGGTGACAGATAATGTCTTTTGCCCTTACAGAGGTTTTAACGTGAAACCAGATTTTATAGAACGAGATACAAATTAAGGATATGAATTTGACTATCTTTTCAATTTCTGTCTGTGTTTGGACTTTTGTCAGAAACATCAACTATCTTGAGTTCAAGTTTGTCTCTAGATTAGGTATTTCAAGTGGAAAAATCTCGATCATGGTTGAATTTTTTAGGGGACCCCAGATATAAATTGAAGTTATTGCACTGTCATGTTTACACTGAGCATTACTTGAGAATATTTCCTAAGATGGCTTGTACAGTTTAAAGGACAAAAAAGGCATGTATCTGATGTATAGAGAATTATCATTGTGCCTGTAACAAATTGAATTGTTTGAATCTGGGATTATTTATGAAACATGCAGTCCTTTATGTAGGGTTTGTAAGTACTCATTACATCTGTTGATGTATGTGGGAACAACCTGAGCTGATGTGATCCTCAGAATCAAGAAAGATTTGGTCACCGGTCAAATGTTACTATCTTAGATCATGGAAGCTTATTTTTGTGATGTTATTGTCTGAAATACTGAAATAGGGTTTATCAGTTTTCAAGGAAGTCCTGCTTGAACATGACATTCTTTCCAATCAATTAGCCAATCAAAGTTTGCCAGATAAGATTCGTTAATACGGTAGCTGAAAAATGTTCTGAAAAGGAAAAGGAAATTTTTCTGTTTTATGTTGAATTTGATTGGTTATCCTTAAAAAATACCTTTGTTTTGAGTGGTTCAAGCGAGACTACAATGAGGAAGTTGCATGCCTAGACAGGCAGATCTTTGGTTAGTTTGGATGATAACTTCCCTGATTTGATAGAGATCATTTAGAGTCTTCAATTTGTTGAAGAGGAAGTTTTTTGACCCCACGGCCATTGATCATGATGTCACAGACACTACTTTCCATGGAGGGGAGGGGATATCGGGGGGGGGAGGGGAGGGCATACTCTCCTGGAAAATTGTGAACAAACTGAAGTACATGAGATAAGTATTCCTTTATTCTGAGCAAGAATTTCCAATGTAGAGAAGTGTTCAAAGCAAGTGCAAGGGAACAAGGAGCAAATTATGTTTAAAAGGTTGAGTTGTTTTATAGATATTATAAAGCAGCAGTTTGCTATCTAAAAATCAGTAGTTTAAATCAGAAACCCTAAAAATGAGAGAAATTACAGTTTCAGGGTGAGAGCCCTGATTGAACTCATTTTTGTGTGTTTTATGCTCAATACATAAGATTTGAGAGTTCTGGATTGTATATTCTAAAAGTAATCACAATCTTTAAAATAATTTTTGTACTTTGTTCTTACTCATTTACAGACAAGTGCCTTAAATACAGTAACAAATCCTGCCAAGATTGCATTGAACAGGATGGGGTGAGTGCTGTCTTCATATGTTCTGTTACATAAGCATATTGACTCATGACTCAGCACTAGGTTAGGTAACCATGATATTGGTCAAGTATTTTTCATTGCTATTCTAACTTATGAATCACAGCGAAATCAAAAGCCATGAAAACAAGAACTGGTGTCAAAAATAATGGGATCAATATTTACCTTTGATGAATAATCAACCTTGTAAAGAATGTAATATTTAGCCAAAATAATTTTACCCTTGTGCTAATCAAGGAGGTTATCCTTAGAAGGCAAGAAAGACACTGTGGAGTTGATTGCAAATAGGACCCAAACTTAGTATTGATAATGTATTGTTCACTTGTGTAGGATTTAGCAGTGTGACTTTCCACAAAGTAATATTATGTAACTAACAGTAAAAATATACTCAGTTGTCCATGTAATTTTAAATTTTTTTTCACATTCTTTTTAAAGCATTGTTCTTTACTTAAACTCACTAGATACACGTTTCCTGGTCAGTAAGCTAGTTAGAAAACAGGAACTGCCTCATTTTGCCTGTATTTAGAGGCACCGTTAAGTATTTATCACAGTGGAGCTCTGCGATAGCTCCCATGATTGACCAAGACAGAATTTCTCCTTATAATACCAATTCAATATCAAGCAGAGAAGTAATGAGAATATAGAAAAATATTAAGTTTTGCAGATTGATTGTTCATCTAATACCAAATTCTCCAAACTTATACTAAAGGAATTGTATGGCTGATAGTAAGGAGAATTACTAATGAGATCTTGTGTGAAAAAATAGGGTTGTATATAAAGGAAATGTACTGGAAAAGACTTTTTTAACAGTTACTAACTGTTAGGGAGAAGATTTGATAGTTAATCTTTAAAAGTTAAAGACAAGGCAGTGGTTGACAGAAGTATATGGACAATTGCAGTAAAATTATTTCTGCTCTTATAAGACCAGGTATACTTCTGATCATACAGCTTGTGCTTGAAGAGAGCAAAATGGCTGCCCAGTTATGATAATCACAGCAAATTAGTCCAAAACTTGTTTGAAAAACATTCATCTCCTTATCTTACTTTAAATTCTTCTTGGACTTTAGTGTGTATTTTGTGAGGGGAGTAGCAAGTGTGTGAAATCTGATCCTGTAAAAAGCATAATAAATAAAGCTTGTGGAAGCCAGGATTGGAAATACAAGCAATGTGTGGGTGAGTAAATTTGTTTGTTCAAGGTGTGCCTGTCTTTGTAAAGGAAATTACTTCTTCCCTTTTAGATGTACAGTGCACAGTTTTGTTTCTTAATATTTAAGTCAAAGTTTGATAGCCTTACTGTAAGTACAATTTCTAAGTTGTATAGTGAATGTACAGTAGATTGATTAAGGATTTTACTGGTTGGTGAGAGAATGGCCAGTTCTGTGCTAGATAAATCAACCATCATATATGTAATTCGTTAGTAATTTGGTAGAAAGATGCTAGTAAGTTCAATAAGCTTTTTAGCTTGTAGAGGAATTTATTTCAGGGTGTTTCCCTTATTATTCTAAGGATTATTTTACTTTTAACAAGAAGTTTCACTCGTGTGTTGTTTACTAAACAACATGATCTGCATCATTTACTTGCTGTCAAAATGGAATTTTGGAAGGAATATTTTTATTATGTACAGTGGATGTATTTTTTCCAATAATTTTTCTACTGGATGATGTATTGTGTAAACATTGATTTGATGTAATTTTGTGCTCAGGGTTCTTATTGATAGCAAATTGCTTTCACCCATATGGAAATGACCACTCTGAGCCTTAACCCTTTGATCCCTAAGAGTGATTAACATCTAATTTCTCCCTACTATATCACCCCTGAATCACACATTAAAGTCAGGAGAATGAAGTAAATGATCTCCGACGGATGAAGCTCTTTGTTGATTGTTGAAAAAATTCTCCTTATCAGCACCTTAGGAAATGTATAAAGAACAGTATAGAGAATATGCATACAGATGTTAGGGAGAAAAGGGTTACTGGTAACCCTTTTAAGCCCCAACATCTGTATCTATATTCTCCATACTTATCTCTGTACATTTCTCTTGGTATTGACAAGGAGAATTTGTTTTGAAATCAAAGCTCCTAAAGTGGGCAATCATTTTCTTCATTCTCTTGATTTTAATGAATAATTCAGCAGCATTACTGCAAGGAAAAAGGAGATTATGGTCACTCTCAGGCTTGAAAGATTGAAATCAAATAAAGTTATCTATTCCGTTCTGAAAGTACTTACTGGGGATTTAACTTGCATTTTCTGTTTATTTTTTTTTAAGTATCTGGCAAAGTCCTGATCATTGCCCTTCCAGTGGCAGGGTTTGTGGTACTGGTCGCATTAGGATGTTGTATCTACTGTTGCTGTTGCCGTAAGAAGAAGCTAAGAGGGTATGACAGTAAATCACATGATACATATAGTAATGATGATAAAGATTTTGGTTTCTGTCCCAACGTATGGGCCACTGTGTGTAACTTTACTTCTACATCTTGGCATGGCCTCAGTTGCATTGCAAACGCATGTAGAAGACTTACTGTTTTGCAATGTTTCTCCTTAGACCTGGCAAAGAAGATGCAAAGTGGCGTCGTCAGAGGGAGGAAATAGAGATTAAACACAAAGAAAGGTTTGCATGGTTATAACTTTAGGGTTTAATTTATGTTATTGTAACTGACAGGAGCTGTAGACACTGAGTGTCTAAAAATCAAAACATCTGCATTTGAGTCCTGGTTATGTCAACTAAGTTTCCTCCAGTAGTTGTACTTAATTTTGGTTTTTCTTCTCCGTTTGAAGGCGTGAAGAGAGAAAGAAGAAGCATGATGAAATCAGGAAGAAATATGGTAAGTGAGGAATTCTAATTGAAATTTTACAATCTTAGTATACAGTACTTTTGTGTATGCAATACTGAAAGCATTTCAGTTGCAAGATGGATGGTAAATTTCTTTATTATTGGTCAGATCAAGAGGATGGTAAAGTTTAAGATTTCCATTAGACAGGCTTGGGTGCTTTGTGTCAAATTGACACAATTACTGGTAAGAAAATTTTCCAAAAACCACTCTCAATAAAGACCCTTATGTTGTTCATTGTTCTTGTTTGGAGAGCAAAGTGTGCTTGCTCTGAAAAAAACCTTGGTCCAAAGTGGTGAGCAAGAATTTGATTGTAAAATGAAGGAAAATTATCCTAACAAGATGAAAGAGTAAGAAACTTAGAAGTAGAAACTTTGAAGTCAACATGAAATTACACAAACAGTGCTCTGAATTTTTCTTTTTTTTGCAGCTGTTCATTTGGCTATGAGATGTTTAAAAAGCTTGTCATGCCATCGATTTTTACAAATTTGGAATTTTTATTTTTTATGAATGATAAAGGGAAGGGGGTTGGGTGGGGTTGCTTTGAAAAAGAGAGGCATGGTCTGCTCACTGTAGGGAAAGGTTCTATGAATTTCTCTAAAATAACAAACAGTTATAGTTTGGTAGTTTGTAACTACCAGGAAGAGTTAGTTTTCAAACCTAGTTCGCAATTCTGTCTGCAGGTTAGTGAATCTGACACGATTTGGTACATTTAGGACTGAGTATAAGTTGTTTAATTTTCAGGTCTCTACAGAAAAGATGCAGACTCAGAAGATGTGGAAGATGGCCGCTATCACCGATTTGACAATGCAGCTGTGGCATAAATATAATCCTTGCCTTCTCCTTTTGCTCTTGTAAAATAGTAGAGTAGTGGTATAATGTGGGGTTTTTTTTTATTTGGGTGCAATTATTAATTTTGAAGTTAATTATAATGCAAGAATTTGTATGCATTGTTGCAAAGCAAAATATGAATTCAGAATTACTGCTTGTAACATTTAAATTTAAGTTGATAGTCCCTCAAAACTTGATCCTCAGTCTTTAATTCTGGATAGGGGATTCCCTAAAGTTGCTAGGCATGAGGCTTGAATATTATTTCAAGATGTTTGAGTCAAGCGTAGAGGTTTTTTTTAGAGTTTTAAGGCAAGAAAACAAAATTAGTTCAGCATGATTAATTTTTCAGACAACCTGAAGCTTCCTACCTTTTTTCCAGGTTCGCAGTATAGGTCATGCATGAGTCAAGACTGTCAACTTACATTTGAGGGGAATGTAGTTAGTAATAATTTTCTAGGTTCTTAAGAATTTATATCAGTTAGATGATGAACTTTCTCTGTTTAGTTTACAGTGTAAAAGAAAAAAGACATCCTTTTCATTTTACACAAGCTTTGTTACTTATAATTATTACTATGTGGTGTTTTAAATTGATTAAATTGATTATAATTAAGATGTAATCTTTCCCAGGCGAGAGGAGCATTTTAAGCTCAACTTTACACATCTACTTATCACCCTATTGCTAATAAAAGTGGTCAACAACCACCTTCTCTCTTGTTTATTTCAAACATTTTTGAGTTTAAAGTTAATGGCACAGCACATAAAAAAGAATGTAGTTTGCTTGCTAGTATTTATTTCCTTCAAAAGCTCATTTTCCTCAGTTTTATATATCAAAAATAATTTTCTTATCGAAACAAGTCTCGCAATTTCGTTTTTGTGAGACTAGTTGCGTACAACAACGCATTCAGCCTTTTAAGGATATTTTGCACCTCAGTTCCATCCTTTCATTTAATAGGGCCGGAGGTATCATATTTCACAGCTTACTTGCATTACAAACTTAGCGCCCTCTTGGACATAAGTTACTGATTCAAACAGTAAAATCTGCTCTTTTCAAAGAAAAAAATTTTTCCTCATCACAATAACATAGTGGCTTTGCTTCTTATGATATAGGAGGCAGTAGACATAAAAATTGGGCTCTAATGTCTACAATAAAAAATAGGACACTAGTGTCCAGAACCATTATTGCCTTATTTAAAAAATTGGTGATCAGTCTCCAATATCCAAAATCTGGCACCAGTCTCCAAAATCTAAGAACAGTCCTAAGTGTCCAAAATTAAAAGTCAACCACCAATTTCCGAAATCCAAAATTTGCCTCTAGTGTCCAAAATAAAAAAAATCGGTTTTTGGTGTCTAAAATATGCCACTACTGTCTAAAATCCATATTCAGCCATTAGTGTACGAATCAAAAATCGGACCCTAGTTGCTGACTGAGACTGACACTGTCTAAAATCCATTTAGTGTTCAAAATCAAATTTCATCCAAATCTCATAGTCCTGGCCCTAGAGCCTGCCTTAATTTTGTTACGGGATATTTTTTGCATCAAGTTACATTTTAACTTGAAAATATCGTCGAACGTTATGAATAAGAAAATAAGATATTTTAAGCTCCTCGATTTATGAAAAAATACCTACGAGCGTCTGGTTGTCTGGATACCAATGCGGACCTATTTGAGCCTGCGATAGAAGCTTCCTTAGCAACCGCATGTTGACGACCAGACGGTTCACGTTCCAGAACAAGGCTATCATTACAAATTAGATTCTTTATCAATATCTGTAACTTCTACCAAATCATTCACGACAGTCGACTTAAAAGATGTGTATCTGAAGATTCAAAAAGACTATATTTGGCTTTGTTAGGATGGCTACGGCGGTGAATACTTCCTTACCCCGGCCGCCATTCGGCACATTTCGTCTCCATCTCTCTGAAGACCCTATCGCCTTGGAACAACGATTTAGACGCCAACAGGCATCCGGAAAATTTCCAGCAACGTTCTCCACTTACGATGTAGCTTCATTTCAAGAGAAAGACGAAGCATTTTTTCGTAAATTCGCGGAGAAGGGCGAGCGTCGCGCCGACGCACCGAGGCGAAGCGATACTCCAGTTGTCGATCCAACAAGTGGTTTCACTTCAGTCGGTGCCGACGCGGAAGATGGAAATTATCAGCAAATAGATCCTCTTGTGAACAAAGATCATAGGCCACAGTCCGCCATGCCTTACGGACGACCGATTGTCTCCCCTATTCCGGACTTGAGGTCGCAGAACGCTCCATGGGAGGCGAAAAGCATGGGTACGCAAGTTTATTGTGCGCGTTCAAGTACTTCAAACAATTGTTCTAATAATGTTCACGACTTTGTCACTCTTCGAAGACGAGATAATACTCTCTAGTTTGAGAAGAAATCATTTTCAAAATGCATGAATAACACTGCATAGTCTCTTTATGATTTATGTAATTTCATTGACGCCAAGTACTAAGTAAAGATTGGAGAACATAATTTACCAACTTTTAGCATATAACGTTACTAGTACGTGACAGACTGTCACGGATGAAGAAGCCAACTCTTTCTTCGTGCGTTACGCTTGGAGACTATGCTTAAAGTTAGCGCTCAAAACGCTTGGAAATATACACATTGATACTTTTTACGGTTTCTATGAAGGATTAAATTGATTCGAGGTATCAGAGCTTAAGATTGTGCTGACTGGGACTTTTATTCATCACTTTTTTTGGCAGAATTAGAGCGGCTTCTGCAGCAACCCAGCCAATTTCCCGGATCGAAAGAAGCGAAGGAAATCTCCCAAAAGGTATGGATCATAGCGAGTTGCTATTTTTTAAAGGAGAGATGTGCGTTCATATTACATGTCAGTAACCAAGGATGATTGGAGCTGAGTCGAGACTAAATCTTATATCCCTGAGAAGTCTTTTTGTTACCCCTGTGAACTCCAAGGTGAAATACCCACCCCCTCCCCTTTGGATGGCCAGATTCCAACACCCCAAAATTTTGTACATTGCAACTTTGAAATTTGCATCTTAGAGGGCCTTGTGCCAAGTGATGCCTTCCATTCTGGTGTGGCATTAAAAATGAATGAATTGTCCCAAGATAATGTCAAATTGCTCAGATAACTCAGGTGAACACTTTGAGTTGATTCTGACTGGTCAACATTTTACCGACCAGTCACAAGCATAGAGTCACTCTTACTAGCAAAAAGAAGAAATAAAAAAGAAGTGGCAAATTTGACCTGAACTTTTTAGGTTCCAGCCAGTGAACTATTAAAGAACAAAGAATGGAGGGATGCAGTGGCAACAAGATCATTCTACACATCAGAAACTCAAAAGTATGTAAATGTTAAATTGACTGTTGCAATGAGCAGTGATGTATGAATGAATTCACAATTGTTGATTCAGTATCTTATTTAAATTAAAAAGAAAAATTAAAGCAGGTTCTTTTACACTGTGTATGCAGTCCACCTTAATGGTATCAATAACAGCTTTTATTGCATTGACACAAAGGGTTTGTGTAATCTTAGTGCATCAGTTGTACATGACCAAAATAAATATGAAATTGTTTATCCTGGTCATAAAGGTTTTCCTCCTCCTTTAGTACCCAGCCAATGCAATAATAGATCAAAAAGGCCATTGACAAAATTACTATTGCGTTGACTTATTATAATTATTGGTATAATGTGATAGAGAAAAAAATTATTTTTCAATAATGACATTATCATTTTTGATAACATGCTATATGTTTTATGTCACTTTTTTTTTCATTATTCTCTCCCTTTAACCGCCATTTTCATCATTTATTGAAAGGTTATACAGTGGAGTAGATTGGAGTTCAAGAATAGCTCCATCTGTCCCACCACCGATCACCACAGTTGAACTGCAGCCAGACATGGTATCATACAGATTCAATTCAAAAAGATATGCACCAAAATCAGAACTTTGGCAGGTATACAATTTTTCAGTTTGCTATAATAATCAAAAGATTCAGTTTAATTCAGACTCAAGTAAAATGGTCCTCACTGCTGGAGGTAATCCCAGGAAATTGGCTTCATTCTATAGGCTCAAGAATTTGCAAATCAAGTTTTAAGTAGATGGAGATTGTCAACTTACCTATATTTCTGAGTAGGTGTGGTGAGCACTTATGAGTTTCTGTTGCCATTTAGGTTACCCCTAATAATTTATCATCTTCCTCTGAAAGTTTGTTAGTAGCCATTGAATTACTCCCTGGGTTGGGAACAACTTGTTGCCACTAGCCAAGGAGAGTACATTCATATGCTGACCTATCAAAGTGAATGACCTTGACTCTGGGATAGGGGAAGGGTTATTGAAAGCCAGTGATTAGGGATGAGTGACATAAACAGCTCACTATTGATATGAATGCTTTGAACAGCTAGTGTTTGAAGGAGCTAGAAAATCCAATTGTGTCAGGAGTCAAATTTATGATGTCCTACAGACCAAAGTATTGAATCACAAAGGAACCATTTGTTAAATAAATGTTACTGTTAAGTGTTGTTAATTTAATGACCCACTGGTCTCTAGTTAATTTTATTTGTGTGACTGTATTTTTCTGTTTCACTTTGGTATCTTCAGCAAATTGGTAGCAGACCACACAGCTGGGATTTTGTTCAGTCACGTAATGGACACCATGTACAAGGACCCATAGATTTGTAAGTCATTGAAGAGCTGTTTGCAGGGTTGCCATTAATATTATGGAGAACAAACAGCATCACTTACTACACTCAGTTGTGCCAGTTAGTGCTTACAAAGAATTAAGCAATTGTTATTACATGTCGCTTATTTTTTGTGATCAGATTTGCCAGTTCTGAGTGAGTAACCCTAGTTATAGTAGTTGCAGTGTAATTAATATCCTCTGTTGATAAAAGTGTGCTGATCTATGGAATTCACAACAGGACTCCACATGTACTGTGTTTAATTCTTCAATATTCATTCCAGAAATTATGCTCGATCCACTCCCTTTCCCTTGCATCCCTACCTCCACTGCCAACCCCTCCCCTCTCCTATGCAGACTTGAGTCTCTTATTTTTCTTTGAATAGATAAAGGAGGATTCTGAAACTGTACAGTTCAGAAGTAATTAACCACCAACATTTTCCATGATTTTCATATGGTCTTTGTTTAGAGTGGTTGTAACCAAATGCTTTATGAAGCAGATGCTGGGTCAAATAACCACAAGCTTTGTAATTTACTCAATTTTTGGCTTTTTTGAAAATTTTCTTGTTTCAAGATTATTTTGTTAAAATAAATTGCACTAATAAAGACAGATCAGAGAACCATTAGGTATGTGTACAGTAAAATATAGTTAAACAAACTGAAATAAATTGATAACAGCTTTTGACTCAGTTGACATTTTTGTCATTCAATATCCAGCTGCAGCCCAAGCAAAAAGACAGGACATATACCAGGATACAGGTTTGCTGTCACTAGTTTATTTTTATAGTATTCCTATAGAACTTTACCTATTAATGTGCTCTTCATCACTGGGGCCTGCTGTAAAGGTCTGATTACTTCTAACCCTTAAACTCCCAAGATCTGATTGTTAATTCTCCCCTCTTTCTGCTAAACATTTCATCGTAAGTAAGTTGCGAGAATTTGGTGTTAGATCAAGATAACTTTTACCTGATTACTTAAAGTATTCTCATTTCCAGTCTGTTGGACAACGTATGGTTATTCTAGGGAGAAGTAACGTGTCGATCACTTCTGGGAGCTAAAGGGATAAATATGTTTGGTTCTTTACAGTGGCCACACCCCTGGATTTGGTGACAGAGACCATCCAAGGAAGACGTACACACCAATTGCTGTGGTGCGTACTTCGCAACCAAGATACACAGACACCGCTAGGTATTATGAAAAAAATTACTGGTCAGTGCAATGAGAAATCAGATATTCAAGCAGCCAGAAGAAATAGGAAGGAGTTTTAGATAACAAGGAGTTTATGTTGGTTGACAATTAATGAATGAAAAACGCACATCAAGAGACATACACTGTAACTTTTAGCGGGAGTGAGCACCTGGGAGCTTGAGTGAGAGAGGTCAATTCTTCTATACCTGTTCAAAAAAACTAAATTGCCTTCTCCATCATAATTGCTGCCAGGGTTGAAAGGTGTATGTAACTTCTTGAGAGCCTTAAAAGTAGTTAGTTAAAAAAATTATTTGACAAAAAGACTTGAAAAAGGGGCATTCTTAGAACGTTTCTCGACTTAGCCCCCTTGAATTTTCCCATTGGAGGAGTGGGTTATTGCAGTTTTTTTATGGTTCTAAACGCCGATCGCTTGAAAAACTGTGGGAGACGCTTGTAGGCAAGCTTTTCTTCTGTTGGGAAACTTTTCTATTTTTACTTAAAAATGAATTTGTGGTTCTGAGTAGTATCGAGGTTTCAAATGAAATGTTAACCCGTAAATGTTATGATACATGCTCCAAGGCTAAGTGATATTTATTTGGTTTGTTCAAGGCGTGGCAATATTCCCGGCTACTCTGGTTGTGTGCTGTTCTCATCGCATCATCCTACGCACAGCAAAGAACCGGACCCAAAGGCTACAACCACAGCTAGAATTCACAGGTATGTTTTGCGATCGATTGTGTTATTGTTCTTCCAATGCTATGATTGCCTTTAGGCTGCAGTATTCGTTAAGTTTTGTTCAAACACCCACTCACCTAAAAAGCAACTCAAGAAGATATTTGATCTTTTTTCTTTTTTTCTTGCAGAGCACTCAAAGTTCCAACAAAAGTTCAGTTGTCACCGTTTAGACACAAAGGACCGATGTCCAAAATGGTGACTTTAACCCGACCCTTCAATCCATTTAACCAAGTTTAGGACATGTGATAAGTTTGATATCCAAAAGAAAAAGTGCTTGTGTAGTGTGTGCTTGTCAATTAGGTATAAGTTTGGGAAGATTTTAACCTTTCGTGAGCTCTCAAGTAATTTTTACGATGCCACGGTGACGCTGCAGTTCCAGTTCGCACCTGTTCACAGAACTATGTTTCCGGTTGGTGAAGCAACTCTATAATTCTAATACAAACCTTGCCTTATGGTTGGCACCGAGTTAGGGATACAAACCTCCAAGATGCGTGTATAACCACAAAAAATAGATAATCAGCTTTACTAAAGCAAACCGTCGCCCAATTGCCATCAGCTTTGATAGTTTAACTTTTAACTGATAGAAACCAGAAATGAAAGTGATACGGGATTTCACTGGATTTGCTTCACCTGCTCACTCAAGTATAAAAATTTTAAATTGAGTTTCGATAGCTATCCAGGTTTACTTGTTTCTGCTTTACCTCGCTCTGTGATTTTTCTAGAAAACTCGCGCCATCCTCTCAACCAAAGAGATACGAAACGAATACTTATCGTGGCTTGGCCGCCCACGTTTTCCCGCGCTTTAGGCAGTTTGCTTGTTTTTACTTGGGTTCTCATTGGCAAACGATGATGTTTTCCATTGATATGATTGGCCGTTGTGATTACTTTGGTGTTGGTTTTACGACAACTCAATCTGGCTCTATGGAGTAACAGAATTAGTGTGGTCAGGAAATTATTGAAGTAACTTATTTTTTTAAAGATGGTTTTTACCATATTAAACAGGTGACTAAATGAAAATTCAAATTTTACAAAATGACTCTCTACCGTGAAAAGTATTGTGAAATCTATTTTTGTTTTATTTCTGTCGTCTTATTTGCTTTTCTGTGGTATGATGGTTTGTTTGTTTCCTATTTGTACATAAAAGTTACTTTCTTGAAAAGTCAAATTTCTCTGTTCATTCAGTGAGCTTCACTGCGATGTCAAGCAATCTCCACGATGCCTTGAAAATGGGTATCGTGTATGTATGGTGAACACAAAGAGAAAAAAAGTTGAGAAACGAGGCAACTGTGTGAAAATTCATAAATGAAGACAAAATCTGGTCTTACTGCATCTTTTACTTTATTTTTAGTCTTTGTAAATGTTGCATTTGTAAATAGCACCAACAGTCTTTGAAACCATTATTTATTAAATTAAGCTGTAAAGACTGTTATTGTGATAAAATATTTGAAACACTAGAAAGTTGCCTTCTCTGTGTGTCGTGAACATTTTTAATGACTTGTAAAACACTTTCGCAAAACGAAGCGCACCAACTAAAGAAGAAGAAACTAAGCAATCTCTCTGTAAGGTTGAGCACAAAAGTGCATTCAGTACTGACGTCCCTATCTGCATTTACGCTTGAGCAAATGTAATAGGACAGTTACAAGACAGAGTTACAGGAATAGAAGTAGTATCCCATGGAGCCGTCGTTTGGTCCTCGTCACGCAACGCGATCTCGAGTTCTACAATGCGACTCATCCCAGGTCATTAAACCGAAGGAAAATCATGATATTGACAAGAAATGGCTTCGTCTACGTAAATAATTAAAAATAACCTCCAGTTCCCTATTGTAGCTACAAGATAAAAAAACAACAACAACAAAGTTAAATTGAATCATACCTAACTGACTCCTACAATAAGCACGAATACAACAAAACAGGAGGAGTAATCACACCCTTGGTGCATGCATACTACTGAATATCTCTTCGGCTTATCGGGCTGACAAATGATGCATGTAGTCTCCGTGGATTTTTGTCTTTAAGGAGCTTGTTAAAATTCACTTACTTCCTTTGCCTGAGTAGGGCGCGACTGACCATATACCGATTGAACAACTCTTTTAAGTGACATATTGTCGCTGGTGTAGACATATTTAGAAATTCCAAGAATGATTCTGGGACATTGATCATTGATTACTTAACTTTCTCCCCCTGTTTATTAAAGGTGATTTTACTTTCTCTAAAAGTTTTATTTTGACTGGCTTCCCTGTTCCCAGGAACTCGGCCACAATACACAGATTGTTCTACAAAATTCCTGTCGCACGAATAACCAACCCATAGACTGGCCCATCGATCGTGCTAATGAATCTCCGAGGGATGAAGCCGGGAACTGGTAACGATGTTTTGTTTTCTCTCGTTCCCAGTCTTTTCTGTGTCAACACCCATGAATCGACTCTTAGTTCAACGTGGCTACTTCTACACTTTCACAGACATTCAAGTGAGTTTCTTTTCAGCTGGCAGGAATTTTCTTCATTCCTTGAGAAGATATCAACACCGTGAGGTAAAGTGCTTATTCTTAGTCTTAATGTAATCACTGTATGCTAAAGACTGACTCCGATGCTTACCGTTAAGTGATCCGTTCGAGGTCCATGACAAATCGAGCCGGAAGCACAGTGCAGTTGTTGTTCTCGGTAACACCGCTTTTCAAAATTTGTTAGAGACCTACATCTGTTCTAGGTACCCTCAATTTCCACTTTTTATTGCAGCTTTTTTAAATTGTCAATAAAGTGTTCAATTATTTGAGTTTTAGTCTTCTGTTGTGTTACGTAATTTTTTGCTTGTCTGTTTTTATGGACTTTCAGCTTTCAATTATACATAATCTTTATTTATTTACAGTATTCTTATTGAAATTGGTGCTTGAAGACTTTTTAAGGATTTGGGATTGTTTTACTATTAGAGGAACCTTAAATTGTCATAGAATAGAGGATGATTTTGTGTCACATATAATTAACAGTGGTCTGTACAGGAAACTGGCTTTTATCTCTTTCGGGAATTTTTCTAAATGCAGAATGTCTTTATCAATTTTTATATCCATATCTATAATTAGGGAGGTTAAACTACAAAACACCTGTCTATGTCTTTATATTTTAGTAGATTCATTAATTCAGTTTAAAACTTGGTTCCTCCAAACACACCTATACACTGTTATGTAATGATTTTGTCATTGAATTGTCTAGATATTTTTTTTATTTTTTTATCATTACCATTCTAGTAGCATGTAATTGATATAAAACTATTAATTACAGGTAACCCCTACCATGGAAGCCACAAGGGGCAAATCTGTTGTTATTTACCTCATGCGAAATGACTTGCGAGTTCATGACAACGAGTGCTTACAATGGGCACATCAGAATAGTGACTTTGTGATTCCTTTGTTTTGCTTTGACAAGAGCATACTCAGTCCCACTGCTGTAACATGGCATTACAAATTTGCAAAGACAGCAATGCACAGAGCCAAGTTCATTCTGGAGAGTGTGTCTGACTTAAGAGAATCATTAAGGAAACTTGGAAGTGACCTAGTTGTGCGCACTGAGCAGACAGCAAAGGAAGCAGTTTCAGACATAATTAGTTTATGCCAGGAAAAGAATGAAGGACATGTTTCACTTGTTTATCAGAGAGAAATCACAAAGGAAGAAACAGATGTAGAAGCTGAATTGATGAAGGTTTGCGAAGCAAAAAAGGTCATTGTGAAGTCCTTCTGGGGATTGACACTGTACCATTTGGAAGATTTACCATTTGCCTCAGTGAAGTTTTTGCCTGACACATACACAGAATTTCGGAAAACTGTTGAGGCAAAATGCAGAGTGCGGCCTTTGATTCCAGCCCCAGATTGTCTAAAATCACTGCCTGCATTTTTAAAAGATGATCACGTTGGCAGAATGCCAGCTTTAAAGGAACTTGCAAAGGATTATTCAGAAGAAACAGCAGATTCAAGATCAGCTTTCCCATTTTCTGGAGGAGAAACTGCTGCTCTCAAAAGGCTTAATCAGTACCTATGGGACACAGATCTTGTTGCAAGATACAAAGAGACTCGCAATGGGCTTATTGGATCAGACTACTCAACAAAATTCAGCCCATGGCTAGCTGTGGGAGCTCTCTCACCAGGGAAAGTCTTTGATTGCATTAAAAGGTACGAAGCTGAGTGTACAGCAAATCAGTCCACTTACTGGGTCATTTTTGAGCTGCTGTGGCGAGATTATTTCAAGTTTGTCAGCCTCAAGTATGGCAACTCCATCTTTTACCTGTCAGGAATTATGAGGAAAACAGGTTTGCCATGGAAGCGAGATATGATGGCATTTGAACAGTGGCAATATGGGCAGACTGGAGTTCCATTTGTGGATGCAAATATGAGAGAGCTACTCTACACAGGATGGATGTCCAATCGTGGACGTCAAAATGTGGCAAGCTTCTTGGTAAAAGATCTTGGGCTTGATTGGCGCATGGGAGCTGAGTGGTTTGAATCTCTACTTCTAGATCACGATGTATCCAGTAACTATGGCAATTGGAATTATTCGGCAGGCATTGGCAATGATCCCCGTGAAAATCGAAAGTTCAATATGATCAAACAAGCTCTTGATTATGACGCAGATGGAGATTTTGTGAGGCTTTGGGTTCCAGAGTTGGCTGGTTTGAAAGGAGCCAAAGTTCACACCCCTTGGCTGTTGTCATCATCAGAACTGAAACATGCAGGTGTAACTCTGGGGGAAAACTATCCCAAGCCAATGGTCTGCCCACCAGAATGGAGCCGGCACACATCAAAAGTGAAGGACTCAAGAAAAACACCAAGGGCACAGCATAGAGGAATTGACTTCTATTTTAAGTCTCCAAATGGGGCTGGTTCATCCAAGAAGAGATATTAAAGAGACTCTGTTTAGGATAGATCTGTTCTCTTGATGGGTGATAGACCAAATGTTAAGTTCTCTGTTATTCGTTAGATTAATTGTCTCCACAGAAAAAAAGAGTTTCTAATGATCATGAGGAACATTTATTGACTTCTTGACAAAGGAGAGTTATTATGGATTGAATTGTTAAACATTTATATTTGCTGACATTGTTGGCAATGAAGCAATCTCAACCCTAGATTGCTACAGTTATGTGATGGGTTTTGTTAAGCTTTAGAGATCCACAGGCTTATAAAGAAACTAAATTAAATATTTCTTGACATCTAGTTGGCTATAAAGTGAACAATTGAAAGTATGTAAACAACAGCTTAGGAAATGACTTTCTGCATAAGCTAAAATATTATATCTTACACCCAAACACCAGCATGCATATTCTCCATACTGTTAGCTGTTCATTCCTAAGGTGCTGACAAGGAGAATTTAACTATTTACACCTTAGAATCAGTATGCATATTCTCTGTACAGTTCTTTATACATTTCCTAATGTGCTGACAAGAAAAATTTGTTTACCAACCAAAAGCTTCTTCCGTTGGTGATCATTTCCTTTATTCACATAACCTTAACATGTGATTCAGGGCTGATATTGTAGGGAGAAATTTGATGCTAGTCACCCTTAGCGTTTAAAAGGTAAACAATCTAGAATCAAGAGCTTCTTTGGTTGGTGATCATTTTTTATAGTCTCATGACCTTGATATGCGATTCAAGGGTGATATTGTGAGGAGAAATTAGATGCTAATCACTCTTGGGGGTCAAAGGGTTAACTATTTAACTCCCAAGATCTGCTTGTTAATTCTCCCCCCTATCTGCTGCACATTTCCTTGTAAGTTAGTTATGAGAACTTGGTGCTAGATTAAGATAGCAGCTTCTAACTGATAAGTTTGAATATTCTCATTACCTGTTTACTGAATAAGGTATGGATATTGTAGGGAGAAGGTCATGTTGATCACTTATGGGAGTTTAAGGGTTATTAAGGGTTAAACCATGTTTTGTATTCATAATGCCTACCTGAGGGGTTGGATTTGTAGCTCTGGGAATGATTATTGCACCAGACGTTAAAGTAAACAGAACTGTATCAACTTCCAAAGTTCTTAGCAGTATTATTGAGTTAAGGAGTAGAGGAATCCGTTGGCTTTAACTCTTAGATAAGAGATCATGTATTAAATTAACAGAGTTAAAAATAAGTTGAGTCTCAGTGCACGATCCAATAAAAAGATTTGCGTGTTTAACCCTGCGTTATTATTTGCAAACCCAGAAACGGTTTCACAAGTGGAGTTTTCTACTGAAGCGTTGTTATGAAAACGGATACTTCTTTAACAGTGGGGTGAAAAGTATTGCATGATGTAACTTTCGTCATTGTTTCTAGGTGTGGACGTTTCAGTTTGGATGAAAAGTGAAAGAGGAAAGAAGGAAATGTTCCAAGACTACTTCAAAATGTATCTTTTTTATTTTTCATGATAAAGAACAAAGAAAATATGAAAGGTTGTTTGACTCTCCAGGATTCCGCTGATAAAAACTGAGTTTAAGTTCGAGTCTCGCCTGCGGGAGTTTTGGAATCAAAAGTATTTATGACAAGAATAGTTTGCCCAAAATATTAACAACTTCTTCAACAAAGACTACTTTGTAGTATAAATGGTTATTGTTTTACTCTTTGTCTCACTTTTACGGTTACAATCAATATCGATAACAAGTGTTCGAATACAAAAATAGGCTAACTAGACTGAAGTTATAAACTGAATAAATATGCATAATCAGTAAACTTTGGTCGCGAAAGAGTTGTATGATGAAACTATAACAGCAGGTATTAGGATTATAGTATTGCTTTAAGTTATAGCTGAAATAAAAAGAGGAGAAGATGGTAAAACTATTGAGGTTATTAAAGGGAGAAAATTGAACGCCTAGTAACATATTTGAAGCAGCCAAAATTTCTCCTTATTTGGTAACCGCCGGCTTTATAGTACCCGAGCTTACTAAGATTTCTGTACTAATTTTATTGTTCCATTCAGCATATTCCCTTGATAAGACATCTTTAAAATCATGAACTCTTTAATTTCATACAGAGCGAAAAAAAAGAACAGATGGTAGAGCAAGATGTATTACACGTCAATAACACTGATGAAGATTTAAGTGCTTCTGATCTATCTCTTCACTTTAAATCCTTGCGATTAGCTTGGATCCCCTGACTCAAGATAGCGACGTAAAATCGAGGTTCAACTTCATTTGATTTCAACCTGCTTTTTCTTGGAGGAAGATCGTGTTACATTACAACCTCACTGCAATTTTGATACAGAGTTTCCTGTACAATCACCAATGTCACATGTCTACAAATTACTCCTCTCGCATTTCGTAAATTAAGAACTCTTTCCAGCTTTTGCGAATTATTCTTGTTTAAGGTGATTTCTCAGAAAAAAGTGTTATCGAACAATTGTTATCAACTTTCCTTAAATGTTCCTTACCAACGTCTGTTTCGAAAAATACAATTAAAAAGGTAGGTCACCGAATAGGAGTGTCCAGTGTAATTTAGTTGCAGGTGGCAGTTGCTGTTGGTTATCTTCCACATGGTATAATCACAGCTTTGTGGACCTATAGTGGACAGTAGTTGACTATTATAGTGACCAGACAATTACTTTAATTTACTTTAATTCTTCACTAAACCCCGGCCTTTGCGTTACTGCTGGAAGATTAGTGAGGTGAGACAATCTGTGAAGGAATTACTCCGACGAACACTTTGCTGCTAAAAAATTTAAAAGCTTGAAATGGTCCTTAAGGTGCTTACAGTCACCTTATAGAATTGATTAAGGTTTAAGCTTTAGTTAGAGCTTGTAGCAGATTTCCAATTCTTTTGATAGCAGTTTTTGAGACTCAAGCCGTCAGTCATTTGTAGGTGATATTGTTAAACAATCTTAATTTCCTTCATCGATATGACGTATAAGAGCAGGATGTAAATTTTAAAAAGAGCAGCTTTTCTTTCCCATAATTGACACCGCTAATTTTAATATATGCCTAGCTGATGGAAAAAAGGACATATTAAGTGCAGTGCTTGGATTTGAATTTCAACGGCGAATTTTAATAATATCTCTCACGAGTGAGTGAAGCGAACCAATCAAATGTATCATCAACGGAAGAAGATGAATTCTTATCCACATGCAGACCTGTAAAGTTCTGTTTATTTTATAGATACTGTGTTTGGATAAAAGAACGCTTTTAAAACAAATTTAAATAACGTCGAATGAAGAGATCACCCGCAAGAAAACCGCTTTAATTTCTGACATGAAAAAAGGAACAATTGTTTGTAAAAAAAGATGTCTTGCTATTAGCTATCAAAAGAATTGAATTCGGTCTTAGCAACATTCGTAAATTAAACAAAGAAAACCGTCGTGGAAAGTTACACCGCCATGTTGATGAACACAGTTACCATGATAACACTGATATCTTCTCAGGTAACGATAGAACGATTCGTCAACTGCACCAGATGAAGTTGTCGTATTTTCGAAATAGGAGAAATACTGTTATTTTGTCAATTTCTTTACGACAAATTACGCTAGTACTCGCGTTTTGCTCAACAACGGTCTCATCTAATATATCAAAACGTTTTTCGCTAATTTTTGTGAAAAGCTTTTTCCACCTCGAATGTATAATGGAGCAAGGGGTATTGCTTTTCTTGACTTTCTTTAAGCAATGTTCTCTAGTTTTAAAAAGAATGTCCACGGTTTGAATACACTCTACCATCTAGAGAGCAAGATTTTGGTGTCACACGCAACATTTTCACTTAGTACAATTGCTCTTGTGATTGTGGAAATTTTCGCGCTCAGATTGGTCGAGGGTTGCGTCGTATCTCGCTATGATCACCCCGCGCAAGGTGATTATAGCAGAAGCGCTAAGACTCGAAATGGCTGATTGCTGCGAGAACAAGATTGAGAGCAACCAAAGGCGCATGGCAATCTTTATATTAGCAATGCCTAACCGGTATTTTTCATTTTTTTTCAAGCCAGCCCCACTTGTTTAAGCATACATTTTAATCATAAAAATTACAATTTCCTCGATTTTGATTGGCTTAAAAACCTCCTATTTTTCCACTAATTTACTTGCCAAGTTATTGACGGACAGCTTAATAAGTCAATCACATTCAAAGGTGTAGTTTAAATCAACCAGTCACATTCATTTTGATGGAAGTCAAGTTCAGCGACATTAAACAATTTAGGCCTCCTTCCTCAAGTCTTTTAATGCTAAATTTCCCTTTATTTCATAACTTGGCTATTCTTCTTTGCACCACTTTTGAAATAGGCTTTTTATCCTGAGAAAGTGAAAGGCAAAAGTTTTATGAAGACAGTTGGAGAATGAAGAGGTGACGACTGACATCACTGATGAGCTTTGATAGAACAGAAATGTGAATGCACAGAGTTACTAGCTGTACGCGTTTTCCATTCCTGCTCAGACTCGTAGACAGGTTTTTGTGTGTATTTTGTGGGGGGTGTTTTGAGGGCCAAAGGCGCGTATTGACGAGCACAAGAGGTGTGAGATTCAAGAAATGTCCAGCAGCATCCTCTCCGGAAAATTAAAAAAAAATTTTGGGTTGTATGAGACTGCACCTCGTACATATTAAAATGAAAAAGGTTCATTTCAATTCTTTAGTTTTGATTAATATTAATGTCAATGTCAAACGTTTCAACGCAAAATTCAGAGAACGACTTTTAATTCGTAAACAACTTTATATCATCATTTATCTTGCTTTAGACTGAATAGTTGTTTGATGAGACTGCAACAGTAGTCAGCCCCATAATTGCAGTAATGGTGTAAGTTTTGGCTGAGCGTAAGCTACACTGAGAATATTGATATCATGCAATGAAAAAAGAAGAAATCAGCAAACACAGAGAAGGAGGCTAAAATGAGAAATCAGACTTCTAGTGCTTTCACTGCTTTTCTTTATTTGGTAAGTGCCGGCATATCATAAAAACAAAAGCTATAAATATTTGTCATCTTGTATTATTAGTTGGTATATCCTGTATGTTCTCTCAGTGTGACATCTGAGAAATTATCAAATCTATCTTTAACTTCGTTTCAAACAAAGCACAAGACAAGATGAAGAAAGAGATATTACGCACAAAAAATTACTTTGTTTAAGATATGTGTGATTCTTTTTCTAATCCTCTCATCTTCATATCCCGGCGATTACCTCAGCTCAAATAAAGAGACTAACAATACAGACGGAAATCAAGGTTGAATCGTATATAATTCCAACCTATCGTTATACATAGAATACGGTTGCCTTCATCCTGTGCTTTTCAGAAGAGATATGGTACCAAGCAAAATTTTTGCAGCTATCAATAGCCCTTTACTCCCTAACATTAACATTTTACATTTCCTAAGGTGCTGACAAGAAGAATTAGTTAAACAATCAAGAGTCTTGAGCTGATGATCACTTCCTTTTTTCTCCTGACCTTAACATGTGATTCAGGGGTTATATTGTATGGAGAAACTAGATGCTAGTCACTCTGAAGGGTCAAAAGGTTAAGCATAAAACTTGATACATAAACATCCAGACGATTCTTCCAAAAATTCGCCCATCGGGAAAAATCGACTAAACAAAATGATATTCTCTCGACAAAGTCAAATGCAAGGACTATTACCGGTTAGAGAGACTTAAATGCTGAAAAAATTAACTAGGAAAAACACTTTTTGCAGAATTTGAAAAACACGTCATCAACATAGGTAAAGAAAGGTCAACGTTAACGTTTTCAAACAACAGTGGTAACTGGGATTAAATGGCTATGGAAAATGTAGACACATTTACATTTTGCGGTGAACTATGCAGTACGTTTATTGAATGTAGTCAGTGGTTATTTGTCACTCAATCCTTATCACTATCACCGTCATCTTATTCGTCATCATCATCGTCATCGTCATCATCATCATCGTCATCATCATCATCGTCATCATCATCATCGTCATCATCATCATCGTCATCATCATCATCGTCATCATCATCGTCGTCATCGTCATCGTCATCGTCATCGTCATCGTCATCGTCATCGTCATCGTCATCGTTATCCTCATCCTTATCCTCATCCTCATCTTCATCCTCACCCTCACCCTCACTGTCACCGTCACCGTCACCGTCACCGTTACCGTCACCGTCACCGTCACCGTCACTGTCACCGTCACCGTCACCGTCACCGTCACCGTCACCGTCACCGTCATTGCTATCATTATTGACATTATTATCATAATTTTCCTTCCCGATAGCCGTCTTTTCGCAAATGAAACCAGGCCTACTATGTTCGCAAGTAAAATCATTCCATGTGTGGTACACCTCTATCATCTCCACGCAGTTTTCTTCTCCCTGGTTGTTTGGTTCACCGTTAGCCCAGTGACTAAAAGATAATGTGGAGCCGTCTTCCCACTTCCATCCCCGAGACTTTCCTGGGTCACTCAGTCCAATCCACACGCTGTTATATGTTGGAGGAAGGACTTCGCTTGTAACAAACTTGAGTTCTTTCTTGTTTTGGAAGGTTACTAAAGCTCCATCCAATGACTGGCAGTACGATTTAGCTTTAAACCAGCTTGAGTCTCTAATGAAGTACTTGTAATACTTCCTAACTTCACCAATGCCAGAGATCCAACCTTGTCCTTGAAAAATAAAATTTAGTCGAAAGGTGATACAACATGGTTTTTTCTAACACTTATTCTTTGCCAGATATATACTACCACAATCGATCGTGTTTTCCCATAAAAATGGTTGATCAATTGTGGGCCTGTAAACTCGAAAATGACTTTGGTGACCCCTCTTTTTGATCACTGGATTGCAATCAGCATATCGCTTTTCATATTTCTTCTACATTATTAAATGTGAAACAATTCGTTGACATGATCATTACCAGTAAGAGAGACTTAAATGTTGAAAAAATTAACTAGGAAAAAACACTTTTTGCAGAATTTGAAAAACACGTCATTAACATAGGTAAAGAAAGGTCAACGTTAACGTTTTCAAACAACAGTGGTAACTGGGATTAAATGGCTATGGAAAATGTAGACACATTTACATTTTGCGGTGAACTATGCAGTACGTTTATTTACATGGTTCAGAGCGACCTTCAAGTAACTGTAAACCATTGATCTTTCTCTATTACGGTATATATTTTTATTTCTACACTTTTCACTCATCTCTGTCTAGGCAGTTTTCAAAGTAATCCCTAAGATCAACACCTACAGACGCCTGATTAAAACAACTGGACCTATTCGCATCCTGTTTTTTAGTACTGGGCTCAGCGAAAAACAATTCCAGAAAAAACTTACGGTTCTGGCAGTTAACACCAGTGTAGTTTTGGCGGCATTTACAATTGTAGTCACTTGTTTCATAACGTGGTAGACACGTACCCCCGTTCTGACATGGATAGCTTTCACATGGGCTCTGTAACAAAACATTTGATCAGTGTAAGTCTGTTTCGCATGTTTTTTTAAAATCACTTGATATATGGCTCATGCGTTATCATGTGTCCATTGAAAAATGAGGCACGCTAGAAATCTGTAGAGAACGAAAGATGCGTTAGAGCAACTTAAACCTCTTGAGTCGTCAGCGTGAGCAATGGCAGTATGAAGTGCAATTAAAAATTTGATTACACGGATGTACCAGTCATGTTAAGAACTGCTTTAACTGTAACAATTTCCAGCAAGGAACGACGCGTCAACTACAAAACAGGGACTAAATAAGCCTATGAAATGTGAAATATCAAAATAGAGAACAACAGAAAAAAAAATGAAGAAAATAAAACAAAACTAAAAGAAAAAATAGAGACAGAGTTTGAAATACTAACTCACCGAGACTCTGTAATGATGAAAACTTGTATTCGCACGAAAGCTTTTCAATGCCCTGTACTTGTCCGAAGACAGCAGCTCGCACCGAACTCGTTCGTCAGTTCGGGGGTGGACGCCAATGTTTGTTGAAAAGCATTGTAGATTTTTCACACATTTCAACAAACAAAGTTTTCCAGTTTCAACATAATCCACCTCAATCGTTTCAGCGCTTAGAGCATGGAATAACTCCTCTTTGAAAATTACATATCGAAGTCTTCTCGAGCTACTGCGTTGAAAAGGTTTACTTGTCGCGAAAACAGTTTGAACCACAGTATAAATGATTAGCAGAGAAGAGCACTTTAATTTCCACAGTTCCATGTTAAATGGAAATCTTTGAAGATGCTCGTTTTTCCGCAAACTTTTTTGCAGTTATATTGTTTGATGGTCCGGAGAAAACTATTTCCATGCCGAGCTCAAAGTTTACCATCTACCTTATTTTGTTTACACTTGGGAAGAAGCTCGATGGTTAAATTTTAATTAGCTTCTCTATATCTGAAATAATCGACAGGCAAAAAAAAAAAACCGAAAAGCAAAACAAACCAACGAACAATGGTCTCTAAATCAAATTAGACACACACAGACCATACGGAAAACCCGAATGACTCATATCACTTTGTTTATTTTAATCCACCAAAAGAGGTGACTGTAAAAAATGAATTTTTTATTGTATATAAATGTCGCATTATCCTTTTGTTTTTCAAATCTAATTTTCTAGGAAAATAACGATTACATTAGATTAAAAGTAACAAAAGGTTATTTCCAGAGAAACAGCTTCCCCAGTGAGCGACAAAATTAATTTCAGTTCCAGAAGTATCCGATAAAATATAGACAAAGAGACTTCTATTGAGAAGATATAGAAGTAATCAGATCAAAATTAAAATTTACTTAGAATGAGACGCTTATACGAAAGAAAGATACCCTAAGGACTTGCTATTTGTGCTGGAGATGAAAACTGAAGCGAGGAACTTAAGGTAGAGTAGATATGGCGATTTGACCCGGAGCTAGAATCGGGAATGGAGGCAAAGACAAGTTATTTCATTTCATCTTTGTTTTCTATAGCGTCCGACCCCATCAAAGATACGTTTCGGGTTCATGTTTTGGCACAGAATTGATCAATAACAGCAAAACGAACCTTGCATGCAATGCGTTTAAGCCTACATTTGGTCACTCAGGTTCACAGGATTTTGATGCAACCGGTATCATGGAATAACAGAAGCAATTGTATTGGTGTACAAAAGGCTAAATGGCAGTAAACCTAAATGTATTAATAATTTACCTGACAGAGACTCTGACAAAAAGTAATATAGATAACCATAAATAGATCGAAGCCATTCTCTTGTCTTGATTTAAGCTACCCTCGTTTTAGGAGACGTACTGAATGTGCAAAAGTTTAAGCGCTCACTTTTTAAATCAGTTTAAAAATATCAAATTCTTACGTAATCAATAATGTAAGTTGATTTTGAATCTTTTCAAATCCTTTTTAAATACTTCAATTTCAGTGAAACTATTTATTTCTTTTATTGGTTTTATATTCTTCCGAAAACAATATCCATAGCCTTAAGAGCTACAGCAGTTATGCGTATTTGACTTTATTAACAAAGTTGCCTTCGGAAACGGATAGTGCGCGTTGTATGTAGTTTTAGCACCTCTAAAGAGTGTCAAAAAATCATTTTGAACTTTTTACTCATTAATTTTTGTCCTTCTTTCCCAAATAAAACTGGGATCAGCTGTTAGTCGATCACAGCCTGTGTCTTGCCATCCATTGTTCCAGTAGAGTTTACTAAACGACCCAGATATCATCTGCGCACAGTTTTCATTAGACCTGGATGGAGCGGGTTGATTATGCTGCCACTGATTGAAAGACAGATGGGTGCAATCCTCCCATCTCCAAACATCTCTGTTGTAGTTGCTCACAGTTCACTCCAAAGTAATGATTGGTGCATGAACAATTTTAGTCTTTGGTTTCGTAAATTGCTCGGCAGTTACCCCCGTTTTGACATGGACAACTTTCACAAAGACTCTGCGGAGAATAGAGAAACCATAATTGATTGTTCTCAAACATTTGTATCAACGATACTGATCATTAGTCATCACTGGAGCGAACTAAGCTTGCAATGAATATTTTCTTTCAAGACCTTAACAGCCTCTAAGGAAGGATTTTTAAAATATGAAATAACACCCAGAAAACTAATAGAGATGAAATTAATTAAATATTAAAAAGCAACTCACCGAAATTCTGTGATGATGAAAACTTGCATTCCAGACAAAAAATGTTTTGATGAGCCATACCTATCTGAAGAAAGAAGTTCACCCAAGACCTTCCTATTTTTCCGAAGTGTACGCCAAAGTTTCTACGCCATTGTGTACTTTTCAAACACTTCAGTAAACAATCTTTTTATTTCCTGCACAAAGCACATCGACTCTTGAAACATCAAGGGCGTGAATTAAATCGACTTTGAAGATCGCATACTGAGGTCTTTCAGAAGGGCCACGTTGAAGAGCTCTCCCTTTCGTGAATACGATTACATTTTCAATGAAGAATATAAGCAAAGAGGGGAATTTATCCTTCAAAATCATCTCACAGTATAGAAAATACCAAAAATGCGATCCAAACGGTAAAATATGAAATAATCGCTACAACAACTTGTTTATGATGAATCATTTAAGTGTTCCACGTGAGTGGAACTGAAGATTACTCAGTGTATGATAATGACACAATCACACTCACCCACGCTCAAATAAGCGCCCACTCCCCGGGCCATAATGTGAAACAAGCGCTCCACTCTCATGAGCCCCCTCCCCTAGTCCTTCCATACTTTCCTAAGTAGTAGGGATACAAGAAAACTTATCTATTGCCACTTTATTTTACAACTTCAGAGCGTCAGCTACAGCTGAACAAATAGAGTAAAATAGTACTGTTCCTTTATCACGACAGTCACTTCCACTTATTTTTATCTTCATGAGCTTGCAAAGTTCCTTTATGTGCCTGATCTGTTCATTCAATTTTTGTGTTATGGCTGCGCTAGCTTGATCAGCGCTTCCTCCGATTATGCACCTTCTTTCTCATAAGCGTTCTTTATTTTCGCCGACATTTTAAGCAAGCGCCTATATATTTATTCGCGGAAATATGATATTTAAAATGATTAATTTACCATAAATAATGTGCAAAAATGATTTATGTTTAGGAAATTTGTTTTTCAAAGTTGTTTAATAGCTGATGTCTACTCATGTATTACAAATGGAGCTAGGGTCGTGTGTTAGTCATTCAAAATCTATGTCAAGCAATTCACCATACCAGTAGATTTCATAGCAAGTGCAACCCAAACATTAGCTGAGCACAATCTTTACTACGCCTGAAGTAATTTAGTTCATTTATCTCCTACAGAGTAAAAGACGGATGGGTGCCGTCCTCTTATCTTCAGACCTCTTTGTTGGATGGATTACGACCCAGTCCAATCCGCACACTGTCGCACGCTTCATGAAGGACTTCGTGGTGTTCCTCTGAAGTGTTGAAAGTCAGCAAAAAGTGCTTTACAATGTTTTAGAATGCAATTTAGCTCGGGAAAGGTTAAGCACTTGAGCTAAATACCTGTAACAAGATGTGCTGGCAACTTTCCATTTCGGACTAGTAACCCAAACTGTGAAATAAATAATAAAAATGATAACAAAAAAGAAGAAAACAGCTATCGAGATCATGATCCACCTCCAAACAAAGACAAGAATTTGACTCAGCAACACTCGGATTAAAGTATTACAAAACAAATTATGTTCCAAGTAAGGGAAGGTGTTTTCAGTTCAGTTAGTATAACAGGCATACATAGCTAGAGAAAGAAATTTAGTGGCCCCTGTAACACTAGAATTTTTTGACCAACAATATAAATAAAGAGGTTATTGCTTTTCCCCAGCTAGCAGTTGACTTTATTACGTAAAGGACTTACACAGTTGTTCACACGTCACTCCGAAGAAGTTTTTAGTGCTGACAGAAACAATTGTACTTATAGTCTTTGGTTTCGTAAATTGCTCAGCAGGGACCCTCGTTTTGACAAGGACAACTTTCACAAAGCCTTTACGGAGAATAAATAGACCATATTTGATTGTTCTCAAACATTTGTATTAAAGATACTGATCATTAGTCATCATAGAAGTGATCTAAGCTCGCCATGAATTTTTTTCAAAACCTTTAGAGCTCCCTCAGGAATAATTTTTTAATATGAAATAACACCCAGAAAAATAAGAATATTATAAAGATGAATTGGAATTGATGATTAAAAAGCAATTCACCGAAATTATGTAACGATGAAAAACTTGCATTCATGGAAAACCTTTAAAGGAGTGGTATTTATTTGAAGAAAAAAGTTCACACGAGACCCTCCTATGTTTACCGAAATGCACGCAGGCTTAGATTGTAGAAAAACATAGTATACTTTTCAAACACTTCAATAAGCAATGTTTTTCATTTCCTACGTAAACCACATCGACTCGCGTAACATCAAGGGCGTTAAATAAATCGTCTTCGGAGACTGCATACTGATGTCTTTCAGAAGGGCCACGTTTAAGAGTTCTTTCTTTCTATAACACAGTTGCATTTTTAATGAATAATATCTGTAGAGAGCATAATTTGTCATGTAAAATGCTGTGTTTTACAAGGATTTAAAGCTCTGTGAAAAGCCGTAATAACACACGTGAAAACTACGAAATTTCCACGTGTGTTTGGAATCGCCAATCAGCTGCTGACACGTCGTTCACCTTTCGCGCCACTCTGTCATGTTGATGAATGATTGGCAAAGCCTTCATCAACCTCAATCCAAGGTTTCTGGGATTATGGCTACCAAACAGACTGAATAACTCGTATCGCTTATAGGAAGTGACATTCAAAATTTCATAGCAGGGGAGGAAAACGAAAAACCGAAAGTTACCTACTCGGTTGCCTTGTTATGGCATTTCTCGCGGCTGAGAACGAAAATTGATGCCTGGTAGATTTGCCGCAAGCCGACTTAAAAGATTTCTATTGTCGGTAAGGAAAAAGTCAATAAAATAGAATTTTTTTAAATTGAAAGTAATTACGCCAATTGTTTGTTTTGTAATGACTCAAATCGTTTTTCATCTTGAGCCTTATTTTCAACGCACTATACGACTTTTTTTCGCATATTGTGAATCCTATTTTTTTCATTCCTTAGTAGAGACAACTTTTCTTGTCAGTAAAGGGCTATTGTATAAAACATGGTTTCCTGTAGATGTGGAATTTCTCTTCTCTTGTTCAATTCCATATCTCACTCGTTCGCTACGTTTACTCGTGAGCACCCGAAGAGAAATTCCATATCTACGCGCGTCCATGTATTATTCACTATTTGTCATTCAGCTTAAACATCTCACGTCATGAGAAATCTCAAAAACACGAACCAAACGGTAAGAATCGGCAATAATCGCTACAATGACTTGTTAATAATGAATTATTTGAGTTATTATCCAAGTGAAAGTAAAAAAAAGGCGCGAAAAAAAGAGGGGAGTTAAAAGAAAGGCGCAAAAAAGGGGAGTGTACAGAAAGGCGCAAAAAAAGGAGATTGTAATTTTGGATGGAACATGAGGGGCTCCATACACAAGTACTAATCAATGGCAATATGAGAAACATTTCCTTGCAGCAGAGCAATTTTAATTTGGATCGAAACCCCTCCGACAAACTACAATTGATAAACTATTGAAGAAAATCTCTCAAAAAAAAAAACCAAGGTATTTGATCAGCTGGAACAAACCAATGTTTAATAGACAGCGACAGAAAGAAAACCGTGTGGGTGTGACTTGCGACTTTATGCTGTAAGTCAACTGTCCAAATACGGGCGGAACAGAACACCGCGTTTGTCAACCGCAGCTTTATTTAATAACAATAGAGCTTTGTTGAGACGCTTAAAACACCACTGTTTTCTGATAAAACTCATAAAGTGCAGAAGACATCTTCGTGCCCTGCTCAGTCACAGTCACAGTCCAGGTGAGGTAAGTTTCTCTGGAATACATGTCCTACTGAGTTGCTTTTACAGTCTTCGTCTGATTTTAAATTGCAGCATAAAAAAAATACGTATCTCAGTCTCATTCTTAAATCGTGTATTTATGAATGTATACTCACCGTGGAAATCCAATTCGATTTAAGTATTGCAATCGAATCATCACGGTGTATTCCCTGAAAGATTCCTTCCTGGCTAAGAGAAATATGAAATATACATGACTGAGAGATATAAAAAATATGCCCCCTCACAGAAAGGGGAGGGGGAGGGGAATCCCTTCTTTCAAGCCCCCACTCCCGACCTGTTGCCTATTTACGTCTTCTTTCATTTCATTTAGTCCGAAGAACTGCATATGAAAGACTAAGGATCGAAATTTTGCGTCTCTGTTCCTTTTCCTACCTTCCATCCTTTTTCTCTCGTATCTCGTCTTTTCCCGAACTCTTTATTCTCGTGTCTCTCCACCTCGCGTACCCCGGTGGAGTTGTCAATAAGCAGATTAACAAAAGCACTGGATCGGAGACTTACGCACTTAGATCGTCCGATTCTGAATAACTTAATTTTGATTAAGTTGCTTACATGATCGGTTAATTTTAGTGGACAAATTTAAATCACTTCTACATATTTTTAAGCCAGACATAAGAAAAAAAGGATTACAAAGCGTAGTCGCGCTAGAAAAGTGTGATCTGTAGACCCCTGAAATTAATTCAAACAACTGCCTTTTAATGAAATACTCAACTGCTTAATATTGACAGTTTTCTCTAACAGGTCTCATTCAAGATGGTGCTAAACTGGGCTTTTGCGTCCGTGATTCTGAGCACTGTGTCGTTAATTTTTTTGCAGCCTGCATACGGTTTGTATATTTTGTTTTTTACATCTCTGGAAAGATTGCATTACTCTTATAAAGTATATGAAATGAAATGTTTTTCTGTTTCAAAGCCTTTATTTGAATTGAGACATGGAGGCTTTCAACCACTTTATTAGGTACACAGCAGGCGTCAGAAATATATTTAGCCATCTGCATCACAATAAGTTCTAATTGTATTTTCATTTGTTGTTTTTTGTAATTGTTGTTTTTTTGTGACTGCTTTTTTTTTATTTGTTTGTTTCTTTATTTATTTTAACAGGAGCCGGATATTGTGACGGTAAAGCGGATGGAAACTACCGAGATCCCGATAATTGTTATGGATATATAGCTTGCTCCAATCAAATCGTGTACAAAATGAGCTGCAGTTCCGGCCTCAAATACAACGAGAAATTAGACCAGTGCGATTGGCCAGAAAATGTGCAATGCAGTCCTGGTAAGGTACATTTGCTGTTCTCCCGATGAATTTTTTAAATAACTTTTCAAAATTATGTTTCATTGTAACGTCACCAAATTAAGTAACTGGCCATTATTATTTATCACAGGAAGGTGGTACGGGAAAGGTTGTTGTGTCATGATAATATTACCTAATCTCCCTCTGATCCAGCATTAATCTTTCCAATATTCGTATGATCCCATGATCTCCCCTTTAATATTGTCAGTTAAGTGACAGTCAATTTTCTATAGTCCCCTCTGTATACTCTGTTAGCGACGACTGTCCCCCACTTCTCCGTTCCCTCTGAAAACAGTGTGATCCCAAAATCCACCGACCCTACCCCTCGAGGTAGATGCCATCTACCCCACACGAGCACCTACAAAGCAATTGACGAAGGAAAATACTGTACGTTTCCGAAACCAGTTTTGTTGGCTATAACGGTTCTTCTACGAACTCTACGGCCACTGTTAACGACATTAAAGTCATTGCCACATTCGCTGAAAAGCGCAGATATATCCTAGTCCCCCAATTGTTGCTTATCGGAAGGAAATGTCCCTGAATGATTCTCTTGTAAGAGCACAACTTCCTTCACTTATATCTCTGACACGATAGGATAGTTGAAAAGTAAAGATAACCTGTACTAAACAGGGTACAAGGAACAGGTTATTTTATTAAACATTTGCGCTTGAATCTTTGGCTGAACAGGTCAATGATATGCTTCAATGTCTCTCTTTCTGCTTGTTTGTCAGTTTGATTTTTGGTATCTCAAACAAAAAGAACTAATTCGGAAAAATATGGGCACATCTCAGATTTGAATGTTACTTTTGATTTCCCTTTTCAGTTTCTGTTTTTTCTATTTCTTTATTTTGTTATAATCTTTTTTGGAGAAGCCGGGTGTTTGGAATTACAGGTCTATTTGGAGAACAACTTTTTACACAGGTGTTTTCCAACAAGTACTTCACCAGTTGGTGGCTGAGTCTGGCTGGGTCGCAGGGTCCCATGCACTGTTACCTGTGGTGAACTCGGCATGACTCAAGCACAATCGTAATGCAGCCACACAACCCCTCAACCTAATATTAACAAGTGGTGGTAAATGCATGGACCCACAAGCACAGGAGACCCAGCAACCAGACTATGATTTGTCGTGTAAGAAATTTTTCACCATGCTAAACATAAAGCTACTTACAAGTCTTTTTTGCAGTTTTTGCAGCAAAGTGTTCTCTTGGCATCTATAAATCTCAGTTCTGGGGGCAGATTACAAGGCACCTGCCTTTTTTGATCACTCAGCCTCTTGGCACCTGTAACAACCCGACTTGGTGTGCCTTACACCAGTTAGTCAATCAGGACAGATTCCCAAGAAGAGTTGTTTGGAGTTCGCGTGCAACATGGTTTTAGCCACGTCACCAGGATGAGTTACAACAGGCGCATTTGATTAACGGCTACCGAGTTAAGTGGACTCAGCAGGAGTCAAATCAAAGATGTTTCATGCAAGTATGAACATGGTGCTTTTGATCTTTTGATCGGTCTTATAAATTGAAGCCACCCCCATTCACTGTACACAGTGTGCATACCAATATTTTAATTAAAGTACAGGGAGTAGCCTAGAGAGAGAAAAAAATAGAAACTAGGAGATAATGGAACAGAATAATGGAATTCTTATCGTTTCCTGATCACTCAGATAAGGTTCTTGAGTATACAAACATCGACTTATGCATATGTTCAAGAATGAGAACTGCAAAGTCACCGTATTATTTGCGCCTAGATGATAATAAAATTCAAGGTCTTGTTTCGAACTTCGATTAATTATACAGGAGATTCTGGGGAATTACTTAGTCCACTTTAAAAGAAGAAGGACTGAGGAAGGAGGCTGAAACTGTTTTGATTCAGTTTAAAGCCAAGGGAGTCGTTAATTCTCAGATCATTTCCTAACTGTGAGAGGTTGTCTCTATCAATCTCGTTAATGTCAAAGGGCAAAAGTAATAAACAGCACAGCACAAAAGGTAAATTTAACCGTCAACCGATAAGCTACACCAGGACCTCACAAGTATATATTTTCATGGTCCCTTTGAGGTACTTCTACTTTGTGTGTGTAATACATCTCCTACGTCTTGAGTCTTTTCCCAGTTGTTTAGAAACGGATGAAATTCAGATGCTAACTCTAGGTCTATTTACTATTTCCGACAGCATAGCGCACAGAGTGCTACACTGATCTCCAAGTATATGAGAAAAAGATATGCGATTGGCCTGAAAATGTCACCTGCTAAATGTGATTTACTTGTTAATAATACCAAAGCCCAGTCCTTGTGAAAGATTTTCCATAGCTCCCTGAGTTAGAAGCATGTTAATCACAGTACAAGCCTTCAAATATTGGCGATGCTGTGATTAAAACAATTACATGATATTTGTGTTGAGTTTTCTTTAATAAAACTGCAGTAAAAGACAAAAAACAAAATGAAAAACAAAAGAAAGTCTTTGAGGGAGAAATATTCAGTTCATACTC